TAGTTTTCGTGCTAATTACAGACCAGCTAATCTGATTTTTGTTCTGCAGTGTTGTTAATGTCGCCATTTTCCGTATAATCTGTCTACATTTATTGTATATGGTGCAGTAAAAGACAGGGTGTGTAAATCAAGATTGGTAACAAACAAAGTTTGATGTTCACATCATGTTTTTGTTTTGTTTTTGTTTTTTTGAAAAAATGAATCGCTCATACAGTTAAGAAAAGTAAATGACAAGATAAAATGACAGGGTTTCTAATCTGATTTCGCGGGCCACCGAAAGAATAAAAGATTGTTTGAAAGTGAAAAATTAAGACAATACAACTGTGTTCAAAACACATAAAAAATTAACATCCAAATTTTATGCAACACTGTTAAAATATGATTTAATAGAACTTTCTACTGTTTTCTCAATTTCTTCCTAATATCGGGTATTAGAATGATCCAGTAAACTCAATCAATCATGGCGCAGAATTAATATACCAATAAAGTATTGATTCAAATCGTACATTAAACCAACAAACAATCTACACAGAGAAAGCTCTCATATACCAGCAGTATTCAAAGGTTTTATTAAGGGTGAATGCATAAGACTTGTGAGAGATACCAATGACACTGTGACTCTCAGTGTGATTCTACAAGACTTTCAGAAATACTTACCAAAGAGAGGCTACTCCGATACAGATCACAGGCATAATTGCAGCAGACATAAATGAGATCCTAAATAAAAGCAACAGCAAATCGAAACTCCACAATCCATTAGTTACAGTTACAAAATATAATCCAAGAATAAAAGGATTTTTAAAAAGTGCATCTTAAAATACTGGAACGAAATGAAAACAGGCACAAGATGCAAAGATATAATTATATCGGAACCAATTATAGCTTACAGCAAGGACAAAAGCATAGGCGATATAATTATTAGACCACGATTATCACAAGATTACTAAGGTGGACCCCTGAAGAGGCGGACCTAGGACAAGTACCCGTTTTAAAACCACCGAAACACTCTTTACTATATTACGAATTAAGTATTAAACTTATGTCCAAAAGTCTGGTTTAGAGTGTTGATTCCTAATAAATTTCATGGACGAGTTTGGCCGATTGGTTTCCTTTTTTTTGCACCGAATAAAAGATTGTTTCAAAGCAAAAAATAAAGACAATAGAACTGTGTTCGAAACACATGAAAAATTAACATCCAAATTTACTGCAACATTGTTAAAATATGATTTAATAGGACAGAAGGTAGTACACAATGATGTTTCTTCTGCATGCCGACTTGTATTTACAAATAATTTATGAACCTGTTCAAATTGGTTATCATAAATCATTGGGCATCATAAATTTTAATTTTTGTGGGATCATGACTAGCAGTGTCGTAATCTCCGAGATTAAACCAAACTGCACAAAAGGAATCTGTAGCAAATATGTGAAACTTGACAGCTTTCTCCGAAGCTTCCATCACTAAATGATTCACTCCTATATGCATGCAATTCTACTTCATGAAACTAATTCCAACCAAGTATATTCAATTGATTGCAAAATATAGATTTAAGTGCACATTTATTAATGATTGAGAAGGGAAGATTTACTCATATTCCTAGACAGAATAGATTATGTTTTTCTGTCAGTTGGAGGTTGAAGATGAGTACCATTTTATTTTGAAATGTTCACTTTATCATGAGTACAGGATATTGTATATTAAAAGTATTATTGATATAGACCTAGTATGTATAAACTTTTACAATTATTATCAACTGAAAATGTGAGTGAACTAAGTAATATAGGGAAATTCCTCCAGAAAGCAGAAGCACTTAGAGATTCACATCTGTAAACTAAGAATTTTTTTCTTTAATGTTTGGTTGGAAATATTGTATTGTATACAAATAATGTTAAAACAAGTGCATTTAAATATTTCATGAATGTACATCTTGTATTTTGTAATTGCCTGATGAGTATGTAATCTGATAAGCCATATGGCTTATTGAATAAATAAATAAAACATATATATATATATATATATATATATATATATATATATATATATATATATATATATATATATATATATATATATATATATATATATATATATATATATATGTATATATATATATATATATATATAATCCGGACTTCTTGGTTAGGGAACCCAGTTAAGCATTTATATATCGGTCTAGGACCCCGATGGATTAAGCAGACTTTTTCCGGTCTCCCTAATATTTTAACTGATCATTAAGGCAGTGTACTTTGTGGTAAGATGACTGATGTCCTGAAATAAGACTCTTTCGTAATTATATTTTTCAATGCAATTATAATTTCTGCATTTTTTATTCACATAGCGAGAAATAATTAAATTATTTATAACCCGGCATATATTTTCATAGGAATATATATATCTATTAAGTCGCCCAGAGAAAAAGTGCAATATTAAACAAAATCCGCTATATATGAATAGTTTTAATTAATATCCCATTTAGTTTACTCATTTCCTATATTTTCTTACCTTTCATTCATTCGTGAGTTCAGTATTTAAAATTTCGAAAATTCATGGTCTACAAATGACTCATGTTTGTCTGGCAATAAGTTGCCTGGTTTCCGGTCGACCTGGAGAACCAGAAAAGAAGACGATGGCAGACGCCTCGAAGTGCTTTGGATCCTTTTTCGTAAGTATAAATCTGTTACTTACTATCATTTGCAGCTGGGTTTTTTTTTATGTTTTATACGTCTTTTGTATATTATTTTCCCCCTTTTTATACGACGCGCTTGCATAGCGTCAATATTGACTAACTGCGAACGTCGAGGAAATTCTGAATACACATTTTTAATTTCTTTTCATTCATAATGATACATCTTTTTTAAAATCATCAAATATTTATTTTAATTAATTATTAAGTTTGTGGATGCTCATGGTTTGACGTTCGAAACATGGATATGATTGACGCATTATTTAAAGAAGCTGATAGTAAGCGCGGGGGGGGGGGGGGGGGGGGTTTCTTGTGTACGAGAATCTGGGACTTGTGTTTTGAGATACAATAACAAACGATTTTACAAAAATTAATGCAACACAAGCCACCTCCTTCCTTTTATGACACTCTTTAATTTTTGAACAATGAGTAAAATTTGGTTTAAGATTTGAACAAGACTTACAATGTCATATATTGTCAAAGACTACTTCTACAATTACATGTTCAAGAATTTAAGGTATTGCAGAGGTTTTTACTCTATTCTGCAGTTTTCAATGATGTAAACAGTTTCTGTCTATAATTTTAGATATTATAAGTTAAGATATGTTATTTTGTAGTAACAATAATTTGGCTATTAATACATGTAATTTTCTGAGGTACTACATTTGATAATTTTTAGGTATAAATGATTTTTTAACATTATGTCATAATCTGTTTTATCAGCATATATCATAATTATATAAATAACAACTCAAATATGAATCTGAGTCTTCAAGGTCTTTAAGTGTATAATTCCTTTTCACTGCCTAAAAAGCATTAAAATAAAATTTGTTATGTTCCCCAGAAACATAATTTTAGGAGGTAAATCTATTATTCGTATTTTGAAACCAAAATCCTGGATGAATATGACATTTCTATTACCGTAAAAAACTGTTCTTAAAACAGTTTCTATATACCCCTTCCCCCTCATGTGTGCCAAAATTAAGTAAAGGTGAAATAATCATTATTTTTTTTGTTAGAAATTGCTTTTATTATACATAAAATATACATAACACAACTCACAAAAATGGTTTAAAAAGGACTCAAATCCTGGGAGCTTAAAGGGGCTTTTGTCCTTTACCCACTGGGCCACAAGGTGGCCCTCACTGGCTCAGACCCCATTATTAGCCTGTTGAACCCCCTTTAAAAAAAAATCCTGGGTCTACCAAAGATAATTTTGAAGTTTTTATATGAAATGATAAAATGTATTTATTAGCAAAAGAAAAAGGATGTAAAATGGGGTTAGTGTACCACAACTGCCCAATTAAAAAAAAAATCAATAAAATTCTAAATAGAAGATTTAAATGTCAAAAAAGCTTCAGGATAAGTATACATACATATTTTTGTTGTATGATGCATGTACTTACGTGTATGATAACTGTGCTAATTGGTGTATTAATAAAATTGGGTTTACTTGTACTTACTTCTTACTTATATGCCTCTTTGGGGCACACTGTACCAATTAGTATGTTATGAAGTACTTTTATTAGTATTTTTACTTACTAATTACTTATCACAGGCAATTGTTTCAGTAATAAATTTTTTAGCCCATAGTATAGTAATAACGCAATATTATTATACTATGGGTTATTTTTTTTTTTTATCGAATCAAGTGCCCGTGTTACTTATACCTTTTGGGAGGGGGGGGGGGGCATATGCCACTCACACGATTTTTCCAGGACTCAATCCTGTGCAATCCTTAAATTAAAATCATTAATAAATGATTATACATTTTGGTGGGTTCTCGTGCATCCTTGAAGTCATTTTTCACATATAAAATAAAGAAAATCTGGCAGTGTTACTTTAAACAAATGAATAATGATTTACTCTGTTTCAAAAATGATATTTTTGAGTGTTTCTTCAAGGGGGGGGGGGGCGCTTGCGTCCAACATTCCCCACCATTACTACTTCTCTGTTCCTATGGCCCTCTATTCTACTCTACTGCTACCCTAAGAGGGGATAATAGTCTGCTCTTAGGATAGTCAGGTTCAACTGAATTCCAGCAACACAAAGTTAAACAATTTGAAAGATAAATATTTGATGTGAAATTTTATTTACAAGGAATAAATGAGAAACATGTACTTCCAGTTGTACTTAAAATAATGGGGAAAATGTGATTTATATGATTAATGAAAATTTGAAGGAGTTAAAAATTTTATTAAAAATTACTTAGAAGATATGGATTTTAGAGAAATCCGTTGAATTTAGATCGGGTTCGAAATTCTTAATGTCCTCAATATGGCGCCTAAATGCAAAGATTTGGGTAAGTTACTAGGAATTCATTGCTCTCATAATTTGTACCGAAGTCAATATGGAGTGGTCAGAAACGGGAAGATGGGCTAAGTTGCCAAGAACAGTGGACGTAAGAACTCACACAAGACAATCGAAACAAACAAGTATGGTTAAAATAATGTCCGTCGAACTCAGTAACATCAGGGGTAGACAAATAGAATTTGTCAGTACTTGCCTTCGGACAGGTTACCATCGTAAAATTACTTGTCCTATCAAAAAATATGCTTGTCCCACCTTTTCCTTAAATAACACAAAAATAAAATATTATCATTAACATTTAGGACCAACCTTGACCCAAAATCACAAATCTCCCATGGAGAAATTAAGGGGAAATTTCTAATTCTAGGGAGACTTCCTCGCGTCTGCGCTGAACAATGATTATTAAACTTAAAATTTTAAATACATGTACATGTCAATATATATACATAAACATGTACTTATTCATTTCTCTGTATTTTTAAAATGAAAATAATACACCTGTATCTACATTATTGTGTTATGAAAAACACTCCTGAATGTCAATTAAGGGTTCAACTTCATGACTGTGTGTGTTCGCCAGTCAACACCTCCAATTTAATAACAGCCACATTTGTTTGTATCGTGTATTCACGGCATGAATTCTACATTTTGAGAATAGAAAGGTCCAAAACCCTCTTCAACTTTTTTGACATGACATTGATACCTGCCGTGTTCTACTTCTCATGCATATTTTATCAAAACATGAATGGGCAATTCTAGAGGAGTTCCTACTGAGTGTTTGATGTAGCGGTCAACTGCATCGAAAACAGATGTTCTGCTATGATTCATTATATTTTAACAGCGGTAAAACAAAACAACATTTGAGTATAGGATTTTTTGTTAACTGGAAAAACACTTGTCCACAGGCAGGTACCAGTTATCAAATAACTTGCCCGCCAAACGAAATTGGTTGTCCCAGGTGTCGGGCAATGCTATTTGTCTAGCCCTGAACATGTATACATGTAACAGGAATGATGCTAAAAAAAATTTAAAAGGCATGCTCCATAAACTGATTAACTGAATGTAAAATAAGTCAATGAATACTTTGCAAATGAAGAAAAACTAAATTTCATTTAGAAAAAAATGTTAAATATGATATTTTCTCTAATCTGCTAACAGGGACCTATTTACTAACAGTATATAGGTCCCTGCTGCTAATAACAACCAAATTTTGCTATTTTTTCCAAATAGAAAAGCCCAGGCTCTTGATTTAAAGACCTAGATAAACCCCTTTATGTTAACAGTACATGTTTCACCGTTGGGTGAGCGCAGATGGTGGATTATTGGATACATATTCAGTTTTAACTTTAACCCCTTTGAAATGTTTTGGGATGTGTAAAAATGCTGTGTTCTGATTGGGCAGAAAAATATTTACATGTATATGATGTATATTTATGGCAACTTTCAGTTATCGTTCTTGACTTCCATATTTGGAAATCGTCCAGACCTGATAATGTACCAAATAAATAATAAATATGTCGTCAGTAGTCAAGTAAAGAGGTGATATTTCTTTTTTATTAGCTAAATTATGTAACAATGTCATTAAAGTAGACCAATACTCGCACTACGTCACTAACGGATAGTAAAACCGGAACCACACTTCTTATTTCCGAGGTGTGATTTTTTAACTATATTGGTTTGACTTTTACTTGGCGTTTTAAATATCCGGTAACAATTTTGTTCTGAGTTGGTCGCGTCAACAAACTTACAAACATTGCTTATACAGTTTCTGTTTAAGGAGAAATTAATTTAAAAAAAAAAAAAAGGGAAGGCTGGAAAATACTTTCGGTCGGTTGACAGAAAGACGATAAGGTAATAAAGATATAATATAAATGACTTTTCTGTAGAAGAGAATATGCCGATAACATGGACGAGTATGCTACAAATATCAAATCAATGCGACAGACAGACTATTGTCAGCGGACAAGTTGAAGCTACCGTAACACTGATAGTTCGCAAGAAAAGGAGTTGCTATGATTTGACAGTGACAAGTTTTATTATTTCAAACATTGCAAATTTATCTTGAATAATACTTATTACATAAGACCCATACCCCCCCCCCCCCCCCCCCCCGCAAACCCATCACATTTAATCACAAAAATCAAAATTATCTTTAGAATACTAGTATATGAAAATAGTTGATTCACTTGCAGCACACTTACTTCTTTAACCAGATCATCAATCACGTTCTGATTCATTGTCTCTAATTTACTGACAAGTGTTTTTTAATGTAACACAAGATAAATTTTAGGGACAATAGATATTGGTGTGTATTATTATTGTTTTAAATATGTACAACTTTGTAAATACAAATGTACACTCAAACTTTAACTGTATTATAGTAAAATGTGGCAATATCTTTTTTTTGGAAGAGAAATTTCATGGGGGTACCTTTAGTTCAGAGCCCATATCATGAAATAATGTGTCAACATATAATTTTTTTTAGCTTATTCTTTTTCTTAGATGTTATTTAGTAAAAAGAAAGCAAATTTTTGAAGATTGAGTCCATAAAAATATTTAAAAAAGACGGAGACTGACCTGTGAAGCATATTTTCTCGTACTAAATTTTGATACGTTAGCCTAACAAAGTGCACATATTTAAAATAATTCACGCAAAACAATGATTAAATATGGTTCCTTAAAATTTTTCTATTCTATTCTGTGTATTTAAGTTGACTGTTTAGATTTTAATTCTGATATATAGACAAAATCGTGGATAGGTACATTTTCAGTATTCTACATTTCGGGGTATATAGTCTGAGAGGCCATAGCAGAAAAATAAACATGTTGACATATAATTTTTCTTCTGCTTTTCCATTGCTGGGATATATGTCTATCTTATAAAAGCAGATTTTTCAATATTGAGCCCATTTAGGGCTGAGTATAGAACTACCTTAAACAAGACAAGTATGTACTAAATAAGTTGACAAAGAAGTGCAGTTTCAAATCAATTTCACAGGTATCATATGCAATGAAGCGTATCTAACTTATCCCATCGTCTTTCTGCATGAGATATTCATGCCACATTGTGTACACAAACTGTAATTAGTATTTTTACGTGGAATCCAATTTCAGTGTGTTAAAAACTGCAGGTTTTAACTTTTTCTGTAATGATAACCTACTACATTAGAAAATGTTTGGTAATACATTACAGCCATAAAAAGTGCTTACCACATGTTTATAGCTATGTACTGGTAGGCAGGTGTATGTTCATGACCATCGGAAAGAATTTTTATTTTTCTCACTCTTGAAATTTTTTGGATTTTTCTTTGAGACATGGTGATGAAAGTAATGGTAAAACAAAAGTTTTGGAAAAGAAATTAGCAGTATTATAACAGCTGGCTTTGCATATAACATTTAGAATTAGGGATCCCAAGGGGGGGGGGAGGGGGGAAGTAGGATAGTTATTCAATTTGTTTCGCCAAGCTGTCAGGGAACCACACCTGGATGCCTTAGGGCTCTCGATTGTCTATAATTAGGGCCATTCAAAGGCCCAATTCCTAATTCAAAAGAGGTACCTTTCTTCCCAATTGAATGTGTTAATTTTCCCAATAGTCATTTATCCCCAAAATTAATGAAAATATGGTTGGTCCAATGGATCTGTAATAAATAAACTTGCTATTCATATTCCTCTGTATTACAAAACAAAAATTTATTTGATAACAAAGACCAGAAACCCAGTACAGTGGACTCCGGATATAACGAGATGCATGGGACTTATTCAGGACCCTCTTTCGTTTAGTGTACATGACTTGCATTTCGAATTACTCTTCTCTGTGTTGCCAGCTTACAACGACAGATTATGGTCCAATATTCATTATAACATGTTAAATTAATTAACACACACAATAATATTGAAATTGTCTAATTAAAAATTATTTATTTTAAAAAAAAATTGTTAAAGTACAAACCAGAAGAGCTACAGTCTCATCAGAGACTTCAGGTTTTGACACAAGTCATCAATATATTGACTTCATTTTCATACCATGATGTCATAAACATGCAGCAAAATGTAAAGATTTAAATGTAATATGTATGCCAAATTCTATTATGATCTGAATTGTGGTTATGTAGATACAGATATAGAGTTACTCCTTGTATTAGAGACAAAATCCTTTAACAAATATGACTGACCTCATTGCAAAAATGGTGAGAAAAAAGGGAAAATTAAATGAATTTTGAACGAAACAAAGAAGAAAGCAAAATGGTAGTTAATTAACAGGGAAATTCCAATTTTTCAGGTGATGAAAAGGTGACTACAAAGATATTTTTACTTATATAACTAAGCAAATTTACGTTTGATCTCTTGAACTCTCAGTCTCTTGATTCAGAAATCCATGATCCCTCTAAGTCAAAATGCAGTCTTGATATGCATAATTTGTTGTTATTTACTCTCAATACCTCGAAGTGTCTATGTTTTAATGTTTACATGTTTTCAAAAACCCCAGTCACTTTCCAAAAAAGATCAACGGGCGACAGTTTTTGAGGCAAAAATACCTTCTTCAGGCAACAGTCATCTGTTCATCTGCCATTGTCTTGCCCGATTTTGACCTCTTTCCTTGTCAGCCTACCAGTTTTGTGTCTGTTGGGCCATGTTATAATTTTCTCTGCGTTGGTGGCCGATTCCTTCAATTGAAGCAGTCGTGCAATAGTCTGTTGACCAACCTTCAATCATCATCCGAACATTGGTAGACAGTTCTTAAAGTCGGTCGTTGATGGGTCAACATTATTGGAATTGGGTTTTTGTAAATGTTGGCTGATGGTGAAAATCAAACTGTGGCTTAGTGAACGATGATTGGGCGACTGTTGGCCAACTTAGAATTATCTAATTTTTGAAAATTATCAGTGTTCTTAGGAATTAATGTGACTACTCCACGTCGCTCAATACTACTGTTGGCTGATCATGTTTTTAAGCCGACGATACGACAAAAATTTGATTTGCCTGACCATCGGCTTAAATGTGACCTAGGCATAACTCTGCACACTTTACTGAACACAAACCCACAACACATGATTGCAGTCCTGCATACTTTGAGGTATTGAGAGATACCTATACTAAATGTAGAACTCTTCAGTGAGCAGTGTTTAAAGCTTCCTTTAATTCGAACAAAGGTGTGATGGGGGGTGGGGGTCGGGGCTTGTGATTAATTCCAGATAGGTGAACTTGTTACGTGTCTTTGAGATCAAAGACTGTTGAAGGAGTGAACAAAATAGTAGTTTAGACTATATGAATCAGCCTTGATAGTTCAGTGGTTAGAACAATTGACTTGTGAAACAGGTGTCCTTAGTTTGATTCCAACCTTTTATTTTCTTTATACATTCCTTTTCTACTACAGTAGATTACAGATTAAAATATTTTAAAAATGTGTTTGTTATGACTTATTTTCATGTTAAAGAAAACATTTAGATTTTAGAGTGATTAATAATCTGTTAAGAGAGGTACTTTTGAGTTTGATTAAAATACATGTAATTATGAAACTTTTATTTCCCTACAGATGTCAACAATGAAAATGAAATGGATCGAATTAAAAGTTTTGGTAAAAGAAAACAGTTGCATATACATGCTGACAAGAAAGGACTTACATGAAGAAGAAGTGTTGTACAACTATGAGAATGGAAGGATGATTTGGTGTTTAATTGAGGTAATTTAAAGTGTTGATTCCTAGGGCTGTTTGTTTGATGAAATTTAACCATTAGAATATTTAGTGTTGAAGAAATTTAAAATAAAATTATGCATGCAATCCCATTCAGGTGAGTTTTGTGACCAAAAGTCATCTTTTTCCTGATATTTAATCACAAAATTTTGTAAGAATTACAGTAAAACATGCTTATAACGAAGTGCCAGGGATGGAGAATTTTGCTTCATTATAAGTGTAATTCATTATATCCATTAAGTTTACAATATATTTTAAAGTCACAGGGAATAAAAATCACTTTGCTCTAAGCGTCAATTCATTACATACATTCTTGTTACGGATCTTACATCTTTTAAAGAAAATGAAAGGAGGGGGATGGGGGTGGAATATGTATAATACATTCTTCAATATATTTTAAACAAACGTCGGAAAAAATTCAGATTTTCCTTGATCAAATATATTTAAATACGTACAATGAACTGGCTTCAACTGTTTTAGATAAAAAACTAAAACTAATATATCGTAAATTTACACACACTGAACAATTTGTTTCTGTACATAGATTATTTTCAAATCGGGGCCCTTTCAGCCATCACAAATGACAAGTATGATTGATACAATTACCAACAAGAACAGACATAATTATGTGTATATAAAATAATCTACAGTACATGTTTTTGTTTAAATTGAAGCTGAGTAAGTACATGTATTACACTTTTAGTATATAATTATATGAAAGTAATGTGCCTCTGAGAGTTCCCCCTCCCCCCAAAGTTTTTTTTTTTTTAAATTTTAATATTGTTTATTGTTTTCTTCTTGTCTAAGAATTTTTATAATAGGTATAAAATAACAAAAAAATGACTTTGTTCCCTCTGGAAAGTTCGTGAGAATGGTGCACAGTTTCCATTTCCATGAAATATAGTTTTCACAATTGTTTAGTTCCCCTTTTGGGTATTTAGGTGTGTTGTTTGCTTTTTGTTTTATTTTTGTTTGTTTATTTTTTGGCTGGTCAAAAAATGAGACATTTTTTTTCAGCAGGTTTGATCCACCCACCTCCGGAAAAATTCCTTGATCTGCCCTTGTAAAGCATTTCCAATGATTTTAACTTGCTTGTAGTTCATCAGATTTTATACGCTTTATTGCTCTTACGTATGCTTACACGAGAGAGAGAGAGAGAGAGTGTGTGTGTGTGTGTATACTTGTATGAAAATGCAAAAAAATATTTATCCACAATTTTGCAGTTAGGGTTTCAAGTAATCCTTACAGATTCTCTTAAAATACAAGAAATTGTATAGGTATCAAATTTTATATTATCTAGGGAAAATTTTCAACCTGGAAAGGCTTCCTATACATACATATAAAACAGGCACGTAGCACCATTTCTCAAAATGTGTATATGCGATGGGGAGCGGGGGGTAGTAAAATGATTGATAAGCCAAAAAAAACTTAAAAAAACTTTAGGCACTTAAAAATTGGGAGGGATGCAGAAAAATACCAAAATACTTATGGAAAAAATGAAGAAGGAAAACAGGGATTGAAAAATATCCGTAGTCAGGGGGAGGACGGATTCCATTCATACTATCATTTTTGGAAGAAAAATATTTGAGTATACAATACAGTATCGTTGGATGAGAGTGGGGAGAGCCAGCCATTCTTTAAAAAAATCCTTTAGTTACAAAATTAACCATAAAAGACAGGCCTGTAGAACGCGTGGATTGGGGTTGCCCCCTCCCATTTTTCCAGAGCATTTTTTTTAGCTTGTCTAAGATTTTTCAGGTAAAGTGGTAGGCTGTATGATGACATGACAACGTGTTTACTGTTGAGTATTTATAGAGTTTATTACTTTTCTGTGTTGCATATTTCAATGAAATACAAGGCGTAAATCACTCGGCATGTGCACATCTTCGAACGAGTACAGTGGTCTATCTTGGAGGTATGAATAAGTTTACAGCGTTCGACACGTTCTCTCGGTATGCATCATTATATTTGCATATGGACATACATATCAAATACGCTGGTTGTTTGTTCCATTCTTACAATAGATAATTGCAGATTGTTTGTACAAGTTTTACTGTGAATTATTCCAAGTCAATTATGCTATATATCTGTATATTGGCATGCTTTTAAAGAACATGCACAACTATGTTTTTTTCTTCCAAACTTGCATTTATATTATTCAAAACGATACTTATAAATATCTTTATGACTGTTTTTATCTGCTATGGTTTTGAAATGTTTTCATCAATTCGTGTGTTCCAAGATACTTTACTATCGGAGATGTGCACGCGTCGATAGCCAAACCAAAAACTCACTCAAGTGTAACGAGGGCATTGGGGTATACATTGTTACAATAAGACAAGGTATCTGAAAGAAATGTGGCAGAATATGGCTAGTTGGTATGAAACAAGTCGTACATTGATGCAAATGTTGCGCTTTTAAGAATTCATGTCAGCTTTAATGAAAGTTTCATGCATGTAAGCTAGATTTTTGATTTATAGGATTAATTTATTCATCAGTTTTAAGAAAAAGTGAGGAAACGTTGCTTAAATGTAATTGATTAATGTTTTACATTTTTAAATGTAGAATATCCAAGGTTGTGCTCAAGACGCGGGGGCCAGGGAAATTCCCCGTCTGTAATGACTTAATCCCACTGTCATTCTGGCATTTCTTCCTCAAACCCCACTAGAGGAGGAATCCAAGACACCCTTCTACTTTTAAAATGTCCACTTCCTATTTCAGTTCTTATGGACAACCCTGAATACCTGGTCACCTTAATAAAGATTTTAAAGTTCAAGAATCATGCATATATCTCTGGTCCCCTTAATGATGGGTTAATGCATGTAAGCTAGATTTTTGATTTATAAGGATGTTTTATTCTTCAATGTTAAGGAATAGTGAGGAAACATGTTGCTTAAATGCAGAATACCCACGGTTGTGCTCAAGATTCAGGGGCCAGGTAAATTCCCCACTTGTATTGACATAATCCCCCAGTTATTCTGGCATTGCCCCCTCAACCCTCACTAGCAGAGGAATCCAAGATAACCTTTCACTTTTAAAATGTCCTCTTTCTATTTCAGTTCTTATGGACAACCCTGAATACCTGGTCACCTTAATAAAGATTTTAAATTTCAAGGATCATACATATATCTCTGGTCACCTTAATAATGGGTTTATGCTAGATTTTTGTTTGATACATTTTCATTCAACAAATTGTTCCACCAAATTTTTTCCTTTGAGTTTTGCAGATCAATGTGACATTCTAGATGAAAATTCAGTATTTCATGACCTTAATAAAGATTTTTGAGTTAAAAGAGTACTTGTATGAGGGTTGTCCAGAAAGTTCTTAGACAAATGCCATAATTTTCTTGATATTGACCACACTGCCAAGTGTATACAACATAATTTTGATATAGACCATGATTTAGTAAATATATAAAAATTAAACAATATACACTATTTTACAAAAATTATAGGTGTGAATAGATTGTATATACAAGCTGCACAGCCCAGTATGACATTAAGTTAGTTTCATGATAACGTCAAGAATATGGATTTTGAATTTTTAGCTCACCTCAACGAAGTTGGGGAGTTCATGTAATACCATCAGTGCAGGCGTCCGCATCCCAGGTTAAAGTTTTTGGAGCAGATTTCTTTTCAAGTACAGTCAAACCTCGTTATGTCGAACTCAAAGGGACAAAGAAAATACTTTGAAATAACCGAGGATTTAAGATATTCAGGGTAAAATACTTAGTAAGGAATAAGCAGATGGGACTTCAAAATATGACTTCGACATATCCATGGTATTCGAGATATATTCGTGTTCGAAATACAGAAGGTCAACTGTACTTCTACATGTATGCCCTATATTAATCAGAGATGCATGAAGGATGCTTCTAGTATGTTTCATTGTACCAGTCAAGGTTTCAGATGCTGCAAATTCAGCTAAAGGGAGCATATCCAAGTAGGGTTGGATACCGGTACTCGGTACCAATACCGAACCGAATAGTTACTTCAAAAATACCGGTAAAATACCGTTTCATTTAATACCGGTACTAATAACGGTATTTCTCAGTCTTTGAAACATTTTAATACATTCAAAATGATTTTTAAAAAAGAGATTCCAGACTCGCTAAAATAAAATTCTCCGCGCATTGAAAGGGTAGGCTAATTAAAGAAATGGATGCTTAGTACGATACTTCCTTTTGACTGCTGATATTCAGGGTAAATCAATACGTATATTTAAAAATAAAAAAAAACATTCACATTAATGGTGTTTTAATTTTATTTATAAAAAACTAATAATAATTGTAAATAAAAAATGCAAAATGTCGCAAAAATGTGATGTGCATCTATATCCATTTTTAATGTTTCGTCGTTTAGTGCGACCAAACAAAATGGGTCCTGGCAAGTGGCAACCGGGTGAAGCAGTCAGCTGTATCTAGTTAAATTGATTTGTTTGAGATTCAATTTATTTGTTTTGTTGATGATTTATTAAAAGACTGAAATATAACATAGTTTATATGCTCATTTTAGATTATAACATTGAATGGTTGAAGATTGATGAAAGCACATTTGTTACAAAATGAGCCCTTATTCTCATTTATCGAGGTATAGTACCTTATGGTTAAAAATACCGTATCGTTCTAAAAATACCGGTATGGTATCGTACCGTTTCATCCTTAACGGTATCCAACCCTATTTCCAAGTAACTATAAGCCCTATAATATTGACCAAACTTGCATGGATAATACATATAAGGATGCACACTACCAGACCTGCTTCAATTGCTGGATCTGACCTACATTTTAGAGATGAGTGACTAGATTAAAGTTTTTTGAGCAGGTTTCATTTCCAAGTAACTATAAGCCCTATATTGACCAAACTTGTACGAATGATACATCTTAGGATGCACACTACGTGACTTGCTTCAGATGCTGAATATGACCTACATTTTCCAGATGAGTGACCAGTATAAAATTTTTTGGAGCAGGTTTCATTTCCAAGTAACTATAAGCCCTAGGTTGAACAAACTTGTACGAATGATACATCATAGGATGCACACTATACTTGACTTCCTTTAGATGCTGAATATGACCTACATTTTCCTTCTGGATGAGTGACCAGGTTAAAAGTTTTTGGAGCAGATTTCATTTCATAGTAACTATAAGCCTGGTATTAACCAAACTTGCATGGATGATGTATCTAAGGATGCACACTACTGGACTTGCTTCAGATGCTGGATCTGACGTACATTTTCCAGATAAGTGACCAGGTTTAAAGATTTTTAGCAGGTCCATTACCAAGAAATTATAAGGGCTATCTGGACCAAACTTGCATGATGATGCATCATGGGATAAACACTCTCAAACTTGCTTCAGATGGTGGATTTGACTTACATTTTTGGATGAGTGACTAGTTTAAATTTTTTAGGTAAGCCCATTCCCAAGTAACTGCAAGCCCTAATAGACTAAAATTGCATAAATGTTACATCTAGGGATGCAGACTTCTAGATTATTAGTTTAGTGTGGGACTTTGCCTTACTTAAAGACAACATTCGTTGAGGTGAGCTCTGTTATCTCTTATTACCTATGATTATCAAGTATTTGTGGTGCACACACAATTTTTTCATGGTTTAGCCACACTGCTAGTGTGTGTGTGATATTTACATATAGACCATAATGGAGTAAATTTTTAAAATTCAATAAATGATAATTTAAGAGTGTCATCAGTATGCACACTTCCTGTATATAGCTGCAGAGCCCAGTCTGATGTTGTGTTTTATTTATTACATATTATTATGCTTCCTGTCAGTTTGTCTCTATGTAATCAATACCCAACTATTTTCGCATAGTGTTCTAAGGAATTATATATCGTAAGCATACTATGCCAAAATAGCTAGTGCATGGCTTCTTTTTCTGAAGAAAATCCAACAGCGCCCACGCCATGGATCGAACTCACGACCCCGAAATCGTCAGTCTGACTCGCTACCGATTACACCACAGACGCCATTATCTAAAGCACTGTATTATAATATATATAAACTTAGTAGGGTTGGATACCGTTAAGAATGAAACGGTACAATACCATACCGGTATTTTTGAAACGATATGGTATTTTTAACGGTACGGTACTATGCATTGATGAATGAGAATGAGGGTTCATTTTATAACAAATGTGTTTTCACCATTCACTAACCTTTCAATGATATAATCTAAAATGAGCTAATATAAACTATGCTTTTAATTAAGAGATAACAATAGATATTCCTAATATTCAAATTACAAACATTTCATTTCAACCTTTCAATAATAATCAACAAAACAAATCAATTGAATCTCAAACAAATTAATTTGCATAAATCGGCTGACTGCTTCACCCGGTTGCCAAGACCCCTTTTGTTTGGTCGCACTAAATGACGAAACATTAGATAATAGATAGATCACATTTTTTGGGACATTTTGCCATTTTAATTTACATTTATTATCAGTTTTTATTTGTAAAATTAAAATAAGATTCATGTGAATGTATTTTGATTTTTTTTCTTTTTAAAAAAAATATACGTATTGATTTATCTCGAATATCGGCAGTTGAAAGTAAGTATCATTCTAAGAATCCATTTCGTTACATGTAATTAGCCTACCCTTTCAATGAGCGGAGAATTCGATTGCAAGTTTGGAATTGTTTTTTTTTTTATAAATCAAATTGAATGTATTTAAATGTTTTAAAGATTAAGAAGTACCGTTATTAGTACCGGTATTAAATGAAACGGTATTTTACCGGTATTTTTTAAGTAACTATTCGGTACGGTATTGGTACCGAGTACCGGTATCCAACCCTAAAACTTAGTTTCAAATATTTTACACTTAAAGAAAAAAAATAAAATAATTTTCTAAAATAGTTTCTTGCAATTTTTTCCCCTTCACTCAACTAAAATTCTCTGAAACTTCATGTATCTGTACATGGAACATTCAAAATTAAAGAAAAAAGATTATGATGTACATGTAGCACAACATGACATCATAATAGGGGTGTACTAATATGAATGTAAGAGGTGATGAAACATTGGAAATGGAGATAATATTGTCGTTTTTATACAACAGTCAGCATAATAATAACAGTAGTGTTGTACCTTGCATGCACTATGCCTGACTACTATATAGGCATAGTGCATGCAAAGTACAACACTATTATACAATCATGTCATGAATAGAGCTATGCTATTTTCATCAAATAGCAGTAATTGTAGTTTTCCACTTTTTGTACTGTCTTTGAAATTGTACTCTCCTTTGAAAAATCATATATTATATACCAATTTCAACTCAATGACCTAAATATATTCTAATAATTTTTAGATGTTTGAATAATTAGTTTGTCTCTGACATCGTTTCAACCATATTTTAGATAATACATAATTTTATGATTGGACGCTGTTCCATACGGATGGCTGATGTCGCTTTTTCTGTCAATTTTTGAAACATATTTGTTGCAGTTTTTTCTTAATTAAGGTCAAGAATTAGTAAATGAAAGGAGCCTACAATTTCTTTAATTTGAGAAATAGATTCCTTTAATGACTATAACTTGGTCAAATAAGGTGTATTGGAGCATAACTCTTAGGTAAACAAGATTAAAAAAATCATATTTTAGGCTGTTATTTTCAATGAAAAATTAAGAAAACCTGTCATGAATATGGGAGTTTATTTCCATGTCAGACAAAGGAAATGTATCCAGATTGCCTACAGTCTCTAAGAAAACTGTAATTTGTATGTTCTTAGCTTTTGAGGTAAAAAGTTAAATTTAACATGTACCATATAGCTGAACTCGACAATTAGTCACCAAAATATTTGTTTATAAATGACAGGAAAGTTCTTGAATTTCTCTGCCATTGACATTAGGTGTGTAATAGGAAAATGCAATAAGCAAGAACAGGATTTGAACCCAGCCCTCTGAATCACTAATCAGGTGCTTTAGCATGTTTATTAACTGAGTGATCTGGCAATGGTGATCAAGCCTGCGTGATCGCCATATTCCTCCCTCCTTAAATTGTATTTGCCCTTGAAGACACAACTCAAGTTCTTCTTACCCCTGGCAAGCCTTTTACCTGCAAGTCGAGGGGTGATCAATGGCACCAAATAAATATGGGATGGACCAAACCAGGATTTGAACCTAGGTCCCCTGAATCACTAGTGTAAGTTTCTTTTTAAAAGGAATAACATTTTAATACACATAGTAAATTAGAATTTTATTTTTTCAGGAAATGGATAAAAAATATGTATGTGTCGAGCAACTATAGCCACTTGATAGAAGGGTAAATTAGAAAGTTCAGATTACATTATGCCAACAAAGATGATAACAAAACCAACCAAGCTAAAAGTTGTCCAGGTTAGAATCATTTTTTTCAATAAATTATGTACATTTAATATTATCATATCAACTTACATTGATGATTGTTATTTTTTTATATACATGTTGTGTAGGAAAACTTTTGTATTGGAGCAAGACAAGTTAATGACTTAATGATAGACTCACTGCAGAGAGAGATGTTGGAAAAGTGGATTTTGTTAACAAAAGGAAGATAAGGTAAAATATGAGAGGAGTTGTGAGTTTTGTATGACACAGTACTATTTGTTAACCAAAAAATTAATCTGAAAAATCTTGAGAAATTTAAGTAAAGAAACTTCGTGAAAAGGAGCACATGCACATAAGGGGAAGCAACCTATTGAAAATTATCTTGCAGCTGTTCTCGGGTCAAAAAGTGTTTTAGGATTAATAACTTGTATGCATATATATAAGGAAAATCTGCATAAGAGAAGAAAGAGGGTGCATCTAGATAAACAATTTTATTTCTCTATGTTAAACAGCTGACATTGACTGTGTTCTTGATTTTAAAAAATATGTAAATATGTTGGGGTAACTTCAACTGAATGTTAACGTCTACTTTAATTAGTTCATCGAAACTTGTGGACAGGATCATATGATCCTGCATGTACTATTTAAGCCTTTATTTTTTAGCTCACCTCGACGAAGTCGAGATGAGCTTATGCTATACCCCGGCGTCGGCATTAGCGTCGGCGTCTCGGTTAAAGTTTTAGGAGCAAGTCCCATTCCCAAGTAACTATAAGCCCTACCTGGACCAAACTTGCATGGATGATGCATCTAGGGATGGACACTACCAAACTTGCTTCGGATGCTGGATCTGACCTAGATTTTCCAGATGAGTGACCAGGTTAAAGTTTTAGGAGCAAGTCCCATTCCCAAGTAACTATAAGCCCTACCTGGACCAAACTTGCATGGATGATGCATCTAGGGATGGACACTACCAAACTTGCTTCGGATGCTGGATCTGACCTAGATTTTCCAGATGAGTGACCAGGTTAAAGTTTTAGGAGCAGGTCCATTCCCAATTAACCATAAGCCCTACCAGGACCAAACTTGCATGGATGATGCATCTAGGGATGGACACTACCAAACTTGCTTCGGATGCTGGATCTGACCTGTATTTTCCAGATGAGTGACCAGGTTAAAGTTTGAGGAGCAGGTCCATTCCCAAGTAACTATAAGCCCTACCTGGACCAAACTTGCATGGATGATGCATCTAGGGATGGACACTACCACACTTGCTTCGGATGCTGGATCTGACCTGTATTTTCCAGATGAGTGACCAGGTTAAAGTTTTTGAAGCAGGTCCATTCCCAAGTAACTATAAGCCCTACTTGGACCAAACTTACATGGATGATGCATCTAGGGATGGACACTACCAAACTTGCTTCGGATGCTGGATCTGACCTAGATTTTCCAGATGAGTGACCAGGTTAAAGTTTTAGGAGCAGGTCCTTTCCTAAGTAACTATAAGCCCTACCTGGACCAAACTTGCATGGATGATGCATCCAGGGATGGACACTACCAAACTTGCTTCGGATGCTGGATCTGACCTAGATTTTCCACATGTGAGACCAGGTTTAGATTTAGGAGTAGTCCTGTTCCCAAGTAACTATAAGCCCTACCTGGACCAAACTTTCATGGATGATGCATCTAGGGATGTACACTAACCAACCTGCTTTGGATGCTGGATCTGACCTAGATTTTCCACATGAGTGAATTTTAGCCATATTTTAACCAAATTAGCATGGATGATGTATTTAGGGATGGACAATTCCAGACCTGCTTTGGATTCTGAATCTGACGTACATTTTCCAGATGAGTGACCAGGGTAATTTTTTTGGAGTAGCTATATAATATTATGGCCTGTTATGATTAAACTTGCATAGATGGTGCATCTAAGGATGAAAACTTCCAGACTTGCTTTGGATGTTGAAACTGACCAAAATTTTCTTGATTACTAAACAGGTCAAAAGTTTTTTGAGCAGGTCTATAATTAAACCAAACTTGCATGGATATTGATCTTGGGATGTACCCTAACTAGAAAAAAATATGATGTGAAATTTGCCTTACATGTAGATAACATTTGTCGAGGTGAGCTTTGTAATCTTTGATTACCTATGTTTTTTTTAACTTAGATGCTTAATTTAGCTTTGACAACTGAGTGTGTTGAACATCATTATCAAAGATTCCATTCATTTAAGATTTTATGTCGGTTAAGAAATGTGTCATTTAGGGGGATTTGTTTTTTATACATGTGCGTAAGTTATTTTGTAATTACTTTATAGCAAAGTAAATTTTTCAATTATGTTTGTTCTAATTTTTAGAGATTAATAGAGATTTTTCTTTTCTTTTTTTTTTTTTACAGATCAAGGCTGCCAACCTTTGAGAGAAACACTTCAAAAAAGAGTGTTTAAATTCAAGACATTCAGTTACAGTACTCTATAAAAATTATAAAGTAAAAGTTATTTATTTAATTTGGAAAAGTATTTGAGAAACAGAGGATGTGAAAAAGACTTTGTCCATTTCAAGCTATCTGTTGTCAAGTACCAGGCATATGTGGATTTTATTCAACAACTTTATTATAAATTTGAATAGCAACTTTCAATATCTGGAAGCATTTTTATCAGTAGGGATGTAGATGTTAAATTATATAAAAATTATTATTTACCAAGGATATTTATCAAGAAAATTTTTGTAGATTAATAACAGGTAAAATTTGTAATGAGAGATCTTTTATTGATCATTTGCAGTAGTAAGTGACACTTGTTATAATTATACCCCTGACTCTGAAGGAGAGGGGGTATACTGTTTTACCCTTGTGTGTCTGTCTGTGTGTCTGTCCGTATCAATTTTTCGTTGCAGTTTTCTCAACAACTAATCATCAAAGATGCTTGAAATTTTAACACTCTATGAATAGGCATGCCATATTGTGGGATTCATGAGTGAATATTCACATCAGAGCGGGGGTATTACTAGTGAGCATTGGCCCACAGTCTTCCTGATTATCTCTATAATTTAAGAAATCCAGTAATTGAAAGATATTTGTGCAATTTTATGATACCTGGTAATGCTTGCACACCTTATCTGAATCAAATTTTGAGGAAGTACCACATAAAACTTTTTTTTTGGGGGGGGGGGGGGGGGATTTTTTCTTTTAAAAAATGCAAGGGTTTTCGTCATTTAATATTTTTTTCAAAACTCCTGATACATGTACATGTAATGTATGCTGTTTTTTTGTCAAAGAACATCTAATGGTATCATGATTTTAAATTATATTTTCTCTGAAAATTATCAGTTGGAAGGTTCACTGTAAAGTGCATGTACATTGCATATGACCTTAAAAGTACTGTGGTGGCAAAAGGCAAGAAAAAAAAAATCTTTAATATTTTTCAATTTTGGTACATGTACTATATTTTTATTTCGTTAATCTGTCAATTTTAGATCAAAGGAATAAAGGTTAAAAACTATTATTTGACTCTTTGTTTTCATGAGTTATCTAGAGCAGGCCTGTAGCAACAGTTTCAAAAGAAAAAAACCCAAACTGACTAAAAGTGGGGGGGGGGATTTCCCGAAATTAACTGACAAGCAAAAAAGAAAAGGTGATTTACTGTCCAAATCCTGGAATTTTCCAGTGCCTTACAACATCAAAAAGGGGGGGGGGAGGCATCCAGCATCCCCCCCCCTTTCTACGCGCCTGCTAGAGACATCTAATAGTCTATTTTAATCAACATGTGAATGCAAATTTCAAATGGTTTATCAACTAATATAGATAGATGTATGTTGGAAAGTACCAAGAGAATTTTGTAATTATATACATGTACATGTACATTATACAGCTGACCATATGGTCTGAAGTTGACATTAAAAATTGCAAAGTTGTAGAGTAAAATCAAAACTTGTGCCCCAGATTTTGTGATGACAGTGGCATTTTTCTTTTTAAAAAAATTTTATGAGTTCAAGTGAGCTTTGTCCAGTGTCTGCCCATCTGACTATCCACTTGTCTGTAAACTTTTCACATTCGACTTCTCAAGATCCGCTAGGCCATTTTTAACCAAAGTAGCTACAAAGCATCCCTGGGTAAAGGGAATTTTAAATTTTTAAAACGAAGAGCCAAGCCATATGCTTCCAAGGAGGAATAATCAAGAAAAGGCAGAAACAGGGTGGGGTCAAACAGGGTAAATAATCTCAAGAACCACTGGACCAGAAAAGCTGAAACTTATGTGAAAGCTTTGCTAAGGTAGTGTAGATGTCAAGTTGTTTAAATCATTTCCCTGGGGTAGGATAAGGCTACAATAGGGGGTCAAAGTTTTACATTGAAATATACATTTATATGTAAAAAAAAAAATCTCCAGAATCACTGCATCAGGAAAGATGAAATTTAGCAAACTTTACTTAAGAATACATCTATATGGGGGAAACAGCAGGGCCAAAGTAACTCAAGGTGAGCGTTGTGGGCCAAGGGCCTTACATTGTAAAATTCAGGATGACCGTTACAGACATTGGAACGTGGATGTTGGGTCTGTCTGTTGAACATTTTTTTTTTGTTTACCTTATACGATATGTGGATTATTCTTTCCCCAAAGCATCATATTTCATATTACTTCAAAGGTAGAAAAAGAAATTATAGAAGTTAATTGAATTAATCATTGCACATCTTTGCTAACTATACTACATACTTGTAATTTAATAAAAATAGGGGAATTAATCATTGCACATCTTTGCTAACTATATTACATACTTGTAATTTAATAAAAATAGGGGGCGGACTGGACTACTTCGACACCTTCCACCGCTTGATCGCTACCGAACGGTCTCTCAGTTCAAGTCGTCGAAAAATAATTGCATATCAGGCTCGTAAGAACTGGGGGAGACATGGAGACCAGCCCCCCCCCCCTTCCTTTTAATTTTGCCGTTATAAACTACACAATATTATTAGATCAAAAGTATCAAAATTACGGTTATGCCCCTCATAAATAAAGTTTGTAGACTTGATTTTTGTTCAGTTGCGCCCCATTTCCTTACTGTAACTGCATCCTATAGATCAGCCATGTTACATACATGTACTACATGTAGTAATTAGTGTCTTTTTAATACATACGAAAGCTATCAGTTTTGTATTATTATTTTTTTTTTTTGTTCAACTCACTAAATATTCGTTCCTTGGGAGAATTGTGTTCTTTGAGATGTAGGAGACAAAATAAACTTAGTACTATTCATTATTATCAAGCTACATTCTTCGCCAATCAAGGAAATTTTCAGTGATTTAAACTAAAAACTTGTAGACATCATGGAAAATCGCCTGCGAGAAAGTGGCCAAGGGGTTGCTGAAAAAGTTATTTATCCGACATTATTTTCAATTACATATAAATATATAAAATGACTCGTATGTATACATTTACACAAACATTTTTTTTTTAAATAGAGTCCAGAATATGATTCTTGCAAGAAACAAATAATGTAAGTAGGTGAATAATACAACAATCATACCTTTACGAGCAGGTTTTTCCGTGAGTTGAAAGGGTACCTGTTCTGTTTTTCAGTCTATAGAATTTGACTTCTCCCTTACATAACACCCCCATCCCAATGACAAAAATATAAAAGCAACATCCACTATTTTTTTAATGACATATTAACATTGACAATGAATTGCGGCATCAGAGACAGAATGTTAAATGAAATGTACACAAAAAATTAAAACTTATTAATTACTTGCAATTGTATGGTAATTTGTTTGTAAAATGAATATAATTAAAATTATTAATTTATGTGAAAAACACACACACACACAAAAAGGAAATAGAACGCGTGTCATTTAAAAAAAAAAAAAAACATGCCAAAGAGCTGACGGGATTCCACTACAAAACAGGGACACGCCCTTTCCATGATAATAAACACGTGGAGTTCTATCTGGTGATAATTCACATTTGTTTGATTTTGAAGAGTTGAGAAGTAGAAGGCAACCGGAAACAGAAACGTCTTCTTTTTACATGAATTTTACTCATGTCCAAATTTATAAACCCCCTTCACATGCGTATATTTACAGACAGGGAGCAAATTTTACATACATGCAAAATTTGCACCTTGATGTATTTTAGCGAATGCAAACGGGGGGGGGGGGGGGGGGGGGGGATAAGCAAGTTTTGTACGCGAGTATTTTTACTCCTAGTGCAACATTTACATCTAGTCAGACTAGGTTCAAATAAAATTTTACATACGAGTAAATTTACTCCTTATGTATTTTCAGTCATCTGAACGCATAACAAAATTTAGATAAGAATAGAAATATTGCAATTGTCTAAAAAATACAGCATCAATTGATTTCATTGAAAAAACTGGAAAGTCCTAACAAGTATATTTACAAAGTACTTCGAAAAAGCAAATTTCATGATCATACTGATGTATTTACAAATGTCTCTGTCCGTGATAATACTACAAAAATTTAAAAAACAGTTTGAGAGTGCACGTGCACCCATCGCAAAAATAAGAGTAAATTCTCCATCCATACATGAAAAGTAAACGAGCGCATGTGAAACTACTATTTGCAACTTTTAAATAATTGTGTACCTATAAATATACCCATTATTATATATTATACATTTCAAAATTATAAAGATCAATAGCGCTTTTGAATTAGATTCAGCAGGAAAATGAAAATTTTTCTAGATATTGTGTGTTGTTTTACGAAAATTTACCTTGAATTTGTTACAAAATTTTATTTACACACGTTTTTCTACTATATTTGTTTCTGTAGGTCATCGCTCCACGATTTTAAAGTGTTATTTGTGTGTATCAAACTATTGAAATTAAAATTTTAGATCCCAAAAAGCCTTTTCTCGACATATTCAGCCATAACTAGAAATAAAATTGCAGTTTTGCTAAAAAAATTATTTGAAACATTTTTTCGTATCGGACAATTCCCTGGTGTTTGGAAACATACTCATGTGATTTCTGTCTTCAAAAGAAATTCATTAAGTTAATTACATACCGGTATCCTTATTATGCTGCATAGGAAAAATCTTGAAAGAGTAATGTTCAAATACATTTGTAAATTGTTATACAAACTACATTATGGCAGGAGCGTAGCCAAATAAAAGTGAAGTATACGAAGAGGACGACAGGGGTGGGGTGGGGTTTATTTCCAGTTTTCACAAATCAAAACTATATTAAATATATTAACAAATTAGCATGTTTTAACTATGCTACAACAAAAAGTGGAAGGGGGCAACCACCCTTTCAGTGAACGTTTTCAATAGTCAAAAGTTAGGTTTGGAAAAGTGTAGGCAGGGAACCCTCCTCCTCCTCCTCCCTTCTCCCCACGATACTACATGCCTGCTGGTGAGGGCCCAGAAGTTTCTGAGTTTTACCAAATACATGTATATCATTCATTTTCTTGCAAAATAAAAATTATGTCATTTATCTTTTGTTTTGAAATAGAAGACATAATATTTATTGTTTTAACGCAAAATTAATACTTCTACGGAAACTTAGTGTACATGTAGTTTAGGCTAAATATCTAATCGATATTTGGTATCATACTCTTTTCTATCGTTCAAAAACTTGTATACTTAATGTTAATTATGAACAAAAAACATCGTATTTTAAATCATATACTACATGTAGTAGATCATGACATTCAAGGATGTGTCTGAAATTTTATTTCTCAAAGATCTTTTAAAAAAATATCAAAAATTATCAATGTATCAAAGAACGAATACAAGTTCATGAATGCTTTATTTAAATTTGGCAATGATTTAATAAAGGACTTCAAATTTTATTATATAGTCATGATTATATAAAATCCAAAGCGCTCTTCAGCAGTATGACACAAAACAATTCGAAATCCGAATATTTGTTGGATGGTACTGAGATTTTTTCTTCGAATAACTCTCTCTCTCTCTCACCCATAGATTTTATTTATTCATTCATTCATTATATTTATTATCTTTTTTTTTTACAATTATGTGTATGCACTTGCGTATTTGCGTATAGGCAGCTACGCGCCTGTGTGGATTTTTAAGAAATCATTAAACAGTCACCCAGTTAAAAGAAATTTATCATAATAAATGGTTTGTGTTAAACAATAAAGAATTCGAATTAACTTGTTTTGCATTTTATGATAACAGCAAGACATTCGATGCGGTTTATTTAAAAGAACAAGAGACAACATAGATTTGCGGGTGAAGTTCTTACCTTGTTGGCTAATAATCTTTTCAATCCATCGCAACAGATCAAAAATAAATTTTCAGTATATTTAGTGAGAAAGACGGAAGCTGGACTTCCCCAGGGCTCTATTATTGGACTTCAACTTTTCTTTGTTGATATACAGTACCTACCAGGTGGTCTATTGGGTACCTCTAGAATATTGGCATATGATGCATATTCGCGTCAAACACCTTTCAAAACGTGCAGAACTTAGAAAGCCTGAGCAATCACGACTTATAAATGAAGAATGGCTAAAAGCGACTTGTGAAATTTAATCCCAATTACCAAGCTAAAATTATTAATATTTTGCAGCAATGAGGATAAAATATATAATTGCACTTAGTGTTGAATAATCAGCAAACTGATCCTTCTCTTGGTCACTATCATCTTAGACTTACATTCTCAAACCCTGGGGAGTGGACAAACCACACTGACAGTATTAACAAAAGGCTTCCAAAGAAATTGCAGTTTTTCGTAAATTAAAAGGGTTACGTATCCTGACTTCCTAGCTTAAATGTATTCTAGTATTACATTTATACATGTAAGACCGATACCACTTTTGGAATATGCATTAGAAGGATGGAACAGCATCTCCGCAGCTGCTCTGAAAGGCCTGATAAACTTCAGCAAGAAGCTGTACATGTTGTAACTGGCGTTCCTGTTTATCGTGCCTTGCAAGATTTCAATTTTTTTGTGCTCCCACCGTTCATTATTCTTAAATTGAATTATTTAACTATTCTCTGTTAAATTTTAGTTCACTATAACCTTACAACTGTAAGAAAAAAAAATGTCGACCTAAGCCAGATTTAGTACTTACGAAAATATACACTGGTCACCTTAACTCACGTGAAAGGGTTACAAAATATTAGGGAGACCAATTTTTTTGTATATTTTTACCTACAAGTTTTCTGTAAAATTTAGCATTAGAATGGTAATTAATAAGCCCAAGTACCATCAAAAATGCAGTTGGTTTTTATTTCAAAGCATAGGGGAAAAAGATAAATTTTGTCTACTTAAGCCAGATTTCATGGCATTGGTCCCCTAATACAGAAATCAGGATTATATATATATATATATATATATATATATATATATATATATATATATATATATATATATATATATATATATTTCTAGGTCTTCGGAGAAAATTGCACCTTTGCACCTTTGTAATGCTTATAAAAAGTTTGTGCTATCATTGCAGGACATCACAGATCACTTCTAATTTCATATCATGCTATTAAGCATTGGTAGATTTCTGTAGTGTATTTTAGGTAATACCTTTACATTCAATAAAGTTGGGCTCCAAGCTCTACAAATAAGAGGTTTCCTTACATTTATTCAACGTTTATGAAAAGGGGGGGGGGGGGTTGTCATGGACGCCTACGTAACACATTCGAGGTTGTTTTTACGCTTGTCGGAAAGGCCCGAGATGTTTCGATTGGCTTTACCAGAGACACCTATAGCATTGATAATCACTCATCTAATTATTTGTCTCTTGAGCTACAGCCGTCCCCAATTTATGCCACAATAAAATTCCTTAATCACATGCTTTGTTTTTGAATAGGCACTAATTTGAAATAACAGTTCATTATTCTATTTTAATTTAAATAAAATTCCAATGGTCCCAAATACCCTCGACCCCTCCCTGTCTGCATTTGCCTAATTAACATAGGTACTGAAATGGGAAAAAAAAACCGAGCATGTACTATGAAAAATTATGCAGACTTTATCTTATCTCGAGTCATTAAATTATCAGAATACATGCCCTCGTAATATATTAATGACGGATATTCTATATGGAAACACTCATGAACAAGGATGTTGCCAGGAATCTTACATAAATGCAGTTTATCGAAAGAAATGTCTGTCTGTTGCACTGCACTTTTTGATGCTCTGACATGTATATTTCATGAATAAGTGGGAAAATGTGAAGATTCTGTAGAAGACAATATGAAAAAATAATAAAGGTGAGTTGTGTTGAAATCGATAGATCTGGTGCTCTGTATAAAACTTCTTACATCGAAGCAGAAGAAGAAGAAGTGGTTTCGTTGTACATTTTGTGTTGAATACAAGTAAATGCACTTAGAAAAATGGTACAAGTAATTCACTTCCCATCTCCCCTCAAAGAATGTATTTATGTATATCATTTTAAAAATTAATTAGTAAATTGGGCTTTTCTGAGTATAATTGAATGCCAGTTCTCAAGAAAACAAATAAATAAATAACATGGATATCGAGGTACATGTTTTATGTTGCATAAATTATAAGGTTTTGTACGTTTACCTCTTTAGAAAGTTAAACATGCTCTTCAGAACTAGAACCCACATGAAAATTCCTACGCAGCTTTGTGGTGGATCATGAAATTTTATAAAGATGGGCAACTTTTACAAATGAGGCATTTGCTTTACGTATATCATAATTACATGCATATTCATTATCGTATTGTCTTGTACCTTTCTCTCTCGCTCTCTCTCTCTCTTTCTCTGTGTGTGTGTGTGTGTGTGTATTATTCAGCTTAGTCCAATACATGTATATGTAATTGTTATCCTTTGTAAAGTGAATCAACCCATCCAAATTCAGCAACACGTATACTTAAAACAGCTGTCCCTAAATAAATATCCAGGAAAATCATGGAAAACTTAAAAATCGATTACGCATCCACCAGTGGATTTACTAGTAGTCTGTATCTTTTTCCATGGATCAGTTGATCAGTAACACCTTACAGCAAGTATTAGGAGGTATTCCTTTAATTTAAATACCACATTGATACGGGTGACTGATCAAAAACCTTCTGAACCATAATATTCGCACAGGTAAACGTTTAATTTTGAATAGAGCCAACGAGGAACCTGTTCCCAGTATATTCACTAGTGTCATTATTCAACAGGTTGTTTATGCTGGCTGAGGGAAATAGAACTGGAAAAATACAGAAATTGACATGGTTGAAGTTTTTCGAGAAAGGTAAGAATTGGAAAAATCCATTCCTGTGACAAGCTCATACATTGATACAATTATATCATTGCTGATAAAATGATAAAAATGGCTTTTTTCCTGGCATACCTGTAATTAGATTACGAGGTATTGATTATTTTCACTTTTGCAATTGGATTACACAGGTACTCTCTCTCTCTCTCTCTCTCAATTATATCCTGAAACATCAGCTAACAGACAGGTAAGTTTGAAAAATAAAGTACATGGAAAAAATTACCATCAGTACACGTACTAGGTAAAAGGGGGATCCCCCCTTTCCAATCAGTATAACAATTCATAGATAATTACACAGGTATTTATTTTGAAGGTGGGGCGGATGACAGTAATATAGTGGAGCAGACTAGGTCCAAGTCGTGGTGATGGACGGGGAACTATCCCCCAAGAACAGACCTAGGGTAGGGTTCCTTTTCGCCCTAGTCTGTACAACATTCAGCTTCTCGATGTTCTTCATGGCAATGAACAATCTGTGGTATGAAGGTAAAAATTAAAGACTGTTGACAAACAGGTTTAGGTTTTTTACAATTGGATTAAGGATAGGGGATTTAAATCAGTTTCTTGTGGCGTGAGTTGGATTGACTGAATAAGGAAGCAACGTTTTTAAACGAAAGTACACAAAATCAAAGATATATACCGGGTATAGCTGATAAGACAGTGTCTTGACCACATCCTTGTTCTTGAATGTTTCCGCTCCCATTTTTCTTAGATCCCCCTCTCCAGAAAGTTTCTTAAAGTTACTTTTTAATGCAATAAATAAAATTCGGCCAAGGAAGTCGTAAAAATAATAAATTCTGAGTGTTGTAAAAAGAAAGACATTTCTCCGATTCCCCACTTCATTAGACTAAATCGGTTTATTCTCCATAAAATACCTTTTTGCTTATGGAAAATCTATAAAAAAAAAAAAAACAAGTTTAAAAATAGGCAAGCATTGATACTGAGATGTACATGTAACGATACGTATTTAAATCATGTTTTTTTCCCTTTATGGGCGTGTAGGCGATGTGACAGTAGATGACAGTGAAGTCTTGGACTACGAAGAATTTCGAGGACTTGGGGGACCAATACTGCAGGATCACCACCAGCATAGCGGTATTGGTTTCTACACGTATAAAAAATAAAACAAAACTGCAATATATATTTAAAATAAAGTCTTTTCATATAAATACATGTACAGAATTCTAGAATTCTATTTGATTTTATTTTACCCTTCCATCTATCTTATTTTTGTCATAATCTTTGATTAAAATCTTTGTGTTGCAATTCTGTTCTATCTTCTTCGGGATCCAAATGCAAGGAGTATAAATGTATACCTGGTATTTTTTTTCTTATTATACAATAGATCTATTGTCTTTAAAAATTCAGTTTCAAATTTTCTTGTAGATGTGAACGAAGATGCTGCGAATGACCTACGTAAAAAAGTCCGTGTGTTGTGCTGGGTGATGACTGCGCCAAAGAATTTGGACAAAAAGGCCACTGCTGTGAAAAACACGTGGGGAAAACGGTGCAATAAAGTGATATTTTTCAGTAGTGAGACCAACACTTCTTTTCCAACAGTCGGTCTACAAGTGTCCGAAGGGCGCGAACATTTAACCGGGAAAACGATACAAGCGTTTAAATATTGTTACGAACATTATAGGGATCAATTCGACTGGTTTTTAAAAGCAGACGATGACACTTTTATGATTGTGGAGAACTTGAGGTATTTTTTGTCACATCACAGTCCCAAGTCTCTTGTTTTCTTCGGGCATAAATTCAAGCCTATTGTGAAGCAGGGTTACTTCAGTGGTGGTGCGGGCTATGTCTTGAGTAGAGCCAGTCTAGATAAGTTTGTGACGGAAGGCAGCGTTAATCCGTTCATCTGCAGGCAAGATGGCGGAGCAGAGGACGCAGAACTGGGAAGATGTATGATGAAGCTAGGAATAAAAGCAGGTGATTCTCTAGATACTTTCGGCAAGGAGACTTTCCATCCTTTTGTACCAATCGCTCACCTGGAAGGCCACCATCCAGACTGGTTTTACAAATACAGCGCCCATAAGCCACGAAAGGTAGATAAAAGCTAACTTTTTTGACATCTCAGATGAAATGTCATTGTTAGAACATTTGTTGATTTCTTCGTTACTTAAAAAACTAGTTTCAATTGAATTCAGGTGGTTACTGCTGGTTTAAGTCGCAGAGTGAGTTTTCCGTGACTTACTGAGGGAGGTTTTCAGAATTAAAAAAAGAATACGTTTACTAAAATATTGCTGAAGAAACATTGCTCAAAAAACCAGGCAAAAGGATTACTGAAGCAAAAACAATGCCTATTTTTATCAGAAAACATTGACAAATAATAACAAAATATAAAAATAAGAATCATTGGGTCACTTTTTATATTGGATTTCATTTATTTTAAAAAATACCACTGAAGGTCACTGCATGCCTCATAGAGGAAAAAAATTCTAGCGTTGAAGGTTTTTACCAATTTTGAACAAGGGCAGATAACTGTAAAGGAATTGTGAAATGGTAATAATGAACATAGAGCAAATTCGTCAATGACACAACGATATAAACTGTTAAAGCAGAAATATTCGTGAGGGATTAAATTTTGTTTCGTTAATTGTTAACAATTATCAACGAAATAAATCCCACACGAATTTTTATATGACTATGTATTGAATATGGTTACTCTCAAAACAACGAAATTAAATGCCCACGAAAATATTTCAAATGACAAATCAACGAAATCAGGCTTCTACGGTATTTCTATAATTCAAATTGTCAACACGAATATTTTCAATGATTTTGTTATAAGCTGAGGTACCTTGATTAATTACAGAGTTATCCACAGGGAATGAACGGTATATCTGAGAGCATCCTAATCAAAATTAAATCTTGAATCTGCTTCCAGTATTTTGTTCGTTTTGTTTTGCGTTTATTTTGTATTTGTTTGTGCTTTATTAAAAAGAATAGGGAGCTGACCTTAGTTGTGATCAGAAAGCTGTATAGATATGACATGTAAATCTTCGGGAATATATAAATACTACATCTATCTTTTTTCCTCCTTGCAGGGCCTTGGTTGCTGCAGTGATTACAGTATCTCCTTTCATTATATGTCCCCCTCCGATATGTATCTAATGGACTATTTGTTATACCACCTTAAACCTTACGGCATTGTCCAACAGCCTGGAAAAAATAAACATTTTGACAGCGATCCAGAACCACGCAAGAACGAATAGATGTAACTCATGGTTCAGTCTTTTATATCGAATATGTACGAATCAACATGAGTAACGTGGATTTTTTGTTTGGTTGTTTTTGTTTGTTCGGTTGGTTTTTTTTTTTTTATAAATTTTTTTTTGGGGGGGGGGGGTTTCGATGTGAGATTGAAGAGTTGTGGTGCTTTAAATAACTGTATTTTTATATACATCTATCACCTTACCAGATTATTTTTCTTTCATGTAAATGTAAGTGCAATCCGTCATCTATTATTTACCTCGATTAGTGCAATTTTTCTTGGGGGGGGGGGGGGGGGGATCAATCTACAGTTTATGAAAACAGTAAAATTAAATACGACTACAGCGAAAATGTTTAAAGTAAATTCAGCGATATAATTTACATTTACTGTAGTTTTAAGGCATATTCTGAACTTATCAAATATAAGATAAGATAATGAAATCATGACAAACTTTGCGCATCTTACCTCCACCTGTAAAAATGAGAATGAGACCAATTAAATATGTAAAGATTTACGTTTTTAACGAATAAAAATTGTAAGTTCGCTATAAGCATCATTTACTGTATATGAATTTCATTAATATTTTTCCTTTCTTATGGTAATGAATATTTCTCGCTTGGATCATTAGGTGGACCATAGATTTAAATTTTTCCAAACAAAATACACTCTATGTGTTCTTTATCATTTATGCTGAGTATTGTTTATGTACACACTAAATGAAATTCGAAATATTAAAATGTGACAAATGTAAAATGACTTGATGATTTACTTAGATGAACTTGCTGATTACTGTGATATCATTAATTTTCGTTGGGGTTTAATTTTTGTTGTTTTCGGGGTATGACGATACCCTCGAATTTATGTCTGCATCGAAATAATAAAATTTCTAGCTAAGGTATCATGTTTGAATTCCAACCACAAAATCCAATCCCTACGAACCAATAGTTTTTCCTCAAACCACGAAAACAAATGATTTACAGTATTGTGATTTCATGTGAAAGCCGACGAACGACATTTGCGCCAATTTACCTTTACTTTAGTATAGGAGCTGCTGGCGGCGCTTGGGAAAAGGGACAGTTGCGCACAGGAAAAGAATTTACGTCTTTTTTTACCTGTATAATTAAGAAACATATATAAATGATTCAGAAATAGTAACACACAAATATACGAAGGAAGAATTACACCATCTAATCATATATGAAAAATGGTATGTCTATAAGGCAGTCTGAATTCAAAGCCGATACCTAATCTCGGTACATGTAAAACACTCTTCCAAATATATTACATACTGATCGGCATTACGCTACATACTGATATGGATTATGTTATATACTGATAGGTATTATGGTACATACTGATAGGGATTATGTTACATACCGATAAGGATTATGGTACATACTGATAGGCATCGTATTACATACTGATAGGTATTGTGTTAAGTACTGATAGGCATTACGTTACATGTTACATACTGATAGGTATTGTGTTAAGTACTGATAGGCATTACGTTACATGTTACATACTGATAGGCATTATTCGTAAGGGGTAGTATCTCCTTTCAATTTCATTTGCTGAAGAAATTAAATAAGGGAGAAAAAAAACATTCCGAAAGGAAAACTTGGAAGGAGTTGGTCAAGGTCAAAAGGGAGGGGGTTGAGGATAGGGTAGTTTCAATTCCCTTAATTCCTAGACAACATAATATGTGTTTTGAAAAAAAAAAACCATTATAACATTTTAATTAATTTATCAGCTAAATATTTCTATCGCAAAAGATCTTCCGTATATTTCCCTAGTGTAAAAGTAAGCCGTCGACTGTAAAAGTCGACGCTTCTCGCAAAAGTCCAGTACTAGGAACTTATTGCAAGACTTTATTTATTTTTACAACTGATGCTCTACGGAGCACATAGCTGATTTTTTCACTATAGTATACAGTGTATATAGAAGTCTTTTATATAAATACACATTTTCTTCTAACTCAGGCTGTTCAGTGAAGGGATAAAATAATTAGATGATTCCATCTCAGTTTCCAGTTTTATTTATTCTTTAAGCCAAATAGCTCACCAGATTAAAGAATTATTATACATTCAACAGAACTTAACATATAATTCAAAATTGAGACATTTTATAATTGCATAATACAAAAATGATAAATATGTAAGACTTCGATTTCAATATATATGTATTTTCAAATGTGTCCCCGCAAACAAAGTTTTGAAATGTTAATTCGGCCTGTAAAATTAAAAAAAAAACAACTTGGAAGCGGATCTAGAGGGAGGGGGTGTCCGGAACCCCCTCCCCCGAATTTGCAGAGTTATTAAAAGTATATACTGAAGCCAAAAAACAAACAAAAAACTTTGGGCCCCCTTTGAAAACGTGGACCCCCTACACCATCACGAGGAAATAGGTTTTTTTTTTTGCTTGTCAAGAAATATATCTGGGTTGGAAAATTTTTTGAGTGGGGTGGAACCCCCCTCCACGGAAAAAAAATCCTGGATTCGCGCCTTAGACTCATTAAATAGTCCATTAAATAAACTATATAAAGAGCTTTTGCTGTCCATTAAATAAACTATATAAAAAAGCTTTTACTGTCCATTAAATAAACTATATAAAAGAGCTTTCAGTTTTACATGAAGAAAACTTGATACAAGCGCATTCCGGAATTTTAATCGTCGATCTGCTTAGATTCACAGTTTAGCACGCATTGCTTGTATCCGAGTTGAGAAAATGTCCAACCTGGCCAAAGTCCCTTTTCTGACAGGTGTCAGGCGGTTGTTTTATTTAGTGTCAGTGAATGAAACTTCCTTTAAAGATGTCGAACAAGTTCCGTTGTACATTAATGAAGTAAGATTTTGTACTGTCACTCCATTGTTAAGCACTGTGTTACACAACTTTGGATTAGCGTAAATTATTTCAATGATAATTTAATTCGAGCTATATTTATTTGATAAAAATAATATTTTTTAAAATTTTATTTAATAGTATTGTTTTATTGCGAATCCTGCCCTAGGTTGGAGTTGGTGGGGGTGGGTGGAGTTGTAATCTTTCCGATTGTTTTCAGTGTGTGACGGGAGAGATCAGACTGGGATTAGAACCCAGCCCCCCTGAATCTCCAGTCAGGTGCTCTACCAACTGAGCTATCTGGCTACCGGCGATCGAATCCGTCTGACTGTCACATTCCTTCCTTCTTAAAGGTCTTCGCCCTTGAAGACACCAACCCAGCTCTTCCCTGGCAGGTCTTTCACCTGTCACTTCCAGGGCATGGCACAGCACCAAATGTAATGGGAGAGGAGAAAAATGTGATGGATCAGATCGAGATTCAAACCCGAGCCCTCTGATTCTCCAGTCAGGTGCTCTACCAACTGAGCTATCTGGCCACCAGCGATTGAACCCTTCTGACTGCCACAAGTGCCATTAGCATGATCATGATTAGGCATTACGACTTTCATACAGTACTAGATTTTACAATCTGTTCTGTGTGACTTCTTAATGCATGTATGTTTATGTCTCAGAAAATACTATTTGATCAAATGTATTCTATAAGTGCAAAAAAATTGTGATTGAAGCATGGGGACAAAGCCCTTGCATTTCCTCCCACCAGAGTACAGTTTAGGGAATTGGAAAAAAAAAAAAAAACCTTTTCCATTATCCTCTCTTGTGCATCTAAATATCACAAATCACACCATATCTGGTTAGCCTTACAGGTATAAAAGACCAAATAATTAGCCCCTTTTGTAAAAACACTTGGCCAGAATTACACTTATGATGTCCGAGCAATGGCATGTCATGATCAAAATATGCAATTTTTTTTTTTATAAATTTAAATTTTGAATCAATGAATCATCAAAAATATTTATTATCTGTCAAAGAAATTTAAATGGATGATTTCAATAGCATGCAAACTTAGTTATTTAAAAAAAATAATGAAAGATGATAAAAACAAGGGAGTTTTTTTTTAATTTCTTTTGCAGGCAACCCCCTTCTTCTTTGTATGCATTTTTCTGGAGATGGCAATCATGTGGTACAAAAAGGACAGGAAAGCCCTATTCAATGATGGTGCTACATCTATCGGTGCTGGACAATATTCACGACTCCCAATGTAAGTATTTTGTGACTGTTTTTATTTTTGAATGGCTGTTTTGTGATCAGACCATATCAAACCTTGTCAATTGAATGATCTTCTGGGGAAGGTCTACATGCAACCCAAATGTAGGTCACAGTGACCTCATTTTGGAATATTATCAAATTATACTCAGATTATGCATGTATCTTGGAGAGAGTGAGACCTTTACTGCTAATCATCTTGCCTTATCTGTCAATTCATCTCAGGTGGAAGTTGTTTCCGGTCACAGTGAACTTTTTGGGATTCATAATTGTTGTGTCAATGTAACAGACAATTTATATATAGAGAGGGAATAGTGAGGACTTCAGGGACACACAACATTCCCAGAAAACCTTCATATCTTAACTTAGACTTCACCCCTAATCACTATACATGAAAACTGACCTTAACTTACCTTAACTTACATGTTTCATGACTCTTTATTTTTGTTGTCATTCATTTCTTTCTATGAATAAAAAATGTACTCTACGATTTTTTTTATTCATCTGTAGGTTTCTATTGAAATCCATCATGTACACTGGATATATATGGGTGTATGACAGATATCATATTTACGAGTTGCAGTGGGACTCTGCATGGACATGGTGGATATGCTTCCTGGGAGTGGATCTAGGATATTACTGGTTTCACAGATTGGCACATGGTAGGAAATTTTTCAATAAAATCTCAAAGTATACTTGAATGACCTGTAACTATGATTATTTAATTTATTTTTTTTGGATTTTGTTGTAGTTGTTGCACAAATTGTCATTATACACTTTCAATCTATATTTTGTTTTGTATATCATATCTGGGGAAATTTTTGCACCTGTTTTATTTTTGCCTCTTTTGCCTTCATCACAAGTGGAAAAATTTTAAATGGGGCAAGTTCAAAGAATTTTTATTAAAACTGTCTTTTTGTGAATTTAAAAAGGGACAAAATGGTTTGCAAATGTGTAATGGCTATAATAATACAAGGTGAAAATACGCTATATATTTTCTGCCTATTTTGATAAAGATGAGATTTTTCTTCAGAGGTGAATTTTATGTGGGCTGCTCATCAGGTACATCACAGTTCTGAGTACTACAATTTCACAACAGCTCTCAGACAATCTGTGCTTCAGGTTTACACATCCTGGGTAAGATTTCTAATATGTACTTATTTGAAAGCATCTGATTTTTTTTTTAGTCTTTTGAAATATTTTAAAAATGTTTATGGACAAGAAAAAGGACATTGTATGGTTTATTCAAACAAAGTGTATAGATTTCTAAGTAATTTCAGGTTTTCTATCTTCCTCTTGCCTTATTTATGCCACCCTCTGTTTTCATGGTCCACCAAGAGTTGAATATTTTGTATCAGTTTTGGATCCACACTCAGGTAAGGGGAAGTAATACCAGCAGATGATTCAGACATTGCCTCATAAAGATTCTCATCATGTTGTTGATGTTTCTTAAATGATTACAAAGTTTCACACTCCAGGTATTTTTTTTTTGGTAGTACGTAAAATCACTGGGTCCTCTGGAATACATTCTGAACACACCCAGCCACCACAGAGTGCATCATGGGAGAAATCCATACTGTATTGATAAAAACTATGCAGGCACTCTCATCATCTGGGACAGGTTGTTTGGTAAAAAAAATCATTTAATTTGTTTTTGTCAGGTTTTTCCAGGTGACTGTTCTACATGAATACTGAAAATGTGTGTATTTAAGTAGAATTCATACTTAGATGCCTTTGGTGTAATTGATAGTGAGCTTAAGCCCGACTACCTCCAAACTAAAATTTAATATCAGTATTATAGAAAGAGTACTGATTGAACTAGATACAATAATGTAGCCCTCTCCATTTTTGGGGGGGGGGAGATCTTGGAGAGAGCTACATTATTGCAGTTGTGATTGCACAAAATCAAGTTTGTGCCAAATAATTACATTTTAAATGATCAGAAATAAGTGCAAAATAAATGTTGAGTATTTCACAACTTGAGTATTTTTATTAGGTACCTTTCAAGCTGAGGAGGAAGAAGTTGTGTATGGTCTGACACATCCATTAAATACATTTGATCCAAATGTCATTCAGGTTAGTATAAGACAAGTTAATTTGGTGAACATATCTAGAATTTATTTAAACTTAGTAGTTAACTGTCTTGTATCTGTTTTTTTTAGTTTGGATATCTGCAGGACATGATTGGGAGGTTTAGGGAGATGAAAGGATGGAGAAACAAACTGAAGGTGTTGTTCTGTGGGCCAGGGTGGGCACCTGGTAAACCTAGAACAGGGGATATAAAGGACATTCCTGTGGTATATATCAAATTTGAATATAAAGTTGTTTATGAGCAGATTCACATAAGTTCACATGAGTGATTTCAACTCTCATATTAATTTAATGAGTCACTACGATGACCTATTGCATTCACTTCCTCAGAGCCTTACAGTAAGATCAATGGAAAATAAGAGTACAATTTCTGTCTTTTTAAGGGGATGCATCATGATATGGACTTTCCTGTTCTGTGTATCTGTTAGCTTTGTCATAGTTGGGTAATATTTTTCACACTGTAAGATCTAAGACTGTTCAGTTCTTATCATTAAACCGAGTAAGCTGATGTATCTTTGAAGGGGGGGGGGGGGGGTCATGCCTCAAAAGTAGGTCACTGCATTACAATATTTCTGAAAATTAAAAAAGAACATAAATTATGTATGCTTTCATTTCCAGGTGAAGGCCCCCTGGCCTCAGTACCATGTCGGACTCCCCAAATGGGTCAGTGTATACACTGTAATACACTTCTCACTGGAACTTCTGTTCTATCAAGAAGTGGCTGCCAGGAAGGATGTAAGTTACTTATTTTCACATAAATGCTTTAAAAAGACAGTTTGTGGCAAATTGTTATCTCTCAGTTGATATAAAAATTCAAACTATGAAAAGTAAAAATTTTGTTTGTCTGTAATTTCCTGCTTTTCTGAATCTTCCTACGTTCTTTGAGCAAACTATCACTTGAAACTTATGTTAGAATGGGCAAAATCATAGATTTGACCTTTAATTATATGAAATATAATATTGTCATAGCTAGGAGTCACCCCAAAGAACCTTTAGCCTACTTGTCATTTTTCAGTTTAATTATTTATTTTCCCATCTTAAACTCATTAAAAGATCTCAATAAATGATTTTGAAATGAAGCCAAATTCTTTCTCAGTATTTTCTGCAATAAATGATATTAATACTTGGGGGGTAAATGCACATGTACATGTATAAAATGATTTTTTTCCCCAATAATAGGGACTGTCACAGTTATCTGTCTTGCTGTTTGTCCTCCATATTGGATTTTGTCTGACCAGCTTTGGGAAGATTTTTGATAACAAGTAAGTATGAAATTAAGAGGCCCTTGTGAAACACTGTGCCTTCAACTATGACAAAGTCCAGACTGTTTGTTACCCAGACCTTGACATGTAGCTTTAACTTACAATAAGAGAGGTTCAAGTTGACCTGTGAATTTTACCTTCACTTTGCATTTAGCTTTGATCATTAAATTCCACATTGCTACATATAAAATATCCATGACTGGTACACCAGTAGTGTATTTTTATGCCCCCGGATCGAAAGATCCCGGGGGTATATTGTTTTTGTCCTGTCTGTCTGTTTGTCTGTTTGTCTGTTTATCTGTTTGTTTGTCTGTTTATCTGTTTGTCTGTCTGTCTGTTGTCAACTTTAACCTTGCCCAGAACTTTTGATTGGTTGGAGCTATGACTTTCATATTTCACATGTGTATTCCTTGTGACAAGACCTTTCTTTGAGTACCATCATATTTGACCTTTTGACCTTGACCTTGGAGTTTGACCCACTTTTGCAAAATTTTATGAGACTTTAACCTTGGCCATAACTTTTGAACAAGTGGTGCTTGGGGTTTCAAACTTCACATGTGTATTCCTTGTGACAAGACCTTCCTCTGGATATCAACCTCTTTGACCCTTTGACCTTGACCTAGGAGTTTGACCTACTTTTGAAAAACTTTAACCTTGGCCATAACTTTTGAACGGTTAGAGCTAGGGCTTTCATACTACACATATGTAATCCTTGTGACAAGAACTTTCATTTGGATACCAACCACTTTGACCCTTTGACCTTGACCTAGGAGTTTGACCTACTTTTGAAAAACTTTAACCTTTGCCATAACTTTTGAATGGTTGATGCTAGGGCTTTCATACTTCACATAATTATGTAATCCTTGTGACATCACCTTCCTTTGAATACCAACCACTTTGACCTTGACATAGGAGTTTGACCTACTTTAGAAAAACTTTAACCTTGGCCATAATTTTTGAATGGTTAGTGCTAGGGCTTTCATACTTCACATATGTAATCCTTGTGACAAGACCTTCCTTTGGATACCAACCACTTTGACCCTTTGACCTTGACCTAGGAGTTTGACCTACTTCGAAAAACTTTAACCTTGGCCATAACTTTTGAATGGTTGGTGCTAGGGCTTTCATACTTTATATATGTAATCCTTGTGACAAGACCTTCCTTTGGATACCAACAACTTTGACCTTGACTTTGATGTTTTACTTACTTTTAAAAAACTTTAACCTTCGCCATAACTTTTGAACAGTTGCAGCTAGGGCTTTCAAATTTAACATTTTTTATCTTTTGGCCTGGATTTTGACTTGCATTTGAGAAACTTTAACCTTCGCCATAACCTGCCATACGGGGGCATCAGTGTTTCACAAACACATCTTGTTATGATTTGGCATAAATTTAGTGATAAAGCAGTCAAAAGGACTTACCTTAAATAAATTCCTCCTTGATCTTCCATCTAAGGATCAGTACGATTGACTGAATATTCAATGGATAAATTACATAAAAAATGCAATCCAAAAATGTAATTCTGAAAAAGTTGTCAATGCATGTGTCTGTTTATTTTTCAGTCCCTCTGCCCCCCAGTATGAGCTTCTAAGATGTCTTCTGACTTTAGTTGGTGAAGTCTTGCTCTGTCACTATGGTTTCTATGGCGCCCCCGGTTACAGACCCTTCTTTGTCATGGCTCTACAGGGAGTATTTTTATTCTCTTTCTGCTTGTGGTCTTCTGTCATATACAGCAAAACCATGAAAACCCAGAAAGTGGATTAGCTTCAGCTCTTGATATTTTTCTGTGACAATCACCGAATATCTGTGATAATATTTTATATCAGGTGTTTTATGTATACACTTTGTTGACATTCAAGTAATATTATGATTTTATGATTTGTGATTTATGCAACTATCATTGTTCATCAGTGTTGAGTGAGTATGAAAATAATGTCAATCAATTAGACAATCAAATTAATCTTGGTGGGAATTCAGACATAAAACTGAACAAGATGCTTAGAATTTGTAGATTTTTATTGATAAGTTTATGGTGCTATTAATTATATTAATTGATTGTTTCAAATTAAGTTTTGTAACAAAATAAAATTTACACTTTTAATTCTCTTTTTTATTTTAAACTATACTATATACATTGTAATTCCAATTGTTAGTCAACTAAAATAGTATGGAAAGCAATCATTTTATTATTAAGAGTATACATGTACATGTATAAAAAATTTTACAATACCTCATTATAATAATTCTATCATATGACTGGTCTAGACATTCTTGTGACAGAATAAAACATTGTATCAAATCCCACCCTCTTCCAAACCCTTTTATGTTGTCCAATTGGAGTTATTGTTCTTGACAGAGAATACCTAGCACATGTAAACAGTCACCGTGCCTGCCATTAGTAGGTAGGTTCCACATTCCAAGTTAAAAGTGATGCCCTGTTCACACGGGGAATTTAATTTGAATTAAACAAAATCAAAGTTATGTACTGCGAATTAAATTTAAACCGTGTTCATACTGAGAAGTGAGAATTTAATGAGAATTGGTTTAATTTGAATTAATCTACTGTGCATCAAATTGTTTTGCATTAACTCCAAGTGAACACTAAGTGAAACTTATTCGAATTAATTTTGATGCATGCGTAATAGAAAAAATAAGCCATATGCCACATGTCGGTGGTCAGATATAATTACTTATGCAATTTTTGAGTGGAAAACATTGGAAAATTAAGTTTTTCACTATAAATATGTACAGACACTATGACATTATGAAGAATGTATATCTGTACAAGGTGATGTGATTTGCAAATGACGTAATTACAGCCTTGCTGTAGAAATAAAATTTATATGTGCATTAATATTATACTTCGCACACACTCTCGTGTGAATGCAATTTAATTCTCATTAGTTTAATTCACATTATTTTACTTCCCATTTATTTACTATGAATTACATATTTAATGTGCATTAGTGTGAACACGGCATAAATACCTGATTTACGGGGCAAAAGCACAATACTTGCAGTAGTGCTTCGGAGACTTTTTGAATTGAAATTGAGAGAGAGGTGCTAAACTTGAATGTTTATTTTCAAAGCTGATTTGGTAAAATAAACAATCTATTACCTGATCATATAGCCATTCTGAGATGTGAAGATTTATTCAGCCAAGTTAAATTATATTCCCCTCAGGTGAATGTGATTTTTCTTGGTTGAATATCTCCCTCACAATCATGCAATAAATTAATAATATTGAACACACATGAATGTGTAATTTTACCATTTGTGGTGAAATATTATTCAGTTTTTAGCACACATGAGCTATAAGCTCAAAAAAGCTTTTCTGATCACCCGTTGTCTGTCTGTAATATACTAATAAAGTAGTTTCCCTGATATGTATTCAACCAGTTTAAAAAAAAAAATTTAAAATTTGTTCACAGGAAACAATTAGTTTTTATGGTAAACCTGGATTTCAAGATCATTTCTTTCAGTAGGTCTGTAAATTTTGCAAAGTTAATAAGGATACCTTAACAAAATCATTGAGATTAAATAAAAGAAGGTTGAGTACAGCAGAGTACTATCAAAGGGAGACTACTTGAAAGTATTTTGCAAATTCATTTAAATCTTGTAACAACAAATCATTCCTTTGAATAAATTATCTGCAAATGGTGGGAGAAGACCCATCTATAGGAATTACATGTACTGGGTAATCACTAATTTTTGTAAGGATTTCATTTTTGTTGTAGTAGAATGAAGAGACCCATGAATTCATGTCTCCATGAGATGTTAAAATTTCAAACAACAGTATCATGTTAATCTACCATCATTTCTTTAACCACAAATTAAAATCCCAACAAACCAATATTTTTTCTTCAAACCATGAAAATTTGATCTTAAGAACATGTTTCATTTTACAGTAATCAACTAACTGAAAAGAGTATACTGATTTAATTCATAGTTGTTTATTGTCATACACATGTACTCGTTATAATACTACGTGTATATAATCCTTTTTAACTTAAAACATACAGATAAAAGCACCATAAAACAAGAATTCATATAACAAAATATCACAGTTATCTTATTATGAAACATCTGTCTGTCTGAATTTATGACACAACAAGTCAATTAGAACAAGAATTTAAATAAGTTCTGCAAACTTGGATTCGTACAATCATTTTCTACATGAATGACTTTATATCCATAACATACACGTAGTGTACAAGGATGAAAAAAAATGTCAATAAACCCTTGTAAAGTACTCCCCCAGAAAGTAAGTACAAAGTCCCTAATGGACAGAAGGGTTATTGTTTAAATTTTTTGTCAACATATACAAGTACATACATGTACATTACAGAAATTGAAATAGGCAAAATAATACAGACAATTTATACTAAATGGCAATAGCAAACTACTAAAGCTTAACCATGATATCGCAAACCTGACAATTAAGACTTATAATATTATGATATTTGAGAGTATGAGATATGAAGGATGATTCTAAATTTCACATCAAGGTCAAAACTACTGACTCACTTTGACAAAACAATAGTATTTGACATTGTTGTTCCAAAATACTTATTAAAAGTTCAGCTTAATGTGATGAAACAACCTGGACAAACAAACAAACAAACTGACAGAGAACTATTGAAACACTGAGTTACACATAGATAATGTTTTTTTTCTTTAACAGGATATACTGTACATAATACTAAATATACTGTATGTGTACATAAATTTATTCAAAATTTAGCGCAGTCACTGGGTATTGAGTGGTTGGCATGATCAAGACTTATGGCTATACACATCCATACTGTGTATTGTACTTATCAATAATTTATTAACGGATTCATGGATTAGCACATTTTTGTTTGTGTCAAAGCCGCTAAAATATGAAGCCCGCTTTTTTAAGTACACATATATTTTCTTTAACACATAAAGTTATTGCCTTGAAAACTTAATGATTTCAGTCAAAGTCATAACAAATGTCCAGGTCACGATCTACAATAAACTGTTTATTCCTAAATATATGCAAGGAATTTATTACCAAGTAATTTTGTGAGAAGTACCACTTGTGATATATATTTTTATATGGCTGAAATAACTGTTAAATGTTCATCAACAGTCCACCTGGTTTGACCTCTTCGAGTCATTTTGTAAGTACTCACGTAAAATAAAGAATAAATACAGTCCTCTGGCTTGATTTTCCATGGAGTCTAGACATGTTTTTTTGACACGGTGACCTTCATAGATATAAGCTTGTCAACATCATGACATGCCTTAAATAATCTGTACGTGCATACATAAGTTTGAATTAATTCCAATCAAGGGGTCCAAAGTTATGGCCCTCTCAAGATTTATATGATGACCATGGCAAAGTGTTGCCATCTTACTAGGGGGAAAGACATACTAATGGGGAAATGTGTTATTGAGCAGAATATGAAAATGTAATATTCAGTCATAGCTTTTGATCATCCCAAAACTTTTGGTGGAAGAAGTCCTGCAACGAAGAAACTCCATTATCAACCACAATGTACACCTTGGTTCCTTCCAAAAGATGCAGCTTAAGATGAATTTTTAATAGACCTTAATGAAGCACATTTGGTCCCTTCCAATAGATACTTTCATTCAGGTGTATCAAAACTATAAGTATCATAAGCTTTGCCATTAATGTTCCTAGTTGCTGTCTTCCTTAACAGTAAGATAAGCTATGCTAAACATTACTACTGTGTGCACTCCCACAAGTAATACTCATCAGTTTAAACAAGCATAATATTGGTCCTTTGCAAACTTAACTATCTCTGCATAAAAATTCTGTACATACTATACAATCACCTAACTGAAATGTCCCTAAATCCAGATCCAAGTATGAGATCAGTCAAAATTTAACCAGGAATTAAAACTGCAAGTTCATAGTCTACAAATGCTTTATACATGTATATATTGCACTTTCCCATATATCTGAGACTTCTGGAATGTTTCTTGGGTTTGTTGTTGAGCAGAATGTGAGTGTATGTCAGAGTCAGGAAGTGTTCTTTTGTAAAGGAGGTAGAAAACTCCAATCCATTGAAGACATGTGTTCTTCATGTTCCTCCATCACCATCTTTATTATGTCATCAAACCTGAAAAAAAGTATGAAACAAATTTTACAAAAATTCCCTGGGTCTTTATAAACATATTTTACCTATCTTGCCTGCATTGTGAATAATTCTATATGTTAAAAGTACTTTAGAGTGACATACATTTTTCTGTGTGGAATTAATTAAGACTATGTGTGTGGTCAGCATACTTAAAGTGCATTTAAAAAAAAGGCAATCCAAGAAATCTGCATAATTTCCTACCGGCAGATTGAACATAAATTATAATTCCGCAGAATTATGACTCCAAGGAAAAAGTATGTTTACAGTAACTGAGTGTTCAGATCATGTCTACTTGAAGTCCAATTTTGAAGTTTGGAGGGATGGACTTTTTCCAAAAAAATTCAGTACCTCAGCTTTAACATACGCCATACAAAGTTTCATCAAACTTTATTTTAAACATTTTAAAATGAATATGTACACATTTACAAGCTTCAACCACTAGTTCCTAGCTTTTTAAGTGGCTTACTTTTTAACAGTCTCTCTGTTATCATCACAGACTTTCATGGACTCTAATGATGATGCACCCCAGGAGTTAGCACAATTACTTCCTTTAGAATCCTGTCGTGACATGCCATTTTTTGCCTACAAAGAAGAAGCAGTCCTCCTTACTTCAATTTAAGTACTGTTAAAGACATTCAGAAATGAAGTAATTTTGTGTTACAGCTAGAATATATTCAACTACCTTATACATGTTGATATACTCATTTTCTGTATTTACAAAAGAATCAATTCGAGGATGGGAAAGGGGTCTGAAAATTTCTCTCAAACATTTAAGTCATGCAAGGTGTATTGAAGGTGTATTTGGGGATTTCATTAAACTTTAAACTTTGAGGTGGGGGGGGGGGGAGGTTAGTGACTTTTGTCATTTTGAAAATTTTTTGAATCCCCCCAAACATCAAGGGAATCACAGGAAATAAAACCACAATGTCTCTGATTAAGTGTCTGTAACTATTTGGGGGGGGGGGGGGGGGGGGAGGGGGTTATAATTTTTTTTAATACAAAAACATGCTTCTTAATACATTCACAAGTTTGTAGAATTCATTATGTTAGGGTTGCAGATATAAGAAGCTTACAGCCATTTTGATCAGACTCCAGATATCAGACTGTCTCTGTTTGTGTGATTGTAACAGTTTGTCTGTGGCATCTATGATCTGTTTACAGCACTGCTGAATGCTGGGTAATAACTGGAACAGTTCATGTTTGCAGGCACATATTTTTCTGGAATAAGAAAAATGTTTGTTGTATGTCTAATTTCGATGGCAATTATTATTTTGATAAAAAAATGCTTCAATCCTAATCAACAACACCACTAATGGATTTGCCATGGAAGATATTTACAAATACAGCTGTACAACAAACTACATATTCTTGTTGTTTAATATATTTCAAGAACCCAAAGAATTTAAAAGTTCCTTAAAATTTATTTTAAGTAACCTGTGTGTTCTTTACTCTGTGTGTTTAGATTGTGTAAACTACAGTCCTTACCTTATACATGTGTTTAGATCCTGTAAACTCTAATTCCCTGCCCTAAATGAGTGTACAGATCCTGTGAAATTTTCATCTCTTACCATAAATCTGTACAAAATCCTGTAAACTTTTGTCCCTTACCCTCTATGTGTATAGGATCCTGTAAATTGCCGTCCTTTATACTAATTGTGTGTATAGATCCTGTAAACATTATTCCTTACCCTAAATGTGTGTATAAATCCTGTAAACTTTTATCCCTATGAATGAGGCACTTCACAACAATCTGAACCATGGGGCTGTGGTCTTTGAAAATATCTCGTCCACCTGTACACAGATGCTCATCATCAGAATTTCAAAATACATGTACATATATATGTGTCATTAACTTTTGATTGAATAATCTATAAAAAGATATGATTCAGTTTATTTTGCTTCCAGTTTTATTTCAGCAATTTCCACATGTGTCGGAGTGTACATTTCAACCATAGATTTGCATACTAATACATGTACTCAGAAAAACATTTTTATCAATTTGTTCACATCTTTCAAAATTAAAAAATTCCAAGACTCTTCACCATACATTCATCCTCACAACCTCAGGGGTCCGAGACCACTCAAAACCGTTTGACCCCGAACAAATATTTCATTCGATATTTAACAGACTGAGTGCACCGCGAAGTCTTTCGGGAAAATTACAAATCTTGATTGTTTTTCTTATCTCTCGACCAATCACATTAAACCTTTAGGTGACAAACAATCTGTAATATGTGCACTGAGTTGTCAACTTCTTATTTTCTGTTTACATTTTATGTCAACTTATGAGATCCCCTCAATGAGAGAAGCACGCCTGTAAAATACCATCACATGAAATTTGTCAGGCGTCCAACAGCCACAAGTAGACTCAGGACCCCTGATGTTGTTAGGATGCCATACATTATACAAAGAATTTCAAAATTCAGAGAATGAATATACATGTAGTAACTTTGATTTGTATCAGTCCCACCTTTGCCAGCCTGTCTCATGTCATGATACAGAGTAACAGCTTTCTTCTCTCTGAAAGTAAAAATATTCATATACTAAACTACCAATGCCTACCTAAGATAAAATTCTGTTCCTTATATCAGACCTAAAAAGGATTTTGACACAAATTATTAATGTCATTTTCCTTTCAGAAACCTACATATCTTCTAAGACTTCATTCTGTTTGCCACGAGCAAATGGACTCTTCTGTAGTTCCACAATTTTGGTCTGTAAGGCTGTGGACTGTTGGTCTAGCTTGGCTACTTTTTCTTTCTACAAGAAATCAAGTGTTAGAATTCAATTCCACAGGGATAAACTTTAAACTGAATTAGAGAGAGAGAGAGGTTGTGGTGGTGGAGTAATTTCAGCTTACCAGATTTCTGAGACCATCTACTTCCTCTCCAATTCTCTTCCATTTGGCCACAACTTTTTCAGCATCTGTAAAACAGTAAATCTTTCTTTAAAGTCAATTTACAGTTGAACTATGGTATCTCGAACATGGATATCTCGAATACCATGGATATGTCGAAGTGATTTTGAAGTCCCAAGTGCTTATTTTTTAAGTACATGTATTTTACCCTGGATATCTCGAATCCTCATCGAGATAACAAGGTTTGACTGTACTTTCATTAGTAAGAAAAAATAAAATTTAAAATACACTGCATACAAAAGAATATAACTTCTAGAAAAAAATACTGCTTTCAGACATTTTAATTAAGGTTCAATGTAATTCTAATCCCAGACAAAAAACAAAGGATGGATATTTGGTATTTGAAATGCAAATCTTTGGAATATCAGGAACATGTCTAAATGAGCTCTATACTATGAATTAAGTCTCAAATTTAAACCAAGGATATCTTGTATTTTTGTATCTGTTTGATTTCAGCTACTATCTGTAAGCTTTTAAAGAAAACTTATGAAACTTTATGTCTAGTCCAAGACATATTTTTTTTATAACCTCTAGTTGTGTTTGAACCTCTAGACAAACATGAAATATGAACAAAAAACTTTACTATAACTTAATGTGAGGTCTCTTTCTCATATGTAGATGGTCAGTATAAGGCAAGCCAAAAAACATATGCCTCCCAGTCCTTTAATCTTATGGGACTTAGGTAGACACAAACCCAATCCACTGTATTCTTATGTCACTTCTAATCATAAGGTGGCATGCACTGTGCTTTATGAAAAGCATGGGCAGCCATTAAAAATCTTCATCTCACTCTATCCAAAAGGTCCTTCAATTATTCCATCAAGCTTCTACTTCATGACTTTTTTTGGTAATTTATAGGTTTATTTGAAAGTGTGGCTGCTTCACTTACTTTGCACTCCATCAGACTTCTGAATTTCATACATGTCAAGGTCATGTTGCAAACTGAAATCATTTACAGACACTTTAAAACCATTTGTAAACAAAACTTTCAGGTTCATTTACTAACTATTCCAATGCCTCTATTACATTTATTCACACATGCCTGATTTAATTTTAGATTTATCTAAATATGTTTATTACTAATAACAATGTGTTGGTTCCAGTTAGCTGAGCACATTTTAATGCAGTAGGTTGGGTATAAAAAGAAATACAGTAAAACTCAATCATATGGAACATGGATATATGGAAATCATAGTTAGGAAGTTATTTATATTTTAAATCCCTCATAACACTTTCTCATATTAATATAAAGAAATTTGGCTGTAAGGCACTAATAAATCGTGTCCCAAGGACCTCCTTATAAGCAAGTTTTACTGTGAAATGAGGGTCACAATTTGTGATAAAGCTTTGTACATTCTCTATGTCATACCATTCTTTGAAATACTGCATCTTTGACAACAGGTGATCGCAACTACCGACCATACTGTTCTTCATCCTCAGAAAACTGGAGTTAGTTCTTAGTAAACTTAACCTGAAACAAAGTACATGTACAAACATTTCTTAGAACACTAAACGATATGGATTGACCAAGACTCAAAAAATGTTGGATGCCAAATGAAGCAAAGAAAAATTATCAACTAATTTTGCACATTTACTCTTTGAATTTTTGAAATGGCCCCCCTTTTTACACATATAAGCTTTACATGATACTTGTAGATGTATAATAACCAATTTGATTTCGAATTGTCTCCAATGTGCCACAGCTTACTGCAAATCATATTTTATTTGCAAGAACTTTATTTTTGCGTAATTATGCGAGACGGTACATAATAGATTATATACAACAATACCCAGAATTCGGGAAAAATTTGTCTCGCTTATAAATACCAAATACATATCATGCGAAAATAAGGTATCGCAAATATTTGGTGATCTACATTAACACAAAATAGTACTTACATAGCTGCTCTTTGACTCTGAATGAGTCTTCTGAAATCAACCACTTGCTGACCACAGAAATAAACAGACTCTGCCCATGCTCTCTTTTGTTCCTGTTCAAATAAAATTTTAATCCATAATCTACTGGGTTAAAGTTTTCTTACTCTTAATAGTTCTTGAAGAGCAAGCATCCCATATCAAAATTAAAACAATATGTTATACTAAGAAAGATAAAAAAAGAAAAATAGAAGTTTCATCTAGATATTCAACAGAAAAAAACATAGGTATATTTCCAGTTTTCAACTACAAAGGGAGCTTCATAATTTCCAAAGATTAAAATCATAAATCAATTAGATTTGTGTGTTATATAAAATAAATGTTCATTAATCACTTACTGATTTATTTTCATTTATTTTTTTCTAATTTATTTTCATTAATTATTTCTATACTAGTAAATGAAGACAAGTGTCATTAATAAATCTAAGTCGGCTTTTTCTCCATTAATCTTGAAAACAAAAATGCAAAAGTTCAACGGAATACCATAAACTTTGAAATATAATGTTTGCCAGGTCAAAAAACTTGTGTTCTATAACACCAGGAAAAGTCAAGTCATTTATAATGATACTGGGATTCTAGCAGTACTTTTTATGCCTTAAAAATTATATTATTGATTAAATGATTAAATACCATGGTAGTGTTGAATTTATTTTTTTTTCATTTAAGTACTTTTTTTCTTTTTATAGGAGTCATATGATCTGGTGGAGCATCCAAACCCTAAATGCTCTTATAATGAATGATAAGAGTTGTTTTATCATTATCTTTATCCATTGCTTTGATCATTAATCAAACTTACAGTTTTCAAAAATGAAAGTGTAAATATCTTGAGAAATGATCTACATGTAGGCTCTGCCTCAACATACCGGTACTTTGTGACAAGATTTCCAACAACCTCTACATACCCAACAAAGTCTGAATTGAAACCTGTCATGGCTTAGAGTGTAATAGTTCTGACATAACTGTACATATAATTTATTACAGGCTGACAGATGGAAAAACCTCATACCAAAACCAATATTTTGTCTCCCTTCATTTAAGGAAGACACATGAAATATACATACGTTATATGGCAGGGCAGTCTTGGAGTCTTTAACGATGCTCTGAACATTCGGTGGTAATGGCTTGTTCTTTTTCTCTCCACCTCCCTGATTCTCTCCCTTGATGAACATAAACACTACCCAATCCTCATCTCCCTAAAAAAATTTTTAATATCACTCATCTCTAATTCTCTCTGAATTTGAATCACAATGGCATCCAGGTTGTAAAGAAAATCAAAGAACATACCGGAGCTGTCCAGCATTGGTGAGCCCCAAGATTAGGGTCAGGTGATGCCCCACTAGCCAATAAAATATCTTGATCCTGAACTTTGACCCCTGTTTCTTTTTCAACATTTTCTTGAAGTTCAAGCATAGAATAGTTGTCGAGCAATGGGTAGGATAATAGTTGATTGTTGGCCACATACAAAATGTGCACAATCTGCAATTTTAAAATTAAATAAGCAACCTTGAAAAAACATAGGTAATCAAAGATTACGAAGCTCACCTCGACGAATGTTATCTATAAGTAAGGCAAATTTCACATCATATTTTTTTTTCTAGTTAGTGTACATGCAAAGATCAATATCCATGCAAGTTTGATTTAAGTAGGACTTATAGTTACTTGGAAATATACCTGCTCAAAAACTTTTAACCTGTTTACTGATCAAGAAAATTTTGGTCAGTTCCAAAATCGAAAGCAAGTCTGGAAGTTTTCATTTTTAGATGCACCATCAATACAAGTTTAATCATAACAGGCCATAATATTATATAGCTACTCAAAAAAAAAATTACCCTGGTCACTCATCTGGAAAATGTAGGTCAGATTCAGAATTCAAAGCAAGTCTGGAAATATCCATCCCTAGATACATCATCCACGCTAATTTGGTTAAATATGGCTAAAATTCACTCATGTGGAAAATCTAGGTCAAATCCAGCATCTGAGGCAGGTGGGCTAGTGTACATCCCTAAGTGCATCATCCATGAAAGTTTGGTCCAGGTAAGGCTTATAGTTACTTGGGAATAGACTTGCTCTAAAAACTTTAACCTGCTCACTCATCTGGAAAATCTAGGTCAGATCCAGCATCCGAAGCAAGTGTGGTAGTGTCCATCCCTAGATGCATCATCCATGCAAGTTTGGTCTAGGTAGGGCTTATAGTTCTTGGGAATGGACCTGCTCCAAAAACTTTAACCTGCTCACTCATTTGGAAAATCTAGGTCAGATCCAGCATCCTAAGCAAGTGTGGCAGTGTCCATCCCTAGATGCATCATCCATGCAAGTTTGGTCTAGGTAGGGCTTATAGTTACTTAGGAATGGACCTGCTCCAAAAGGTTTAAGCTGCTAACTCATTTGGAAAATCTAGGTCAGATCCAGCATCCAAAACAAGTGTGGTAGTGTCCATCCCTAGATGCATCATCCATGCAAGTTTGGTCTAGGTAGGCTTATTGTTACTTGGGAATGGACCTGCTCCAAAAACTTTAACCTGCTCACTCATCTGGAAAGTCTAGATCAGATCCAGCATACGAAGCAAGTGTGTGGTAGTGTCCATCCCTAGATGCATCATCCATGCAAGTTTGGTCAAGGTAGAGCTTATAGTTACTTGGGACGCCGACACCGACGCCAACGCTGGGGGTATAGCATAAGCTCATCTCGACTTCGTTGAGGTAAGCTGAAAAATCTTTTATCTTATTGTTGAAATTTTTTTTCAACTTATTTCACAATGCACAGATAATATATGTATCTGTTCAATATTCAACTTTTCAATTAAAAATGTTGAATTCTTTCAAAAAATACATGCAATGAACTGATGTTTTTTAAAATCTGATCTGCCAGAAGACTAATGAGGAATGCATCACTATGTTTCATCCACTGTATATCTAACTATTAGAACAAACTAGTTTATTTAAAGTCCTTATCTAAGTCTTAGACATAAGTAATTACATATATGTACAGGATTACATCTTGCATACAAGTATCATATAGCCATCAGTATTATATTGCAACCAATGTATCATGATACATATCTAAAGCAGGATACATGTATCTTAAATGACTTAGCATTTGATATCAAGACGAAAATTTGTCCCAATGCTTACCTTTATACTGAGCATAGTGTCCAGGATTTTGAAACACTGTGGTCTCCCTTCAATGAGACCCCCACCTCTGGCTTTAGGGTCCCACCTCAGCATCAGTCGTAACCACTGCTCAAAATAAGCCTGCATGCTTCTAAAAGAAACAAACAAAAACAGGCTGAGTATCAAAACAGAATTTTTAGTGAGGATTCAACTTTGGCATTATTAGCGAGGGTGTTGAGATCGCTAAAATTGAATATCACTAACAATTAATATGTATCGGTTGTAATAGTTTCTCTTGTTGGCATTTTAAAATCGCTAAAATTACTTCCCGCTAAAAATATATACCAATTTTTGAGGATAAATCGCTAAATTTGTGTCTCGCTAAAAATTCTGCTTATATGGTATATGAAGAGCGTTTTCATTTTTGACAAATTCTACCTCATTTTTCAACTCCATTTTAGCAAAATAAAAGTAATCTGTTCTTGTGCAGGAATAAAACAATATGTGTATGAAGATGAAAGTCCAAGTTACCTGCATAAATGTGTTGGTGTTACAATTTTCTTAGAGAATTTTACCACTCCATCAGAATTATAAAATGCTGTAATGTCATCAGGAGATTTTTTGCAAACTTCTCTATGCCTAAAATACAAGCATGTTTTGAAAGTTAAATATAAGTATGGAACTTCATAAAATTTGAGAATTTCATTTTTTACAACATTGAAAAACATTTTTGTCAATTACATTGAAATATCTGCATGTTTAAATAATACATTACAATAAATTCTTCAGACCAAACTTGATAATATGACTGACACATTGTTTACAGTACACAGCTTCTTTTCCACTATATTTATATTTTTCTTGCCTTCATTATGTGACAATATGATCAAGAAATCTATATTGCAGTGAGAGTATCTAAAATATATAATCGATAAATAAAGGAAAAGATAAAAATAGTTACATGCAGATGAAGAATGAATGAAAACAGATTTTGAAAACTCAAGATTGCATGACCATGATTCAATCCTATATGCATTTAATGTATTCAATTTAATATTTAGTTATACTAAAACTAGAAGTAGTTGGTATTTTTCAAATAAATTACTGATCTTAATACATCTTGTCTCAAGATCTGATTTATAGGTCTTCAGTCACAAGCTAATTACTAAACTTACCATGTAACAGGTGGAACTTGTGGGAGAAAGGGACGGAATCCTGTGATACACTCAAACACCACAGTCCCAAAGGACCAGTAATCCACAGTGCAAGTGTACTTCTGACTAGCAAAGAGCTCAGGGGCCTTGCAAAAAAGATGTTTAGTTACAGAGTCAACTCTCAATTTACTGTGTTTTAAATCAAAGATTTCAGTAATACATCAATTTATTCCCTGGAAGAGATAACGCAACTTACCAAGTACTGGAGAGTTCCAACAAAGGAGGTACAAACACTTCCCTGATCTAGCTCCTTTGCATAACCCAAGTCTATCAGTTTGTATACAGTCTATAAAATCAAAAGCATTACATAGAGGGATTGAAATTGTTCTCAGCATGCTCAGTAGCACAATCAAATGTACATACATGTATAATATTTAATCTAAAGTGGAGGAGGAAAGTTCAAGAAGAAAGAAAGGAGGAGGAAGAAAAAAGTTTAAAAGAGGAAAGAATGGAAATGTAAAAGAGGAGGTGGGAAGAGTGGAAATAAAGACGAGGAGGTGGGAAGGGTGGAAATGTAAAGGAGGAGGAAAGAGTGGAAATGTAAACGAAGAGGTAAGAAAGAGAAGAGTGGAAATATAAAGGAGGAAGAAAGAGTGGAAATGTAAAGGATAGGTGGGAAGAGTGGAAATGTAAAGGAGGAGGGGGGAAGAGTGGAAATGTAGAGGAGGAAAGAGTGGAAATGTAAAGGATAGGTGGGAAGAGTGGAAATGTAGAGGAGGAAAGAGTGGAAATGTAAAGGAGGTGAAGAGTGGAAATGTAAAGGAGGAGAAAAGAGTGGAAATGTAAAGGAGGAGGAGGATAGAGTGGAAATGTAAAGGAGGAAGAAAGAGTGGAAATGTAAAGGAGGAGAAAAGAGTGGAAATGTAAAGGAGGAGGAGGATAGAGTAGAAATGTAAAGGAGGAGGAGGATAGAGTGGAAATGTAAAGGAGGAAGAAAGAGTGGAAATGTAAAGGAGGAGGAGGGAAGAGTGGAAATGTATAGAAGGAGGAGGGAAGAGTGGAAATGTATAGAAGGAGGAGGAAAGAGGAGAAATGTAGAGGAGGAGGAGGAATGAGTGGAAATGTAGAGGAGGAGGAGGATAGAGTGGAAATGTAAAGAAGGGGAAGGAAAACCGAATGAGGCAGATAATAAAAAAAGGGAGAAGAAAGTTAAATAGGGAAAGCCAGAAAGTGGAGGAGTTGGAAAAGAAAAGCTATAACCCTACTAGGTGCCTAATTTGACATTTATTTGAAAATAGCATAAAATGAGAATTGGCAAAATTCTTCAACATCAATTCATGTGACCATGCAAGTGAAATTAATATAATTTCAACTGAATATCACTTAAAAAAAGGTAAATCCAGTGCTGTACCTGTTCCTCTTGTGTCTGCAGCACAATGTTTTCTGGTTTTAAGTCCCTATGAATAATTCTTTTGCCATGTAGATATTCAATGGCTGAAGCAATGTCTCTCACTAGACACCGAATGTCAAACTCTTTCAGTCCAACACAGTATTCTGGCTTATTCAGCACCTGTAGACAAAATTGTTGATGCAGATGAATATCTTATATATTTTGCAGTGACTCTTACAGTCAAGTATAAATATATACCAGAGTTCAATCTAATTAAACAAGAAATAAAACATCATCTATGATTCTCTTTCCTGATACCTCTAAGTACATGAGTATTTGATACCTCTAAGTACATATACTTGTCATTGAAGTTATGCTGGGCTGTGTTCAAGAGAGAAGAAGATATGTAGCCTAACATAGGCATACATAGAGCTACAGTCTTGAATGATATGTTAGCCAGGCCACTTCATAAAGATAACAAGAGTTAAGTGCATTCAAAAGACCTATATAACCTAGCAGCAAGGCTAGCTGCTGAGATCTTGAACATCAATATGTCATAGATTTTTTATTTTACTGTCTACTTCCAATTTTGTTATACCTTGCGTAGATCCCCTCCAGGACAATACTCCATGGCCAATAATGGAAGCTCTCCTGTACTGACATTTAGTACAGAGGGAACATCTTTAGCAGCTATAACATTGGGGTGATCTAAACGTTTCATAATGTCCACCTCAAGGGTCCAGCGTTCCCGATGCTTCTGCGTCATTTCACTTTGAACACGACACTTTTTTATGGCAACATATTCTCCAGAATCCTGAAGCAGAGATGAAATATACATGCATAACAAGAGGCCCAAGGGCCTTAACGGTCACCTGAGTATGATACAACAATTTCAAGGATGCATAGAGTATTAAATGAACTGAAAGGTGAAGCTTTGTTGCCCAAAAGCAAGAAAAATAGGGTGATCATGATCAACAAAATAATTGGTCTTAATATTCATTAACAGTTCATAAATTAGGTTCTAATCTGTTCCCCATTTTATCACTATCACTATACAGTATATTAACAAATTATCAATGCTTCTGTACTATTTTAATCCTTTGTTGAAATCTCTTACATTGGCATCTCTTGGTCTTTGATGAATATTTAATAAGACAAGTAATTTTTGTCTCATTTTTATTTATCTACTACTTACAAGTCTATCTGATCATTAAAACTATGAAAGTACTTTTTGTATTATACAATAAAAGTTTTTGCATAATTCTCTTGTTCTATTTACCTTTCAAGTACATTATTTACAGTGATAAATTATCAAAAGTAAATGGCAAAGGGGAATAACTCCTCTCAGTAGAATACAAACTAATAGAGCCCTGGCCAGGACCAGAACACTTGACCAAATGGTCCAGATGTTCAAAAATCTGGTAAAAATTCCCTTCCTTATAAAAACTTTTACTCTGTTTGCCTCAGATATGCCCAGGTGCGGAGAAGATTTTTAAATAAATAATGCATTTTTACTACAGATTCACTATATTATCAATAGAGCCCCAACCCCCCACCCCCAAAACACCAGAGCTTCTGACCCTGGGACCATATGTTTGCTCATCATCACTTTGTTTATCTGCTTAACACTAAGGAGCAAACAGGATTATTTAATAGAATTAATGCATTTTCACTAAATTATCAAGAGCCCCACCCTCACACCAGCACATCTGACCCAGGGGTCATGAAATTCACTACTCTGGAAGAAGCACACTTGCTCATCATAACTATACACTTAGCTTCTTTGCTTTTTTAACCAGAAGAAGAAAAGAATATTTTCAAAGAAATTTTGCTTTTTCACTTTATAATCAATAGAAGCCCCCCCCCCCCTTCCCCCTCACCAGAACCCTTAAACCCGGGGTCATAAAATTCACAATTTTGGAAGAGGCATCCTTGTGTATCATAACAATGTACTTTAGTCTGTTTAAGCAATACCCAGGGGCAGAGAAGAAGATTTTCAAAGAAATAATTCACCTTCACTATAGGATCTATATAGCCCCGCCCTAGCACCAAAACTCCTGTCCCCGGGGCCATGAATTTCACAATTTTGGAAGAGGCATCCTTGCTTATCATAACAATGTACTTAGTTTGTTTAAATAATACCCAGGTGCTGAGAAAAAGATTTTTAAAGAATTAAAACATTTTCACTTCATAATCAATAGAGCCCCGCCCTAACACCAGAACCCCTGATCCAGGGGCCACGAATTTCACAATTTTGAAAGAGGCATCCTTGATTATCATAACTATGTATTTAATGTGTTTCAATAATACCCAGGAGTAGAGAAGAAGATTTTCAAAGAATTAATGCATTTTCACTATATAATCAATAGAGCCCCACCCTAACACCAGAACCCCTGACCCAGGGGCCATGAAATTCACAATTTTGAAAGAGGCACTCTTGCTCATCATAACTATGTACTTAGTTACTGAACTTAATACCCAGGAGCAAAGAAGAAGATTTTCAAAGGATTAATGCATTTTCACTATATAATCAATAGAGTCCCGCCCTAACACCAGAACCCCTGACCCAGGGGCCATGAAATTCACAATTTTGGAAGAGGCACTCTTGCTCATCCTAACTATGTACTTAGTTAGTTTATTTAATATCCAGGAGCAGAGAAGAAGATTTTCAATGAATTAATGCATTTTCACTATATAATCAATAGAGCCCCACCCTAACAGCAGAACCCCTGATTCAGGGGCCATGAAATTCACAATTTCTGAAGAGGCACTCTTGCTCATCATAACTATGTTTTTAGTTAATTTCTTTAATACCCATAAGCAGAGAAGAAGATATTCAAAGAAATAATGCATTTTCACTATATAATCAATAACCCCCCCCCCCCCTTCACCAAAACCCCTGACCCAGGGGCAATGAAATTCAAAATTTCTGAAGAGGCACTCTTGCTCATCATAACTATGTACTTAGTTAGTTTATTTCATACCCATAAGCAGAGAAGAAGATTTTCAAAGAAATAATGCATTTTCACTATATAATCAATAGAGCCCCCCCCCCCTTTCACCAGAACCCCTGACCCAGGGGCCATGAAATTCACAATTTTGGAAGGGGCATTCTTGCTTATCATAACTGTGTACTTAGTTAGTTTATTTTATACCCAGGAGCAGAGAAGAAGATTTTTGAAGAAATAATGCACTTTTACTATATGATCTATATAGCCCCACCCTAGCCCCAGAACCCCTTACCCTGGGGCCATGAATTTCACAATTTTGGTAGAGGGCTCAATGCTTATTACAATCATGCTAACAGTTTGACTGCTTGATGTCCAGGAGTAAAGAAGAAGATTTTTAAAGATTGCATTAATTTTAGTGGTTTTTGCCCCACCCCTCAGGCCCCAGGGGGGCAGGGACCATGAAATTCACAAATTTTGTCCCCCTTCACCCATAGATGTTATATGCCACATTTGGTTGAAATTGGTTGAGCGGTTTCAGAGAAGAAGCTGAAAATGTTCAAATGTTAACGCACAACGCACGACGCACGCCGACGGACGAAAACGGATAGCAATAGGTCACCTGAGTGACTCAGGTGACCTAAAAATCTCATCAACAACATTTTCCAAAATTTTATGAACAGTAACTTGTTTCACAGTGCATACATATATTTTGTAAACAAGAAATGTTTGAGAAACATATATGCACGGAGTTTGATGCCTGTCTAGCAAAGGGTTTTCAAGATATCTTATGTCTAGTTTGACCCTTGACCTTGTGACCTTCAAATTAATTAGGGGATCATCTATTCCTTAGAGAAAACCATTATCCAATGTACTAAGTAAAAGTCTATCAAGAAAATGGTTGTCAGGATATTGAATGGACAAGATTTTCTATGTCTAGAGCAGTTTGACCCTTGACCTTGTAATCTCAAAATAAATAAGAGTCATCTTTTCTTCTCTTCAAGGGGGTACCAAAGTATCAAGTTTGATGTCTGTCAAGCAAAGGGTTCTCAAGATACTGAACGAACAACTCTTGGTCTACCAACTATTGTACCGATGTACAGACCAACTGACAGGTGCAAAGCAATATGCTCCCATTTTCAAAGGAAACATAAGGAATTCAAAATATTTTTCTTGCTATCACTTCATATTTAACAATTTATCATTAATTCTAAGAACTAATAGCTTTCACTTAATTTCACTAACAAAGGGTAACCATGAACATTCATATTTATTAGGGGATTGGAAGAGAAATCTGGCTTAGTTTCATTTTAAACAAAATAGCAGTAGAAATCAGCTACAATTTTAGGTAAACTGTATAGAACAGAACCAGTGCCACACTTTAAGGTTATTTTATAATTAATGAAATTAAAACATGACACAATGAATTTGAAAGATACAGACAAAAACCTTGGAGTTTAAGACTATATTCAAAGGTAATACTTTACCTCATTTTTCCATAGAACAACTTGACCAAAGCCTCCAGAACCAAGAATCTTTTCCTCCACCCAGTCACCTCTCTTTGATGGCTGAGTGAACGCCATCTTTGGTTATAATTCTTGTGCCCTATCTGTAAATTAAGAATAAAAACTTCTACTGTTTTACCAGAATTTTCTACTCCGAAAAGAATTATTCAAAATAATCATAAGAATCAATACCACAATATTAAAATTTTTAAAAAAATGCTTAAAAAGCACAGATTTTATCAAAAAAGAAAAAGTCAAGGTCAAAGGAAAATTTGAGGTACTTGTAATAAAATTTTGACACACTTGATTAGTTTGTTACTAATATGTATTAGTCTATGAGTTTCGATAAAATATCTTGCATACCTGGGTAATTTATTTAAAACCAACTTGAAGCTAAATTTATACACATTAAGAAATAGTGAGGTCAAGGTCATAGAGAAGGTCAAGGTCAGAAAAGTTATGATTCAGTCAAAAAGTTTTCACCAATATGTATTAGTATAATATTAATTTTGATAAAAAATGTCCTTAGCAGTTTCTTTGAAACTGAGGTAGAGGCAAAGTGAGAAGAATAGTCAGACATAAGGATGAAAAGATGGAAAACATACATGACAAAAGCAGTGGCTATATTCCATGGCCATATTCGTGACAGGGCATAAAACAAGAGACCCATGGGCCACAACGCTTACCTGAGTTACTTTACTAAACTGCACAATTGCATTCTTTATGACAAAACCTTCCTTAGGTACCAACATTTTTGACACCATGACCTTGATTTTGGAATTTAACTAACTTTGAAAAAACTATAACCTTGACCTTAACTTCTGAGCAATTGGTGCTAAGGCTTCCATGTTTCACATGTGTATTCCCTGTGACAAGTCTTTTCTTTGGGTACCAACTTTTTTCACCTCATTGGGGAATGAGTATTTGGCCCTATAAATTATCATTATCATTAAATTATTATTAGTAGTACAGAACAGAACAGAACAGAACATTTATTTTCTAATTTAGAGCCCATAACAGACAAGTATGAAATTATTACAATAATAAAGAAAAGATATGCCAATGGATAGTATAACAACTTGTAAATGACATTACTCATTTCAACAATAATATTGTACTATTTCAGTTAAAGGGAATACTATATATAAAACTGTATGACTACTACAACATGTTATCATTTATGAATTTGCCCACAGAATTAAGAGTTTCTTTGTCTTCAGTATTGAGTAACCAAAAAAGTTTTTGTTCATCATCTAATGCCGAGAAATTGGGAAATTTACTTTTAATTGATTGAAAAATTTCTTTTCTTTGATGATCATATTTTTTACATGTTATGAGAAAATGAGTTTCATCATCTACACTGTTAGAGTTACATCTATTGCATAATCGATCTTCACGAGGGATGTTGGTAAATCTTCCCACTTCAATTTGCAATCTGTGACAAGAAATTCTTAATTTACATAGAGATTTTCTGTGATGAAAATTTTTAACTACTGATAAATAATTCTCATAACCCCAATTTTGTTTGAGTTTTACATATGTGCTTAATTTACCATCAGTATAACTTTGTTGACTTGTATACCAATTTTTTATATAATAATCTAATATGGTTTTATGACAGAGTGACTTAAATTTATGCTTCCCATAACAAATTACTTCATCTTTGATATTCAGTATATTTCTTAATTTCTGTACAAATGCGAACCATGAGTTCTTTCCATGTACATAAAGATTTTTACTACATTCATATGCATCTTTAAGTAAAGGAAATTCTATGGACAAATTTTCAAATCTATACCAACTTTTGATTAACAATTTGACAATATCATAATGCAGGGGGAACCTTCCCAATTCAGACAATACTGCAAAATTTGTACTTTTCTTATGAACACCAAGAATATATTTACAGAATTTAAGGTGTATTCTTTCACAAAGTAGATTTCTGAAACAGTCTTCAACTTCTAACTTTTGGCATTTTAGGAATCTTTTAGTATTGATATTACTTGCACCCCACACCTCTGCATTATACAAAAGAATTGGTTTAATAGTAGAGTCAAATACATGTATACTCGTTTTAATCCCAGGATTCAAATTAATAAAATCATTTCTCAGTTTATAATATGCTTTTAACGCCTTTTTATAAAGCTCTGATCTTGCTACATGAAAACTTCCAAATGCAGTTAGGTGAACTCCAAGATATTTGTACCTAGATACACAGTCTATCCTATTATTTTGAAACATTAGTTTTTGCGTGAAATTACGACCAGCTTTATTAAAGATCATGACTTTAGTTTTTTGAATGTTTACCTTTAAACACCAATCAGAGCAATACTTTTCAAGTTTAGAAAGTCTTGCTTGTATACCTTGAGCTGATGCTGATAAAATAACAATGTCATCTGCATACATTAAACAGTTAACAGTTTTTGTCTGAAGTGATACTTCATCAATACATGAATCTAAATATGATGGAAAATCATTTATAAATATTTTAAATAAAGAAGGGCTCAAGTTATCCCCTTGACGGACACCTATAGCTATTGGAAATGGATCCGAGAAGAACCTTCCAATTTTCACACATGCCTGACTATTCTTATATATATTACTTATAATATTATAAAATTTAGATCCAACATTCATGTGAAGTAATTTGAGCTTTAATCCTGTGTGGATAACACTGTCAAAAGCTTTATGAAAGTCAATAAAACAAGCATATAGTCTTCCTTCTTTTAAGCTACAGTATTTATCAATTAAACACCTTAGCACAAATAGATGATCAGATGTTCTTGCATCTTTGGTAAAACCCATCTGAGATTGGTGAATTAGATTATGTTCTTTAAGAAATTTATCTAATCTAGAGTTCAGAATGCTGTTGAATAACTTGCCAAGTGTGCTGGTAATTGTAATACCCCTATAATTTGCAGGGTTGTTTGGATCCTCAGACTTAAAAATTGGACTTATGTACCCGTTACTCCAAGTTTGAGGATAAATACCATATGTGAAACAACTATTAAAGAGCTTATGTATACAGGAGAGTAAATAGGACTGACTATGTTTTAACATTTCATTAGATATCAAATCAAGCCCCTTGGCTTTTCCATATTTTAAATTTGCTATTGCATCTACAATTTCCTTATGTGAAATCTTGAAATCCAGTTCATTAAAGGATGGATTTTTCTCCATGTCAGCCAAAATTGAATCTAGCTCTTGTATCCTTGATTTAAAAGAGTTATCACAAACAGAATGAAGGTTGCGAAAATGATTTACCCACGTTTCAGAATCTATGTTTGCAGCAGAATTGTCTTTATTATTATCTTTTAGGTCATTAATTAATTTCCAATATTGTTTTGGTTGTTTATTTTGAAGTGCATCAAGTTGATTTAGAATGGAGTTTTGGAAATTTTTACGCTTAAATTTTCTTAATTTATTGTACTCTCTAAGAAGTCTGTAGTAATGATTCTTAACAACTGGATCCTTTGGAAATATGCTATAAATTTTTCCATGCGCAATCAATCTACGGCGCATTGTTTGCAAGTCTGAATCAAACCACTTTTTATTTTTATGCTTTTTAATATTCTTACTTTTATGACCTGGCTTATTTAATGACATGTTAGCAGCAGTTATGATAATGTCATTGAATTCTTCTGCCTTTTTCTCGATATCAGTAGAAGTAGATTCTGTAATAAAAGAATCTAAAAAAGACTTGATTTTTTCTTGTATCCTATCTGAACTTAGAGCCATCTGAAATTTAATAGGGGAATCTTCATTCCATTTAAAATTTTGAGGGGCGGGATGCAAGGTTCTGGCATTAGTAGCATTTGAATTAATTTCCTTAAATTTTGCTAAAACTTCCCATGATATTTTACAGTGACAATCAGAAAGAGTTGGGATAAAATTTGATACCCTAAAATATAGAATTTGTTTAACTAAGTGTTCACTTGCAACAAGGTAGTCAACTGTGCTTTGACCATGTGTGTTAAAACATGTGTAATCACCAAAAATATCCCCCATACATCTACCATTAATAATTCTCAACTGATTACTAATACAAAAATCAATCAATTCTTTACCTCTTTCATTTAAAATGACATCACGATTACTACGTTTACAAAAATTATCATCAATCTTATATGTTTTACAAAGAGGAAGGTACCTTACATCATCATGTTCTATAAAATCATCTGATGAAGCAGTGCGTGCATTCATATCCCCACAAATCATAATTTCCCCCTTATACTTAAACTTATTAACATCTTTCTCAATAATTTCAATAACATCATAATTTAACTTTTGAAAGTAAGTTGAATTCGAAGGTGGAATGTAACATGCACAAAGATAAATATCATTTTGAAGATTAAAAAACCTTTTTTCTATCTTAATCCACTGAAAATCTTTCTGGGTACCTGGTAATAACTTAATATGTTCCTTAATACAATTTTTACGAAAAATGCCAATTCCCCCATAAAATCTTCCATTTGCAGACATGTCCCTACATACAGGGAAGTATGTAAAACCATCAATAAAAAGATTGGTATTATACCCAACATGTGTTTCACTTAATATAATAATATCATAGTTTTTCACCTCCTTCAAAAATAATTTGTCATTTAGTTTATTCTCACCCTGTGTAAAAATTCCTCCAACATTCCAATAACAAATTTTTATGCTATTTTTATACATATACTTGTCCATTTTGGACCCTTAACTGTATTCTACTGTGATAAAATTTATACAAATAAAGAAAATTAACTAAGTTATAATTTTAAGGTTCACCAGTTTCAGATCTACAGAACAACTTGAATTACAATTAACCACCCTTGTGTTGATGGCCCTTTCCATGCTCAACGAAAATAGTTTGGACTTTTTCTAAGTTGGCGGTTATAATTATCGTCCTGGTACTGATGATTCCAGCTTAAACTGCTCCTATAGTAATTGTTACGGTTATTCGCTTGGAAATGCTTTTCCTGGTTGTTGTAGTTCGACCTATTTCGATACTTATTTGTATATCCCTTGGAGTTGTTGCCGATTTTTAATATGGTGTGCATTGCTCTCTTCATGTTGGACGCTAATATGGATGTTCCCTTCGGAGACAAGTGAAATTTGTCATTGGGATTCAGTAGTTCGATTGTAGGTAGATGTCCATGCCACATGTTTTCGTTGTCAGAAATATAAACTCCAGGATACTCCATGTAGTCTCTCTTTATTATCCCATCCAGGATCTCACAGTTTACCTTGTGCAAGGAGTTGTCTTCTCTTGGTGTGGTTAGAGATATGATGGTGTGAACGTCCTTCCACTTCTGTTTAATAACCTCAACCACCCCTTGTAGTTTCTCGGCACATTTTTCAGGACTAATATTTCTAACATCATTTGTTAGAGAATGAAGAACTACTACATCAGGTATGCACGAAGAGTTAATGATAACATTCTTTGTTTCATCCAGAGTAAAAGCTGTTACTTTAGTAACGTTTACGTCTGATGTAAGTTTATCCTCTTTTATGCCATTCACGTTAGAAGTACCTATTAACAGGGCCATTGGTTTTTTATTCTTCCCAGCACTGACTACCAGGTCTGTCATCTCTTTTGCCCTGCTGGTTTCAGTGTCCTTTCCACCACTCATGAACATGCTAGAGAGCTGAGATTTAAGGGACAAAATTTCATTGAACTGGTTATCAACATTTTTTCTCAGTGATTTATTTTCATCCATGAGTTGATCATTTTCCTCATTTTTTGTGTTAAGTTTTTCAGACAAGTGTTCATTTTCATGTTTCAAATTCTTGACTTCTCTTCTCAATGTCTCATCCATGGTGTTGTTTCTTGCTTTTTCTGCTTTCAGCAGGGATTCCAATCTCGCATTTTCTACTGTTAAGTTGTATTTATCTGTGCGTGTCTGATATAATTGTTTTTCAATATCAGCTATATGAGACTGAAGTTTATCTGAGTTTGTGTCATTGGTCTGCTTATCCTTCAAAGATTTCATTGTATTGAACTGGGTCTGCAAATTGTTTACAGTTCTGGTCACTTTCTGTAATGAATCAGACAGATTTTTCTCCACCCTCGATACTAGTGTTGTTTGTGTTTCAGTCAACTTGGACAACGATTCAACAAAAATTTCCTGTAATTTTTCGAAATCCTTGTATGTAACTTGGGGAGTTTCAGTATTATCTGAGGATGACAAACCTGTTTCTTCCATTTGGTCCTTTGACATAGCTTCGTTTGTTGTTTTTAATAAGGTTTCATCATCAGTGTCCTCAAACACATTGTCAGCTACCTCATTGTGAACAGCTCTAGTAGATCTTTCATAGTCGCAAATAGCATTGACCAGGGAAAGAAGCATTGGGAAATCATTGCATGCAAAGATCTCGTGTTGTAACCCTTGTGCTTGGATTACTCCTGTGTTAACAAACAAAGTAACTTTGTACAGTAAATGTGGTTCTTTCAACAATCCAATGCAGATTGATTTGTTACCTTCGTCAAGCCATTCATTTGGTTCGTCATACCAGTCTACTAAGTATGATCCTTCCATCTTTCCATAATGTTCATAATACAATACACCCAGAGCTCTTATCCATGCTTCCAATCTCTCCCTCGTAATCCGAAACGCCACCATGTGCGCTGACGGTTCATATAACGAAGTGTCTATCTTTTCATATTCAAGTTTCTTTGCTTTAGGTCCTGATGGATTTTTAAAATTGTCAGGTAAGCACTGTTGTGGGTATTCCTTGTATATATTTCTCACAGACAAGTCCACCTCATCTAGATTAACTTTAAAAAGTAAACTTCTCACCCCCGCCATTTTGATTTTGGCGCCATCTCTGTCCTCGATATCGTTAATGTTTATAGATTTAACACTTTCACCCATATTGAACTTCAATCTACTGTATGTAAATTTGTACGCAAGGTAGAATCTCTGTATTATTAAATACCTTTATACCAATCTACATTCATTCCACAGAAAGGGACAAACAACGCTGGCTAGTTTTTCACCAACCATGCATCCATAACCGGAACCGGAACATAGCTCAGTGATGGAGCACCCGCACAGTTAGCGCAAGGTCCTGGGTTTGAGTTCCTGTCTGGATGATAATTTTCCTCACCTGTTAAAGTTGGCAATCAACAACAAAACCTCATGTTGTTTTAGAAGAGACTCAGTGAGATCTTCAGGGTGGAAAACCTAAAGAGGGGGTGGGGTGAAAGTATTATGAAGATTGGGTCAACCCTGTAGGTCAGTGGTAGAGCACCAGCATGGTTAAAGGGAGGTGCTGGGTTCGAGTCCCAATTTGGTCGACACTTTGAAGTTTACTATTTTAGTGTTTCAACAAATTTACTGGATCCATTTTTTTATCAATTAGTTTAGTGTGTAACAAATTGCTCTCTGGAAAAATACTATGTTACATGAATTGTACTGTATACGTATAGAGAGAGGACATTTTTGTTATAGCAGAGTTAACGTTATGTCTTACGATATTGACACCAATGACTTTACACATTGTAAACAATGGTTAACACTGATGGCATCTACACATACTTTGAATACATACAAAATACATTCCAACTTCACAATGTCTTGTTACTTACCCAATTCTATATTTATCTCATCAGCCACTTTCTGTTTTCGATGAAGTTTTTCTCTCTTGGGGGATTCCTATTTCGGAAATCCTCTGGTCTTTATATGATTCAGCTAATAGTAGTAGAAACTAGAAAGGTTGGTCACATGCATAATTTTATAAAAGTATATTGGCATAATTTACAACATTTGATTATATTTTGATGCGAGGAAAAATTTAAGCAGAGAGTTTCTTGATCTAGAAATCAGATGACTTTCTTCTTTAGGCCTAATCAGGGATGTACCCATGTACATGTCCCTGATATAACATAAATCCTCACTTGTTTAAAATGTTAAAGTTTGCGCACTTTATATGAATGAAATAAAAAGGATAAATCTATACTCTAGTTCTAAGTATTAATATAAATCTAAAGTAGAAATCATATAAATTTTCATTTTTTTTAATTTTATTATTTATTTTAATGAAAACAGATAGTTCAAGCTTTCTTTTCTATGTTTGACATTAATTAGCATGACCTGAATTTTCACCGGATGTTGCCAGAGTATTCCCGAAGTGACATAGTTTGCGAAGTTACACTACGAACTGATGAAGTGTTATGCATTCCAAGAAACAGTACTACGAAGAAACCATGAATGAATGATTGCATGTAATAGGAAAAGTTGAATGGTTTCAAAAGTTTTCAGGGGCTGTCACTCACAGATTTTGGATGGTATCTTCGTATGACATGAGTCATCATTGACCTAGTTTTTGGTAAACATTTTCACGTCCCTCACTGCCTTTCTCAAATTCTGTATTTTTCTTGGCATTAGCTGAATCTAAGGTGTCATTTATAGTTGATCTTGCTATATGGTACTAGGGATTTGTCTTATCTGAATATTTTTGGCACTTTGCACTGTGCACATGTGGCGTCATTTTTTTTATTATAGAAATATTAATTCCATTGGTTTTATACTGTATCTGTGCAATTGCAACTTGTTGGGTCTTTCTGGTGAGCTAAAATAAAAAAGAATTTGAATATGTTGAATGTGAATGTCCATGGATAACCCCCTTTACATTGATTACTGATTTACAAAGAAGTATTGTCTGATTGGAAATGAAAGAGGCTCATCAACTGATGATCAAGATTATCTGAAATTTATTGTAGGGATAAATAAATTTTAAATTTTGCACTAACTGGCTCAAACTTTGACAGGCTAGGGACTGGAGAAGATGGCACAACCATTTCATATAAAATTCTGGACTTTAAAACTATTGGACTGTTGGACCTACTTTTTGAATTTTATCATTATTCATTAATCTTATTAGCCTGGACACCAGGGACCTATATACTTACATTAGTATATACGTCCCTGTGAACACTAAACGAAAACAACTGACATTGCAATGACATGCCTATATACTTACTCATCATCATTGGTTAGGCAGATAAATTGACAAATGTTTGGTAGTCCTCAGTCATCAGGGATTTATCAATACTTTCTCAGGGGCCGAAATTCGGCCCCATTCCCAATTGAAAATGAGTTCAGTTTTTCCCAATTTGGCAGTATTTTTTCACAATTGGTGAACAATGCTTTTATTTTTAATTATCTTGGAAAAACACAAAAGTAAAATTGTCAGATTGTCTGTAATTTTCATCTATTAAACTCATTTAGGAATGTTACAGTCATAACGCATGTTTAAAAACACTAAAAACATCGCCAACTTTTAATCCGAATTTCCTCAGTTTTTCTGGAAATGCTGATATTGTGTAATTATATAAGATTTATTTTAGTTATTTTCACCTACTCAATTGATCTACGAGTGAATGGTAAGGACTAAAGGTATTATTTCAGATAGAAAAATATATTTTCAATGCATTAATTAATATTAAAAGATGACTTAAAGAAAATGTGTACTTAGTATAATCTTTTGCAGGAGGTTTATAATCTCCAGAAACAGATTCTATAATGACCTAAATTGGAATCTCATAGACACATATACTACCCAAGTTGTTTAAATACTTTATACTCATTAAAGTCAATTTTACTTTTATTAGTGTATTATTCATAATTGAACTTGTACGCTGAAGTTGGATCATATTTAATTGTCTGTTTAATTGCCCAAATTAGAGTTCATGTTATTAATTACACCTGAATACATGTTTTAAGCAACATTTTTAATTTTTCCCAATTTCATCAAATAGCCGATAATTTTTTCCCAATTCCCCAAAATGGCGTTTCCCAAAATAGGCTGATAAATCTCTGGTCATGGTCATATTAATTGCCCCGAGGTCAGTTCATTGAATGTCACACCTTTCTAAACCAAATAATCCTTCATCAATCGATAGTTTTAATCCTTGTCAATAACGTGCACAGAATGACCTGAATGTTCACATTGAAAAATTCTTCAATAATTGTGTATAAACATGAATTTCACTTCAGGTGAAAATGGCTAGCAGTCAGCCATTGAAGAAAGGAGAATGGGTGGAGGAGAAGGTACTGGGCTCAGGTGGCTTTGGTCAAGTTGTTCTGTGGAAACATGAGGTTAGCCATTCCCGCAAAAATTATATTACTGTAAGTTTGTGAAGTAGAATTTATTAATCATGATATGTATATTATAAATCAATGTGAACATTTGATAGAGTAATGCAGAGTACATAGCCCTGAAGAAATGTCGGATACAGAGTGAAATGAGCCGGAAACACAAGGACCGCTGGACCCTTGAGGTGGACATCATGAGGCGACTGAACCACCCGAATGTCATAGCAGGCAAAGAGGTTCCATCTGAATTAAATGTCAGTGTGGGGGAGCTACCACTTCTAGCCATGGAATACTGCTCAGGGGGAGATTTGAGGAAGGTATCGATAGATTTACTTTATTAAGTTACTTGAATTTCTTTGAAATTTAAAATAAGGTCATTGGTATTAAGTTTCACTATGTTGAATTAAATTTTTCACTGGCTATTAGCATTGATACCACTTGTCTAATTCATTGTTTTTATGCCCCCGGATCGAAAGATCCAGGGGGTATATTGTTTTTGTCCTTTCTGTCTGTTTGTCTGTTTATCTGTTTGTCTGTTTGTCTGTCTGTCTGTTGTCAACTTTAACCTTGCCCAGAACTTTTGATTGGTTGGAGCTATGACTTTCATATTTCACATGTGTATTCCTTGTGACAAGACCTTTCTTTGGGTACCATCATATTTGACCTTTTGACCTTGACCTTGGAGTTTGACCCACTTTTGCAAAATTTTATGAGACTTTAACCTTGGCCATAACTTCTGAACAGTTGGTGCTTGGGGTTTCAAACTTCACATGTGTATTCTATGTTACAAGGCCTTCCTTTGGATACCAACAACTTTTACCTTTTGACCTTGGAGTTTGACCTACTTTTGAAAAACTTTAACCTTGGCCATAACTTTTGAACAAGTGGTGCTTGGGGTTTCAAACTTCACATGTGTATTCTTTGTTACAAGGCCTTCCTTTGGATACCAACAACTTTTACCTTTTGACCTTGACCTAGGAGTTTGACCTACTTTTGAAAAACTTTAACCTTGGCCATAACTTTTGAACAGTTGGTGCTTGGGGTTTCAAACTTCACATGTGTATTCCTTGTGACAAGACCTTCCTCTGGATATCAACCTCTTTGACCCTTTGACCTTGACCTAGGAGTTTGACCTACTTTTGAAAAACTTTAACCTTGGCCATAACTTTTGAATGTTTGATGCTAGGGCTTTCATACTTCACATATGTAATCCTTGTGACAAGACCTTCCTTTGGATACCAACCACTTTGACCCTTTGACCTTGACCTAGTAGTTGTTGATGCTAGGGCTTTCATACTTCACATATGTAATCCTTGTGACATCACCTTCCTTTGAATACCAACCACTTTGACCCTTTCAGGGGTCTAGAATTACGCTTTCCCGTTGCCCGGGGCAAGTGAAATGTCATCTCGGGAAAGATAGTTTTCAGGATAAACTTACTCAATGGGAAAGTAATAAATTTCAGTTGAGCCAGTAAAACTTTTCGAGTTTATGAAAAGAATTCAAAAACAATAAACATTCAATTACATTGTATTAGAATCTGCACAAGTCTGCTACATTTCGTTTATTTAATCAGTAATCTCCAATATCATAGGAAGTCCACATACTTGTATAATATCGGAACCAATCCGGAAAGATCTCAAAATTACGGAATGGCTTTAAAAACAGAAACGATGTTTTGGAAACAATGTTTTGTCAATATGTGATTAAATCAATAAATATTTTAACAAAATAATAAACAAGTACATAATAACTGCTTTTAAGTGGCATATACATTAAAACCTCACAATAAAAAAATAACAAAATAGATTTGTTTATATTTTTCTAAATTTTAGTTTTCGAGTTCTGTTTTGGGTTACTTAATGATACGTTTTCAAATAAACAGATCAGCAAAATTCAATGATTTTCTGATATGTTTTCCAAAAAAAAAAAAATAATAAATAAAAAAAATAAATCAGTAAAACTAGATGATTTTCTCTATCTTTTTGGGGGCAAGTGAATTTTGAAGCTGGGCAAGTGGATTCCCAGTCATTACTTGCCCGTGGGCAAGTGAATTTCAAAAAAAATTCTAGACCCCTGCCTTTGACCTTGACATAGGAATTTGACCTACTTTTGAAAAACTTTAACCTTGGCCATAATTTTTGAATGGTTGGTGCTAGGGCTTTCATTCTTCACATATGTAATTCTTGTGACAAGACCTCTCTTTGGATACCAACCACTTTGACCCTTTGACCTTGACGTAGGAGTTTGACCTACTTTTGAAAAACTTTAACCTTGGCCATAACTTTTGAATGGTTGGTGCTAGGGCTTTCAAATTTAACATTTTTTATCTTTTGGCCTGGATTTTGACTTGCATTTGAGAAACTTTAACCTTCGCCATAAGCTGCCATACGGGGGCATCAGTGTTTCACAAACACATCTTGTTCTATAAATATTCTACCTTTAACGGAACTGTAGACATCCATTCTCAGAGAAAACATGGCAAGGTAAAAGGTAAAGGATAACAGAACTGTGGAAATTTCCGTTTCATATGTCTTAGAAAACAGAAAATTCTGTTGAATATTATCATTCATTTGTATGATAACCAGTACAAACTGTCTCTAATTATTTGAAGTAGTTTTAACTTTGACCATTGAGTCTCATTTGTTTGTAGGTTTTGAACAAGCCAGTAAACGGTGTAGGTCTGAAGCAGTATGACATCCGATGTCTTGTCAAAGACGTGGCATCAGCAGTGGAATACCTGCACAGCAAAAGAATTATACACAGAGATTTAAAGCCTGAGAATATCGTATTACACCCCACAGAAGAAAGGGTAGGACTTTGTTACTCTTGACTGTTGTTTCCATACTTTTCTGTGTTGGAAAAATATGAATACAGTCAATTCTTGTTATCTCGCATTTCATGGGATCAAGAAAACAAACTTCAAGATGTCCTTAGTTCAACATATTGAGGTTAAAATACATAAAGAAAAAGTGATTGAGACTTCCAACTCACTTGGACTTTGCATGGTAGTCGAGTATCGATGTTTGAAATATTGAAGTTCAACTTTATCGCTTATATCTTTGAAATTGATTTGATGTTAACCATCTTCCTAAGAAAATTTGTTAAAATGAAATGTTAATTTTGTTAAAATATTTGTTTAGATTTTAGTACATGATAAACTCTGTCTTTTGATGAAATTGATTATGTATACACCTGACATTTGAAAAGAAATATTGAAAATGACTTTAGTAAAAAGCGTAGACTTATGTATGTGCCATTTCAGATTGTATATAAAGTCATAGACTTAGGTTATGCCAAAGAATTGGACCAAAACAGTATGTGCACATCATTTGTTGGAACTATGCAGTATCTTGTAAGTAAACAAAAATGTAAAATTGTCTGAATGAGAATTAACAGTGTTTCAAATTTACTCAGATTTAACTAGCACCTTGCACAGTGCACATGTAAGCAATGGTCTGCAAATAACAAAGTATTCCCCTTTACCAGGCCCCTGAGCTATTTGCCAGTCAGAAGTACACATGCACTGTGGACTACTGGTCGTTGGGTACACTGGTGTTTGAGTGTATTACGGGATTCCGACCATTCTTGCCTCAAGCTCCACCTGTCACATGGTATGTTCTACCCATCTGTTGTAAGTCTGTCCTGTCACACACTTGGTTAGTTCCTCTTGTCACATAAAATGAGCTTCACCATTAATATGGTTATGCTTAGTCATACCTCTCAAATGGTAAATTGTGCTCTTCACATATCAAGCCCTACCTCTCAGTTGATAAATTCCATTTGTTGCAAACTAAATTCAAACTGTCAAATGGCTAGTTTCATCTGCCAAATTGTTAGTCAAGCTTGTCACATTTGGCAGTCCAACAAGATACTGGATCTGGAAAAATTACATGAAATTGGTACCACAGTCCTGCTGATCTGACAGATCAATCTGTGTTCTTTAAATCTGGCAAATATGAGGCTGATAGGTTAAGGCATAGTGGTACTTTATACACATCCCATTGATCACCATCATTAAAAAGTCGATCATGGTAATCTTTTGAATTTATTCCACATCATTACTATTAGTGATGTACAAATGCAAGCATACACAGACTCATGGACTGTGGCCTCTTTCAACTTTGTTTCAGGAAGAACTGTACTCGAGGAGTTAATATTCGCTATATCCACATAATTAAAAAATCTGCTAATTCAAAATACAGTGGTCATTTTTTTTTTAAATTGATAATGATAAATTAAAAAATTATGATATTTTTTTCCGTAAATAGATTTGTAAAGTCTATCTGTGTTTCCCAAACAATAAAAAAACTATTGTTATAGTGAAGTTATAGACCATCTCCGTAATTATGAAGTGTACTGATCAATCACTGTGATGTGACTTTGGCAGTTTTTGGAGCTTAATTGATAAATAAAACTCTACAAATAACGTTTAATTCTGCCTAGCCAGTAGAGGTGTGATATACAGTATACAGTCAAACCTCGTTATCTCGAACTCGATGGGACTGAGAAAAAACTTCAAAATATCGAGGTTAAAATACTTGAAGTATAAGTGATTGGGACTTCCAAATCACTGTAGCATATCCATGGTATTTGAGATATCAGTATTTGAGATACCGTAGTTCAACTGTAATTACATGTACCTAAAATCATGCATCGTTTAATTTCATCTGTGCGTAACAGTCAGTCATTTTCTTTAATTGAGACACTTACAAAGTAAAGATTTGATGTATACTGTAGTAAGTACTACTGTTTATCTCACTCAGAACATATCTATACACTAACATGTGTCAAAGGATGTTTTGAAAAGCGTCACATGATTTCAATACGCTAGGGTGAACATGTGACTAAAATATTTGGAATAAATAACTTGAGTACAGCCTTATAAATATTTCAAACATACTTACTAAAAAGAGGAAAACAAACAAGTGAAAGAAAGAAAATCCAGACAAATATATCTGAACACAATGTTTTAACTTTAAATTGGGATTGGCATTTTGTCATATTCAGTGCAATTCAGAATCGGACACAATATGTACTGTCTATTATTTTATGGGAACAAAATACTAGTGTGACACTAAAAAGGTTTTTGTATAGTTTTATCTTTCCACAAATTCAGACTACTTCACTTTGATGCAAATTGAGAAAATCTCAATCTTTTCCAATAGAGTTTTTAACCTGCTGTATAGTTCATGTAATTCTGTATCAAGTTCATAATTAACACAGTATGTCATAGAAGCCCTTCCTCCTTTTATGTCAATTTATGCTTAATGTAATATATTATTATTATTCTGAAAGAGGGTTAAAAAAAAGAAGAATTGCCAATGGTTTTGTGATTTTCATCTATCATACATGTGTGGTTTCTGTATCCTTGCCAGTTTGTTGGATAAATCATAAAGCATGGAAAATTTTGTGTATACTGACAAAAGAAATTTATTGTAGGCCTTACATATACAATAATGTGTATTAAATGTGGTACTAGTTTAATATTTATTTTCTAGGCATGAAGAGGTGCGCCAGAAATCACCGGATGACATCACTGTATATTATAACTCAGATGGAGAAGTGAAATCCTCTAAGAAAATTGTTACCCCAACACATCTGTGCAGGTACATTCTATATTTAATTTCTACACAGTTTTGTCATTAATGCTGTATTGTTAAAATGCATCTATTTTTCTAAATAAAAAATTAGCACAATTTTAATTGAGAGAATATTCGACACAATCATGAAAAAATGATTACCATGTTTTTAGATTCATAGTAATGAACTTACCGGTAGGTACATGTATATATGTGATGTTGATCATACATTGGCACACTATTGACTGCAAACTATGATGGTTACAAGTTAACATTTAGAAAACTGTGCCATATGAACTTCTGTCATTAATAGCAAATATTTTTTTTTAGGAGTATGCAAGCATACTTTGAACAGTGGTTGAGTCTCATGCTGAGATGGGATGCTAAATCTCGTGGAGGGGGACTCGTTGAAGGAAGACCACAGTGTTTTAAAGTCTTGAACACAGTGCTGAATGTCAAGGTAATCTAGAGGCATATTTATGGAATTGAATTAGGGATTAGCAGTACAGAAATGCAAGTATATTTGTTTTCATTAGGGTTGTCAAATCGATCAAATTTTAGTAATATGGGTTAATTGTCTGCCTTTCCAATCAAGTATTCATTCATTATTCAAGAAAAAATACCAAATTTTAACCCATCTATCTTCATGATCATATAGGGTTCTTTATGGTTTCATGTACATGTAATTTCAGAATCTAAATGCTGACATTGAGTAAGTCACATTGTGAAAAGAAGAAGATAAATTTGAAATATTTTTGATAAATATAGATACACATAATTATAATAAACATTATATATTATTAAGGAATATATTGCTTGAGTGAGTCTATATGGTCCTGACTTTGTTATGAATTCTAGTCTTAAACTTGATTTTTCAATCCTTTTTGATGTTTTTGGATCGAGTTCCGTTATAGTCATATTTTTCTATAGATAAATTCTGTCTTTGAATTAAAACTTCTTTTTTTAATTTCCATTTGATGAGTGATAGTGAGTTTGATCAATAAAGATAAAATCCTGAAAATAAACCAAGAAAAGAAAAAAGGACAAATGCAAGGACTGTATATGCAGATCGATATATAAATTAGTCTCTTTAATTTGATATTGTAGATTGTCCATATCTTATTTGTGCCAAATAACCAACTCCTTTCCTATCCACTGGTGGAAAACTTCTCTATGCAAGCTCTACAGCAACAAATTGAAGATGAAACAGGGGTCAAAGTTCAGGATCAAGACATTCTATTGGCTGGTGGAGCATCACCTGACCCAAACCTTGGTGCTCATCAGTGCTGGACAGCCCCTGTATGTTCTTTGATTTTCTTTTATTTTTCATGTGAATGATGTTGAAATACAAGTAGATTTTTAATGAAGAAATAATTTTTGCTATAAAACAGGCAGAGGAAGACTGGGTGGTGTTTCTGTTTATCAAGGGAGAGAATCAGGGAGGTGAAGGCAGTAGAAGAAATAAACCTCTGCCTACTAATGTACAGGGAATTTTTAAGGAGCACACAACAGTACTTCCATATCAGGTGTATATTCTAGGTGGTATTTTAACAATATTTAATGAAAATTTCATTGTTTGCCTCATATACTTTACTTAAAAAATTACTGATAGTAGATCATTTAAATGAATTAATTTACACATGCATGTGGTGTGTGTCAAACTTCAGTGTAATGGTTGTTACCAGTGGATGTACGCTATTTTTGTTCAAGAAAAATTCAATCTTGTTACTTTTATTTGTATCAAAATACTTATACTTTTATCAAAATATCCCCCTATAATTGTACAGGAGCAAAAGAGAGCATGGGCAGAATGTGTATATTTTTGTGGTCAACAGGTGTTGGATTTCAGAAGACTGAACCAAGGTCAAAGGGCAGCTATGTAAGTATCACCAAATGTGGTTAAAGGGAAATAACTCAAAGTTGAAATAAAGCAGAATGTTATGATATAAAGAGGCAAAAAAGGGAGACCCTAAGAGAGGACAGATTAGCATTAAAGATATCTATAAAAGTCATGAAACCACAAATTGGAATGCTTAGGGTAATGACCCAATCATTTATTGCTTTGTTTATTTAAAGAATAAAGACTTCACTTATTTTGTGTTGCTTTTTTCTGTGTATTTAGGTTCAGCTTACTGAGAACAAATAACAGTTTTTCAAAACTGGAGAAGAACATGGTCAGTAGTTATGAACAACTAATGTCCAAAATTGACTACTTCAAGGAGTGGTGAGTGTACTTCCAAAGGTATTTTTTCATGCTTGAAAGTTCTTCAAAAGTCATTGATTATTTAAATGGTTCTTGAAATTGTTTCTTTTCAGTTTGCAGCATGACTTAGATTTGTATGACATTCAGAGTGGGGAACAAGGAATTAGTAAGTTTTGTTCACATTAAAATGAATTTGATGAATAGAAAACACCCTCTCTTTCTCGTTACTTTGAAGACATATAATGATAATTTTAAAATCGAGGATTTACCCATTAAAACCACTGGTAAGTCAAAATGTTTGGATAGATGTGCAAAACACTTAGATTTATTGAGTGTTTCTCTTTACAGTGGCAGAAAAAGTTGTTGCCAAATGGAAGAAAACTGGGGAGGAGATTGAAATGTACAGAGACCTGGTAATAATGCCACCCCTAACTTTTATACTCTTTTTCGTTTGTTTATTTGTTTGTTTTTTGGTGTGCTTTTGTTTTCTTTCTCTTTTCTTTTTGTTTACAGGTTTTTTTTTTTTTCTAGCTTGTTTAATCTTAATTTGTGAATAATGTACTGACCAATTCTTTCAGAAACACAATGTTGACAAACTACACCAGCAGTCTCTAGCATTGCAGACCAAGATCTTGGAATTACAGAAAAGTCCATTTGCCCGAACCAAACAACATGAAGTGTTGGAAAGTCTTGAAACTTTGTAAGTTAATAAATTGTAATATAGGCTATAAAAAAACGAAACACAATGAAGTTTCTTAATTTTTATTATTCAAAGTTCAATTGTTTGAAAGTCACTATATTGACTAAGTACTTGGTTATTTGTACCATATTTTGTCGACTCTTTACATAAAAATTTATTTTACTTGATTTGAAATTACTAAGATTGCATCATCAGTCATTATCACTTGTACATGTACTGGAGCAGGACTGTAGACCATTGAACTAAAAATGAAGTGTTTGATGAGGCATACTTCAGCACTCTTCTTGGTCAGATCTTTAACTAAATGTAGTATATATAAAACAAAATTGTTATTTAATAAACTTGGACATTTAATCATTTGTGTATCCAAAGCAAATTTTGATAAAGTAAAAACACATTTTAAAGACATCGTCAGATACCCATGATGTTCAAAAAATTTGTGCTTTTAAAGAGCAAAGAGTCAAGTTTAGTTACACACAGTAAGATATTTTGGATGGAGGGAATCAGTCTTTGATATACTGTAAACATGGATATTTTTATAGGGTAAAACTTTGCGATTTCCATGGAATAAAGCATTCGCATGGGGCTTATTTTTCAGAAGTTCAGGAATTTACAAAATATGTTGCTTTGTTGTTTAGTATGGTACCTTATATGAAACCGTTGGGGTGTCCATAAATTTTGCGATACTTTACTAATCACAGAATTCACAAAAATTTCCCCTCTGCAAACATTTCCACATGTTACTTTGACTTTTTTGCTTTTATGATACCTTTAGAGTGTTAGTGATACAGATTATCATGATCAGTTTGCAGAAGCATGTTTTATAATATTCTAATTCTTACTTAATGTTTATCTTGTTTAATATCACTTTGACAAATATTTAATATCATGTTAATCACTTTGATAAATATTATAGATCTAAGAAATCCAGTGACTTATACCAAGAGTTAAGACAAGCTGGCAAAGGTTGGTTACAAAAATTATAAAAAACTATAATCACACACATGAAGAGACATATGTCATATCATTTTGACTGCAAGAAAAAAAATTGTTTTCATTTTGATAAAAATATAAACAATACATGACAGCAATTGAATCAGAAATATAAAAAGACTTCATTCTGTGAAATAAACTTTCATTTACACATACATGTAGGTGGACGTGAGCAGTTCAAGGACCACAAGCCTATGGTGCAGCTAGTGCTGAAATGTATCCTCAATCGTGATCAGAGTTTACAGGACCTCTATACACATCTAGGGTAACTATGAGATGCATTATTTCAATGAAGTTTAAATGTCAAGTGGGCATTTTTGTACCCATTAGACACTGAGATCCAATTCCGTTGGTCACTTCTCTTAGGTTGATTTGACTTGTTTTGTGTCCACAACCTGTCCATTATTTTACTAACATTACACTCAAGGTGTTGTAGATACGTACACATTCAAAAAATAGAAAATACCACTCTTTTTTCATATGCTGAAATTTTTTACCCATGTGATTTTTGTAAGGCATTGAGTGTTTGGAACATGGTCAGGGAATATATCCTGAACCTAAACCAAGAACATTTAGACAAATCAAGGTCAGGGGATTCCAAATCAATTCCTTGTTTTTAAAGCAGAAAGTCTTAAATGCAGGAATAGTAAAGCTTATATTTGCGTAGAATTGCTTTTGATCAGAGAATGTGCACTGACCCTGAATGATGGTTACTATGGAATCATTTTAATGGGGGGGGGGGGGGGGGGCAGTATCAATGGGTAACTAAAATTTTACTTGTTTGTGGAAACATAATTTCATGAGTAACTTGTATATATACATGTCAGAAGATTTATTGAACTTGTACAATGACAAGGTTATAGTTTGTGGGGATATAAATTCTTGCATAAGGATGACCCACTAAAATATCCATGAATGTCCCCCACGAACAATGATCAGATTCCACAGTATTTGGACTAGGTCACAATTTAAGGTTCTGAAGTGTAAAGTTTTTGTTGGCTGTCATAACAACATTTATATTAAACAGAGATTGTATAAGCTTATTAATAAACTTGACACAAAGATTGTACAAAATGTATTTCTATAAATGTAAAACCAGTTATACTCAAATACATGTATGATGAATTTAAGGCTGCCTCAATCTTTTATACAGATTTTGAAATCTGCTTGATTTTTGTGCTCCCCATGTTGGGTATGAAGTCCCATTAGGACAGCTCCAGGTCTGCTCTGTATTGCTATATGATTATTTTAAAGTTTTGTTTTTTTATTTACAGAAAAATATGTGCCTGTAAATATGAACTGTTCCAGTTATTACCCAGCATTCAGCAGTGCTGTAAACAGATCACAGATGCCACAGACAAACTGTTACAATCACAGAAACAGAGACAGTCTGATATCTGGAGTCTTGTCAGATTAGCGGTATGTTTAATTATTTATTTCTCCTACTGAGATTTACTGTGGATGAAAAAATGCTTTGTTTTATCTTATTTTCAGTCAAGTGCATTAAAAAAGAAAACAATCACTTAGTTTTATTAAACCTTGCAGATACAAAAATGTAGCTGTTTTATATGTAAAAGCAGTGTTGCCTCACTTATGAGAACAAATATCACTATTTTTGGACAACTCTTTTCCAGAATACTGTGATTATATACTATGAAGAGTATATGTGTTCGATGATAGTACCAATGATATAAGCAAATGAATTCCTTCTTGTATTTTCTCTGGAAACCAAGTCAAGAGTGTTTTAAAAGATTCTTATAGTTTTCTGTCTTCACATTTAAATTTATTCATGAAACATAAATGTACCGGTAATATTACTTCTGACAGACTGAGAATGGATTGAACCACCAAGACAAGAGCAGTGGCCATGCCAGCATGTTGATTTCTATGTATGGAGGGGCATCTCTTGACTCCATGAAGGCTCGTGATGAAAATAGAGAAACTGTACAAATGTAAGCATTTACTCAGTATTAAGGTATAATATATGGCCAAACTGTCAGAAAAATGTGAGTGTTTGAAATAACAGTGTTCAAATTAAATTATGTAATAAGGTTGACTCTCTTCGACATATATGTTTCCTTGGTATTCAACATCTCAATATGAACTATACAAAGTATCTCATGAACTATCGCTGATGAGCTTGAATACAGATTTTCCTTTTAACATCATGCTAATATATTTTAAAGGAGCCTGGACACAGTTGCATTGCTGTTTTGTTTACAATTTTAAATATCTATTTTTATGAAAAAATAAATTTAGTTTAATGAATTGAACTTACATGAAAATTCTTAAAATTCAGTCACAAAAACATTCTTCATAGCAAAAAATTCAATGACAATGACATATTTTATAATATTTAGGGATGTCAACGAATAGTTGACTCTTCGACAATCAGTCGAATGGACCGACAATCGAATAATAAAATGACATTCAAATAGATAAATGCGATAGAAGAGTGAAAACAAGATGGAATTCTTGTCTCAAGATTGAGAAACCATCTTTCTTCAGACACAGTCGATAAAATAAATAAATCCCCCCCCCCCCAAAAAAAATGTTGACTTTCAATGTACGTGTATAAAGTACTGGTACCGTTATTATGTAAATGCTTCAATACCGCGAGAATTATTTGTCAATTACTAATCTGTATTCTTTTTGTAAAAAATCATGCAGCACTTTTTCTGGACTCAGCGTTAAAGCCTCTATCAATATAGTCAAACCTTATTATCTTGAACTCCACTGGACCAAAATTAAATTTCAAGATATCCAAGGATTCAAGATAACATGTAAAAAAAAATATTAAGAAAACATGGCTAGGACTGTTAATCACTTTGAAATATCCCTGGTATTTGAAATATCAGTGTTCGAGATAAGTGAAGTTCAACGGTATTGATATAAATTCTTGCAGGTGTGATGATATGATAAAGAGTTTAATGGATGAACATGAGGAGCACTTCTCTATGATGGACTGGAGTTTTCTGCCACGGATGAAACCCAAAGAACCATGACACATTAAAAAATCTGTCAGACTTACTTCTGTGGTCTTGGAGAAGAAATAATTGCAACCCAATGAAAGCCCTTATTTCAAGTCTCAAAATCAAGAGAAGATTTTTTATTACCAATATTTTAGAATGGATCTCTTTAGTAGCATTTGATAACAAAAGAAAAGGAAAAACTTACCCAAGGAAAAAAAGAACAAGATCTGATATATTTTAGGTCAAATGGTTCGTTTAATTAAGATTTTTTGTCTGTTGTGTAAAGTATATATTTTCATCACATTTCAACTTGCAACTTCCAAGATTTATTCACTTGAAAGGGAAGGACATTTAGTTTAGTGACTTGAAAGAAGAAAAGAAATATAGCATGGTCAGTTTACTTAAATCATTCCTAGAAGAAGTGAACTGTGACAGTTCAGACTTCAGGCTTTAATACTCATATTAGATCCTCATATCCATGTGAAATGTATAGTGCACATATAACTATCAAAAATAATATGCATTGAATCTAGGTCACATTCCTCTATATGTAAGTGAATTTAATTCAGTAGTAGATACATGTAGATAGCAAAGTATTTAGATGTATTAAAGATCAAAGATTGTTATTTTATCAGTGTTTGCTAAAACATGCAAATGTATTTGTCTTCCCATTGCCAGTAGACTTCTATGAAGATTATTTTTTGTATGCTTATGAGAAAAAGTATGATACTAGAACTCTAAATGCAACAAAAATATTGAACATGTAGTTTAATTTTCCTGTTTCTCAATATCAGTGGAGAAACAGCCTTTGAAAATGAGTGTAATTAAGTTTTCCATTGATTGATGGGACTCTCAGAAACTTTTCAATTCCCTTCATTCCTATCTTGAAATTGTTTATAGAATTTGTATTCATTTGTTTACTGGCATTGCTTATTCACTTGTTTTAGAAGATTTTTGTGAAGTCTTTTTTTTTTTTTTTTTAAATTTTATTACATACATATATTATTAGAAATAATATGAACTCAACAAAAAGAATGACTTCGTACTGCTTGCAACTCTGTAACATTAATTAGCAAGTTTCCATAAAGATGGAAAAAATCATTAATTTTGTCATCGTGTGACTAAGGGAACCACTACTAGGGAAAAAGGAATTTCAAACTGTAAATAGTGAAAGAAAATGGTTACTTATATTAAAGTTAAAATGGCAAAATTTTCAAAAGCTGTGAAAGTAAAAAGAGTACAAGTAAATGCTACAAGAAGTATTATTACATATATTTAAATCATTTGCAACATATTGCATGATGTTTTAGAGTATTTTATGATGCAAGGCAGCTTAGGTTTTTTTTTTCTCTGTGTTCTTTCTATGCTTCAGTGACTGATTAATGGGGAAATCTCTGGGTACTCATTTTTATTTATTAAGAATTTTGTCAATATTATTATGAGAAAAAGCTGTGAAAATGGCATTGTACATACATGTAGCAGTTAAAAATTTGAATTTCCAATTTTCTATTACTTTAAATTTATATACAATATGCTCTTTATAGTAATATATGGATGTAATAATTTGTATATACAAGTATACAGCTTATAATGAAGCAAGTAGATTTAAGTGCCCTGGTAAATGAGCACAATAGCATGAATGAATCAAGTTTTTGTCATCCATCTCGAGTGATCTGATTTGAACTCTCCTCCAAATGTTTGTCATTACAAAGAAGATTTTGCAGTATTAATTTGAATAGTGTTATGATAGGTGAATTCTCCTTCTCTTAGGGTCAAAAAGGAAGAAATTTTTTTTTTAGATGAACTTGTTCAGTGTTTATTATTGAAGAGTGAGAAATGTATTACTGTTAATGTGGATGTTTATGAGTGTTGAATACACATATAAGTAGTATAAACCATGGTGGGCTTATTCTGTGATAACAGGATAATGTATTGTTAATACTGAATAAATTATGTCGGAAGGCATTTATATGCAGTGGAATATTTATGCAAAAGGTTTATTATTTGGATCAATTTACCCCAATGAGTAAAATTTTCACATATACAGTAAAAAGTCTTAGAGAGAAGCCAATTTTATTTGTTTTTGATGTGCATATTTTTTCAATACTTCAATCGTAGTTGGACAAACTTTGTTGGAATCTGATTTGCTTTTTAGCTCTTCTGAGCCAAAGCTTGGGTAAGCTTTTCTGAACAAAATTTGTCTATTGTTGTGTATGGTTGTCGTCATTATTAACTTTTCACATTTTCAACTTCTTCTCTATAACCACTTGGCCAATTTCAACAAAACTTGGCACAATGCCTTCTTTGGTGAAGGGAATTCAAGTTCTATTGAAGGGCCATGCCCTCTTTCAAGGGGAGATAATTGAAAAAATGTGTAAATTTGATGACTTCATTTCAAAATCTTATTCCTAAGAAACAAGAGGCCAGAAAAGTCAAAACTTAAAATTTTTTTATATAGTGCAGATTCAAATTTTAATATAAATCATTTCCAGGGCTAAACTAAATCAAATTAAAATGCAAACATTCCCAAGTTGTGTGAATTCAATTTTTTTTCTTCTTGTTAATTGTTAACCCTGCAGGGGCTAGGATGGGGCTGAAATCAATGATCAAATTCATAAAATGCACGAACAAAGGGAACAAAAACCTTTCAAAAAAATTGAAGCATCACATGTTGTGTGGATTCAAGTTAGGTTATGACCCCTTGGGGTGGGGCAAGAATACATGGTAAAAAGATTTTCATATGAATGAAGAAGGGGAAAAAGAGTGAAGAAAAACAGCAAGACCATGTTTACTCAAGTGAGCAGTGTGACCTCTAAAGTTATTAGCACCACTAAAGCAACTTTTCATTGCTGAAATATACAGCATTACTTTTGTACAGATGTGTGTTTTCTAGTCTATATTTTTAATTATTAGTTACTTTGCAATAGGCATTTTCTAGAGTCTTAATTACATGGCAGATGTGTACATGTATATATATTACTTATGTAAATATTTATTATTGCAACATTGTTATTGAATTATAGTTAAGGTTATGCTATTTATGAAATAAATGAAAGTAATTTCAAATTTACAATAAATTCTCAAAGATTTACGTTTGCCAGTTATTATGGGGATGTACATCCATCCATCTGTTATGCTTTGGGGATACTGCAACTCCTCCTGTTTCACTGAATAAAATTTGATGAGACTCTCCCAGAATCTTAATTACACAGTGTCATTGTGCACATCTTATTTACCCTTTTGATTGGACACATATTTGGGCTTTCCCATAGCAAAAAATGGACTTTCCATTATACTTTTAGGGGAGTGGGAGATATCATGAAGTGAGCTCAATGCTCATGCACATTACCTCTCGTATTTCTGATGAGAATGAAGAGGTGTATTTTAAAGACTCTACCCGGAAATGCTTTGTGAAACTGTAAATAACTGTTATTATGTAAATACATGTATGTTCAAGATATGGGAGTAATACACGGTAAAAACAATGCACAGATGGCAATTTGTCACATTAATGACCAAAAGAGACATAAAAAATGCATAGGGTCTGAAATGAAACTCTCAATAAAAAAAAAAACAATGTTCATTTTAAACATATATTTTTCTTAAAAGCAATTAAAGGACGGAATGTGCAGAATACAGAAAATATTGGTTCATTATGACAAAGTTTTAAAAGTCTCTAGTCTGTCTTGATACAACTTGTGAAACTCATTTGCAAGGTAGTAGAAAGCTGCATCCACATTCTGTGTTTCTTTCTGAAAAAATCAAAAATCCATATCAATTAAACCGGAAGTAATGTTTGTATAAAGTTTAAAAGTTTATTACCTTGATTTTATTTAAATATATGTACTTAAATATATATGTAAAATAATTTTTTACTATTATTTGTGGACTTAATTTTTTTTGTTTTCAAAGACCTAAAATTGACTCTACTAGATTTTAAAGAAAAAGGTCATAAACATGCACAAGATATTCTTCAATGACTATGTGAACACAAATATTAAGTATTTTATGTATATATGATAAAAAGAGAATAATACATGGCAAAATCTGTATAAAACACCATATCAACCCAAGACTCCAATAACGGCCCTTGGGCTGATATGACATATGATATGGATTTCAGTATGGAATATTCTCTATATATATCAGCACTAGTATCACATATCACTTGTACTTATGCTATATTTTTGCAACAAAATAAAACTGTCATAGAATTATATACATATACAGTCAAACCTTGTTATCTCGAACTCAAAGGGAGCGAGAAAATACTTTGAGATATCCGAGGATTCGAGATATCCAGGGTAAAATACTTAAGGAAAAAACAGTTGGGACTTCAAAATAACTTTGACATATCCATGGTATTCGAGATATCCATGTTCGAGATACTGAAGTTCAACTGTATAATATGTAATCATCAAATAAAATGGGCAATAATCAAGGAAAAAATAGCTACCAATTCAGAACAGATTGAGAGTATGCATTTTTCTTCCAGAAAACTTGAAAATATCTATGAGCAAAATCAAATCTGTATATACTTCTTGTATTGTCGATACTTACAGATGAACATTCAAAGTACTTGAGCCCATTGCTCTCAGCAAATTCCATGCCTGCCTTGGGACTGATCACCCTTCTCTCATCCAGATCTATTTTATTAGCTACCAGGACCCCTGTTCAAACATTGAATGAAAAACTTGAACAGCTGACAAATATAGTGAAAGACATGCATGTGAATGTTCACTACTGTCAGTAATACACAGTATAAAGGCAATAATTGTTGTTCAACTGATAAGACTAATGTAAGAATGCAGTCAAAGGGGACAGAACTCATGTTTTTTATTATCCTGTCAAAAACTATTACATATCATTAATACATATACTTAGCATGCTAGTAGTTATTCCTTTATTTGAAATCATATGTTGAAATTTCCCAAATAAATTTGCTCTTTTTTAATATTACCTGGTATATGTACATCTAGTTTTTGAGATTTCACCCGTTCTAGCCACTTGGCACAACTAGAGAAGGAAGTTTCACTGGTCACATCATAGACCACCATGATTACTGAAGGATGTTCCCACTAGTAATGTAAAATATGTATTACACTAAATTATCACAGTAACAGTTGTTGATTGATGCCAAAATCCATACCTTGAAACAATGGATTATAAGACACAATATGATCCCTCCTCCATTTCTATTTCAGAAACTTTATATTTCTGGAGTTTGATTTGTCATAAATTTGATCAATAGCACTAATGATAACATTTTCATTTTCAGCAGATTTGACATAGAAAAGTTATGCAGAACAGGAAAACAAATTTGTTGTAAAACTTTAAACAAACATGTATACTGTATATTGTTTTCAAATTAGAAAAAAATGTATGAGAAAAAGATATACTTACAAATTTTTGCACCATTTCTGAGAAAATTTCTTTACCAGCAGAATCATACATGTATATCTCCTGAAACAGAAAAATTAAACTTACTTGTACATATGTTCACATTGTATGAGCTATTGGTAATATGCCAAGCAAAGTTGGTTTTCTTTTTTGGTTTAATAATAAGTTCTGTCAATGATTAAAAAAAAAAATAGATTCAAAAGTCTAGAGACAATATCATACAGTATGCTTAATTAAACACAATATTTATCTAAGTAAATAAAATCTGACAAAATTTTTTAATTTTCCATGAAATTGCAGGTATTTCTCTTGTCATATTTTTTGTTTATGAAAAAAACAATTATACTAAAAATGCATTTTTCATTTTAAATTTAAAAGTTTAATTTTCAGTGCAAATCCATTGTAATAGGAGAGGAGAAAAATGTGACGGACCAAACCGGGATTGAACCCGGGCCCTCTGAATCTCCAGTCAGGTGCTCTACCAACTGAGCTATCTGGCCACCGGCGATCGAACCCATCTGACCGCCACACCATCTTCGATGGAAATAATTTTCAAATAAAACAGCAGTACATTTTCAAATAAAACAGTAGTACATTTTATCGAACTAGCTGTCATTAGATCTTACCACACTGTCTTTTGAATCTGGAATGTTGACATGCTTCACGAGAAGCTCCACTCCTGTAGTCTGTAAAGATGAAAAAATCAAAATGTAAGTTATGTTTAGAGGGAATGAGATTTTCATTCATAAAAATTGCTTTAAGCAATACTCAGGCAAAATAGTATAGCTTAACTTTACTAAAGCAAAGCACCATCACATTGCCAGAAAAGATAAGTTTACAATTATTGATTTACATTCAAATTTCTGCAATAGTTTGTAGATTTTTATCAATCATCTATATCATATCTATGCAACTCTGCTTAGCAGGCAACACTAAAATGGAACATGTTCGATGTGGTTTTACTTTCTGAAAAGAATCTTGTACTGAAATAATTGAAAACCATACCATGTTGTAGTTCTTTGGAAAATGCGAGCCATCACTATGAAATGCCTGACAGAGTGAGCTTTTCCCAACTGCAGAATCACCTAAATGTAAATAAGTTACGTGTATATCAAAGTCTTCAGTAATTTATTGTGAAGGTCAGAGCATCTTTGAAGAGTTCAGAGGGCATCCGGCAAGGTCAGGATTAATTTTTGCTCTGCCCTGGGATTGACAGGACTGGTGGTTTCTTAAGGAGTACAAACATTTAAGGAGGATATATATATTTTATTCGTAGTGGCCACATATCTCAGCCAATAAAGCAATTCATAGAATGCAGGGATAGACCGTTACCAACGATCCTAGTCCAATATTATGACATTTTCCAGGCTTTTTTCACAATTTTGATATTTGATGTACCAGTAAAAAAGTCAGAATCAATACTATAATTTCGCTGCCTCCAATCAAATGTGGCATTTTTGGGTCGATTTAATGTCAAATTTAATGCCAAATTAAATGTCAAACTCATAGATTATCAGTAGCACACTGCTTCTTGTACTCACCAATATCACTTTTGCAGTTTGTGTATGATACAGACAGTCTGGTAAAAACATTACATGTATTTATCAAACAATCAAGGTTTGTTTTTATTTCTTGCATTATGGAAAGTCAGATATATCGTATCTCCAGTACACAGGCACTTTTCGTGTAATAATTTTTTAACCCATAGTATAATATTAACACAATCCAACTCCGGATTACATGGAATACCCCCCTCCCCAGAATTGCACTCATTTACACTTTCATAGAAATTGAAATGCACTGACCAACTGTTTATTACCATTGTCTTCTACAATAATTTTATCTACACAACCATATATAGCATGCTTGTCTTTATTTTCCTTTATCTCCGACTGGAAAATTCGTCTCACATGATTGTGTGGATAAATTATCATAGAAGACAATGGTAATAACCAGTTTGCCAGTGTATTTTCTCTGGAAGTGTAAATGAGTGCGATTTTGGGGAGAGGGGTACTCCATGTAATTCGGAGTTGGATACTTTGTGTTACTGGTATAACGGTCCTACTAAACAGAGTACGCTAGTACGATAGAGTACTTTAGAGTACGCTAGTAAAATTTAATAATTTAATGCAATTTAACTACTTTTTGTATGTTTTTCTACTTTAGTTTAACATAATGAATATATATTTTAAATTAGATTTGTATGTTTTCCTTATTTTAGGAGTTATTTCAAATTCTGATTTCAGGTGACGGTTTATCGTTTGATCCCGATCTAATTTAACTTGAACATGTTGAAATGTTTCATTGTTAAAAATATTTATATAGGGCAATTAATTTAATTTTTGATAAAATTTAGTTGAAGTTAGTAAGTCTGAAACAAAATATTAATCGAGATCAGAGTGTTAATAATCTTTAACAGTTTAATGCATTGAATCATGAATGTTATTTTCTTGTCAAAATAGCGCTAAAAACAAATATTTTGAAATAAATATTGCAATATTAGTTTATAATAATGTTTAATCAAGTTATATTTACATAAATAAACAATTTAATTGCATTAAACTACACATTTTTTCTAGCGTACTCTAAAGTACTCTATCGTACTCTGTTTAGTAGTACCCCTGGTATACTATGGGTTAAAAAATTTATTACTGAAACAAGTGTATGTGCTCCATATTAGTCCATATTTGCCACTATAACTTAATAAATGAAATACTGTATAACCAAAGTGCAACGTCATTTTAATGATACAGCTTCCATGTTGTGGAACACTTGTCTAAAATTATTCGGCTAAAGTTTGAAATATAGTATGGTTTGTTTCATTTTCCAAGTAAAGTAAACATTATGGTAACATATAACATAAGCCTATAGATATTTAACTTGATACTCTAACGGAAAAAAAGATGATTGGCAAAATCCTCAGGACTGATAAAATATTTTTATCATTAGTTCTCTACTTTATCCATTAAAATACAACAAACATACCCACAACCACACATTTAGCTCTCAAACAAGTCGGCATTTTTGGTCCCTCGTTCAGTCGTTGTGACAATGTTTAGGTATGTTACAAGCAGTGTCAACAAATATGTAAGAAGAGTTTTGATTGGCTGAAGCATTTTTTGTCCAATGAAAAACTCTGTAACATTTTATCCGAAAATACGGAAGTGTCAGTGCTCCAGCCTCATAAAATATCGATATGTAAACAAGATTGTGACGCAGAAAACAATTAATGAGGCAGTTAGCTGCACTTCCATATTTGTACTCTTAAGTTTTTATTCTTCTTACGAAGCTGGGCCTTAAGAAATTTGAGATGCCTTCTTAATAAGAAAAACGTGACGCATTTATCTATCCATCAGTATCCGCTTGCGTCTTTCCTCATCCGTCGCTAACCACAGGGGAACGGTTGTCAACATGCACAGAAGGTGATAATGAATTTAATGTGTTCTAAAGATGTCTCTTGCGGCGCGCCGGTACAGGCACAGCTGAAAAGTTGATATTTTTTGCAGCTGGAAGAGTAAGATCAATTTATTGTACAGTTTTGTTATTTGGAGTGAAGTGAGGAACATTATGCCTGTGAAGATGCAAAAGCCGGGTGATAGAGGGATGGACAATTTGTGCACCTCTTTTCAGGCCATCCATGAGTACAACCAATCTCACCTAGTCTTTGATTTGTACATGGCTGTTGTTTCTGGAGAAACTCAGTTAGTGAGAAATATTTTACTTTCACATCCAGATGTGGATTTCAATATTCTAGTCAAAGGAGCAACTGTGCTGTCATTGTCACTGTACAAACGTCACTTTGACATATTCGGACTGCTAATGAGGCACTGTGAAAAGAGCAGGAAATTAAATTTAAACATTTGCAGCAAAGACCACCTAAACCGAATTGAACCACCAGTAATTACAGCATGCAGAATGCACTTCCTAGAAGGAGTAGTAACTCTAATAAATGCTGGAGCAGATATTGATGCAGTGGATAGCAATGGCCACACTGCATTGTGGGTAGCCTCTCGACAACAAATGCCTGATCTTGTGGAATATCTCATCTTAAATGGTGCTAGTGTAAACAAAACGGATCGTTTTAATTACACACCTCTTCTCACGGCTTTGACCTACAGAGTTAGCTCAATTATCACTAAGACTTTGATTTTGAATGGAAGCAGTTTGGAAGGTCCGAAAGTGTCTGTCATGGCTCAACAAACACCGCTCTTTTGGGCAGCAAAAAGCAAGAATATTGAAATTGTGCGCCTGATTTTGTCTGCAGGACTGCCTAGCTCTGAAATCAAGAGTGTTCACCGAGCATTGCTAATGGATGGAGAAGTGGATTCTCAAATTCTTAGTCTTTTGAATTCAGAGTATCAAAAACCACCATTGCTGAGGCAGATTTGCAGGAGGGCTGTGAGGAATTGTGTCAGCAAGTGCTGCAATGGAAAAGATTTTATTAAAAATATAAATGTTTTGCCATTGCCTGTTATTATAAAACAATATTTGACCTTAAAATGAGCAATTGTCACTAAAAAAAGTAAATTAGTGTTGCTTATAAATACATGTACTAAAAGATGAAAATCCTTTTCTTAAAATGTATTGAGAAATATGCATGCTTATATCTTGCCTTTAAATCTTCATTATAGATATTAGTTACCTTTGATGCTATGTTGATATTTTTTATTAAGATTTTAAAATATCTAAGAATTGAATTTTGCATAGAATACATAGTTATCTAGATCTGTGTTATGCTTATATTTATATATGTTCTAGTTGTAGAATTTAAAAATTCTATGTTTTCTTTAGCTTTTTTGCCTAAAAGGTTTCTTAGATTCATGCATAAAAAAACACTTGCTGCATTAAGTTTTCTGAACTAATTGCACTTCTGTGTATTGTTTAAGTCTCTGACTTGTGGAAACAATGATCAAAGTAATTGTATGCACAGTTTCTCCAGATTTGTATGAAGAGAATGAAGACCTTCATGTAACCTCTTCTGCATCATTGGGCCTTGATCCTTGTTGGATCTTTATGTAGAGGTTTCATGACAGTTTATATTTTAAATGTACATACAAGAAATACTGGTATTTATTTGTACAGTTATTGATTAACCTTACATGTATGAGTTTGTTTTTTTTTTTTTTTTTTTTTTTTTGTATATACTGAAAATATGGAAAATTGAGTATTCTGCCAATTTAAACATTAATTATGTGTTCAAATTAATTCATATGCTGATGAAGTCTTCATCAGGTAAAATTTCACACTTACAGTAAGAAACTTGAACACTTGTATAGAAAGCAATTATTTAATTGTTGAATGTGAAATTATTTAATTGTTGAATATGAAAATGGTATACTTTATGTTATTGCATTTATATAGTTGCTATAGATGTTTTTTTGTAGGACTGCAAAGCAGTATAAATTGAATGATGTTATGTACCTGTTCATAATGCATAATGCCATGCATGCCAATTTTTCATGCACATAAGAATTATTTTTTAGTATGTGTACTGTGCATGAAATTGCCAAACTCTAGTCATTCTGTGTATTATAATAATTATTATAAAATACTGAACATTTTAATAACTATCTAACATGCATTGCGAAAATCACTTGTTTTAGTTTAGTTTTAAATCATATATAAGGTTAAAAATTTGTATTCTGACATATATCTTGATATTTGTTTTGTAAAATATGGCACTTGTTCTTGAAATTTGAAATAGTGTGAAGGATATGAAGTTGAAATGGCCAAATGTGATTCACTGCATAGCATATTTAAGGTTCATTGATACTCTGACAAGAGAGACAACTCTTCATAGGATAAATTTCGATTTTGTCAAGTTGAGAATTAATGTCTTTATTGACCAGTTTTGCTCTACAAGCTATACTAAAATTATTTGCATTTTACTTATGAAATACATTTCTTTTGGAAATTCATGATCCTTAAAGCAATATTTTATATGAGTGAACAGAGGGATATGAACCTTAGATTTTATTTTGAAGCAAACATCTGAGAATAATGGTAAACAGACATCTCTACACAGTCCTATACTTACAGTTAGGAAGACAATAAATGCATTACATGATAGATATGATTGTAAATTGAAGTCTGTGCCATATCGAGTATTCCAAACCTAGGTGTATTATGTAAATGTTATTATAATAGATCGACATAAATTTTTCACATGTGACATTAGTTTTAAACTGTGAAATGAATTTGAACATGCATATTGAATGATTTTTGGGTTTGTATGTGGTGTTCAATTAAACAAAATATAAACATGACATACCATATGTTCCGTGACATAAAAATATGTCAGCTAAATGCCACACTCTGCATTGTGACATAAAACAAAATTGGTGCTTTTTCAAATTACCAAATTAAAGATTGCATATTATACTTCTAAATTTCATTTTTGCAATTCTGTGTTTTCTTTTTTGTTTTGTTGTATCTCAGCCATATGACATTAAAAGCTTTAAAACTTTTGTTATATATTAATATTCCAAATGTATGTAGAATTTCGTGGAATACTAGCTGGTTTCATCTAATGAGAACATTATCATATAGTTTCTCATCTATCTGGTACATACAGTTGAACAAAAGGTATATCGAACACAGATATCTCGAATACCATGGATATGTCGAAGTGATTGGGAAGTCTTAACCACGTAGTTCATAAGTATTTTATCCTGGATATCTCGAACCCTCAGATATCTTGAAGTTTTTTCTTGGTCCCTTCGAGTTCGAGATAAAGAGGTTTGACTGTATAGGCATAACACCCATGAAAATTCATGTTGCTGTCAAAATCATGAATTCTAGGAAAATCAAAGAATAAAAAAAAGAGCTACTCCTACAAAATGTGGAAGTACTGCATACATAAATGGTTATTTTCTACCCATGTTGTTTTTGCCCTTTTATACTTGAAAACAATTCTGCCCACACACAACTGTGTAAAAGAGATAATGCTGCCCTATTTGAATTCGCTTCATTTGTAATGGGCGAAAAGGACAAAAGTGGGGGTAAAATCATTATTTGTATATCAAACATTCTTAGTTACTCGCAAAGAAATTCTGTGGTCCTACAATAATTACTATAAATGTGCAAAAGGTATCTTGAGAAAAATTTTTATACATCTATTGTTGGTAAAGAATTCTTGACTGACAATAGATATACGTTGTACCTATGTATTTAGTCTTCTACAAAATTATAGGACAGAAAGAAAACAAAATATTTATATTGATCATCATTTATTTCAATATATTAAAAAATATATATAAACAACATTTATAACAGTGCTCAACAGTTCTCTTTTCATACAAATATATATTTGTATTCACAGTAAAATTCACACATTCTCTTCTTTTAAATTTCTGCCCTAAAAATCAGAATCTTCACAACAAATATTGATGTATGGGATGAACATTAAAAACAATGTTCAAACTTGAAAAACTGAATTCAAAATGAGATTTTTGTGTAAAATACTATGTCCACATGACAGCTATGATTAATACACACCAAACATAAATGCATGTAATAAGCAAGACCAGGCTTCATTGTTGCTATCTGCACATAAGTGGAGTACGTCCATGAAATTTATAAATTATTCAAGTTGAGGACATATAAAGAGGGAACAGAGAACAATTAGACCAAGTCTTATCTACAGAGAATACTTGCAATTTTTTCAATAAACCTTTCAGAGAATAAATTCAAAAATCAAAATATTCTGAATGATGTTTTAAAAGACAGCTTGTGTTCATCAGCAGGCCATTTAAAGACTGTTTAAACCTTTTGGGAAAGAAGAGCTCTGTTTAAAAATATAGATGTTCACAATGTCAAAGTTTTTGTTATATTCGTTCCTCTACACAAACTCTTGATAAATGTCAAATTTAAAAGTCTGACTGGAAAGCTACTATTTCATTTGTTCCCGTCAAGGACTGGGAACCAATCAAAAAACAGCCTTTATAGTATGTAAGTTTTGCAAACAAATATGACTTGTCTTTGACATGGGAAAATGCCAATATTGTAGGATTTGTGATTAGTTACCTCAAAATTTCAAGAGATTAATTTTTGGAAGACCCTCCTCCTTACAATCACAAAAGATGTTCCATGGCTTTGAACCTCTTGATAATGATAGATTTAAAAGAAATATTCTCATTGGTTGGTTTATAATTAACCATTGTGTCATGTGTAACCACAAGCCCAAATTAAATACTGTCTTTTGACAAGGGTTTGTGAAGAGGAATATCAGTAAACCTTGACATTGTGTAGATGAAAAATAAAAAAAATTGCATTAAATATTATAGCTTAAACAGTTATTTTCCCTTTACTAAATAATACTGTAATTTATGGCTACAGAAAAATCATATTGAATATTTTGAGAGGAACTGTTGGGTAATTTGGTGACAACCAAGCTTCCTTAAAATCAAGAATTTAAACTAGAGAATACTACATTTAAAATGCACACAACTATCTCTCTTGAAGTTTGTTATCACGCACCCCTCCTTAAACAACTCGCACACTTATTACACATTGCACAGACAAAAAAGCAGATGAAATAAATTATTATATATTAAAATGTTTGACGGAATGTAAGACTAGGAAAATATTGCAAAATATTTACAAGCTTTCTGAACTAATATTCAAAAAATTTTCTTTTAACAACTACATTCTATCTGGAATAAATATTTGTGATTTTTTAAGACATGACAGTTTCTGGTAAATAAACTGAATAAATCTACCTGTACCTTGAATGTTTTTAAAGCTATAAATTTAAAAGATATCCTGCATGCAGAGTTAACTGTATGCTCATTTTCCCCCCACTGCAAAAAGCAATAAAAAATCAAAGTACCGTAAAATCTTGAGCAATGTCCTAGGTTTCAAAGAGCAACAAAATCATGTACCAGTATCACAAATCAAGTACAAGATCAAAATGATTGAAACAACAGCTCTGATCTTACATGCACCATCATCTCAAGAAAGTGAAGTTAATTATGAATTTACATAAGATGAATATAAATCTATTTTCATAAAAATACCATCTAACATATATGTACATATTTACACATCATTTTTTTTAAAAACAGTAATCAATAACAAGAAGGCATTTCCATAACCCAATCAAAATGCAACGTTTAGAATCATGTGATCCTTGTGCATGAAATATGAACATTTATTTAATACATGTATACTGTAGCACCCTGTCATGGTACAAAAATAAGAAAAACTGTGAATTTTGCATTTCATCAAATTGAAATATTAAAGACAGAGCTCCTCATGTAAAGTGAATGTTTTCATAAAAAAGATGAAGAAATATCACCATCCTGGCAATACAAATCTAAATGTACACAACATTCAAATGTGAGAATGGTTAAATGAACTCTTCAAAAAATTGTCGATGATTTTTTACTGAATGAGTATAAAATAAAAACTCTATACAAGGGATTCATAAAATGTCCTAAAATCTAAGGGTGCAAAAATGGACAAATGAAATGGGCGATGCAGTAGATAGTACATGTAGTAAAATGCCCTGCCAGCAACAAAAATTAAAAAAAAAACAACATAAACAAAGGAATGTACATATACAAACCAAAAAGAAAGTTAAAGTATATTTTCTAAACCTCAAAATGAACTAAAATTTGGTTTGGTGAAGGGAGTAGATTCAACAGCAATTGTCACAAGTTCAAAACAAAAACATCACAATATAGTGTTCTATAGTTGTTAAAGATCACTGTGATATATGACGTATTACGCTATTCCTCCATATTGTAGTATTGATTAAAGACACGCTCGTGTTTACAGCACATCATGGCGTTGTATGTGTGAGTGAGAAGTTTGGGGAAACGCATCGTGAAATAACAGACAAACTGGTCTGGGACAGCTCCTAATGAATTCTTCACTTCCTCAGGGAGCTCGCGGTAATGGTGTTTCTGAAATACATTGTTTCTTTAGTGAATAGAACGGAAGGTAAAACGCGAACAAATTTGGGATAATGCCTTTCAGAAAGTGTACATATCTGAAAAAGGCCTTTTCTAACTAGAGTAGGAGACTAAGGGTATAAATATTCTTTGAAGAACTGCAAAATGAATCCAGTAATGGGAGTTTTTACACAAAAAGAAATATCTGTATGAACTCCAAGAACATATGACTTCAAACACTAACAGATGTACTTACTTTATTCCTCATGGCTCTTAGTAGATCTCTCACATTTTGTCCTTTGTATGTTCTAAACTTTCTCAGATCTTAAAAAAAAAAAAACAAGATTATAAAACGTCTTACAAAAAATATCCAAATTCTTTCAAGTCCATTTAAGAAACTCATACATATTTACTTTTTTATACAGTACAGAAGTATAATTTCAAAATAAACCAGAATTGTCCTTCGGGACTCAAAAATCCCAGAGGAGCACAATCAGAAGATTGTATACTTCAAAGACTGCATTGATAAAATCATCTATAGATGCACTCTATCTGACCTGAGAACAAAATATCCTACCAAGATGATGGAGTGTAAAATGTGGGTTGGATGCAGCATTCAATGCATTCATCAGACAAATGCTTAAAACATGTTCATGTACATGTAGTACTCTTTATTAACTACAGATACTCCAGTAACCAGAAGTCTCTGATGAGACTGTAGCTCTACTGGTCTGTACGTATAACAAAAGAAAAGTAGCACTTGGATTTGAAACTTTGCAACATGCAACAATAAATAGAATTATGTATCTTGATGTAGTCTACTTCTGTGCCAAGTTATATTGAAATCAAATGAAAACTGTAGGAGGAGTAGCGTTTTGAAAGTATTTTACGGAAATTTCTATTTTTAAGTAACCATGACAACACCATTCACCGAAATAAACAAAACGGAAATACCGGAAATACATATTATGTATTGTAGTGTATTCTAATTGTGTGCCAAATTAGATTAAAATCAGACCAAAACTGTAGGAGGAGTAACGTTTTACGGGAATTTCACAAAAATTTCTATTTTAAGTAACCATGGCAACACTGTTCATTGAATTCAAAAACCGATGCATTAAATTATGTATCTTAGTATAGTCTTCTTGTATGCCTAATTATATTAAATGCATACTAAAACTGTAGCAGGAGTAGCGTTTTAAAGGAATTTCACAGAAATTTCTATTTTTAGTAACCATGGCAACACCATTCATCGAAATCAAAAACCGATGAAGTAAATTATGTATCTAAGTGAAGTCTACTTGTATGCCAAGTTATATTGAAATCAGACTAAAACTGTAGGAGGAGTAGCGTTTTAAAGGAATTTCACAGAAATTTCTATTTTTAGTAACCATGGCAACACCGTCCATCGAAATCAAAAACCGATGCACTAAATTATGTATCTTAGTGTAGTCTACTTCTGTGCCAAGTTATATTGCAATCAGACCAAAACTGTAGGAGGAGTAGCGTTTTAAAGGAATTTCACAGAAATTTCTATTTTTAGTAACCATGGCAACACCGTCCATCGAAATCAAAAACCGATGCACTAAATTGTGTATCGTAGTGTAGTCTAATTGTGTGCCAAGTTATATTGAAATCGGACCAAAACTGTAGGAGGAGTAGCGTTTTAAAGGAATATCACAGAAATTTCTATTTTTAGTAACCATGGCAACACCGTCCATCGAAATCAAAAACCGATGCACTAAATTATGTATCTTAGTGTAGTCTACTTCTGTGCCAAGTTATATTGAAATCGGACCAAAACTGTAGGAGGAGTAGCGTTTTAAAGATTTATCACAGAAATTTCTATTTTTAGTAACCATGGCAACACCGTCCATCGAAATCAAAAACCGATGCACTAAATTATGTATCTTAGTGTAGTCTACTTCTGTGCCAAGTTATATTGAAATCGGACCAAAACTGTAGGAGGAGTAGCGTTTTAAAGGAATTTCACAGAAATTTCTATTTTTAGTAACCATGGCAACACCGTCAATCGAAATCAAAAACCGATGCACTAAATTATGTATCTTAGTGTAGTCTACTTCTGTGCCAAGTTATATTGAAATCGGACCAAAACTGTAGGAGGAGTAGCGTTTTAAAGGAATTTCACAGAAATTTCTATTTTTAGTAACCATGGCAACACCGTCCATCGAAATCAAAAACCGATGCACTAAATTATGTATCTTAGTGTAGTCTACTTGTGTGCCAAGTTATATTGAAATCGGACCAAAACTGTAGGAGGAGTAGCGTTTTAAAGGAATTTCACAGAAATTTCTATTTTTAGTAACCATGGCAACACCGTCCATCGAAATCAAAAACCGATGCACTAAATTATGTATCTTAGTGTAGTCTACTTGTGTGCCAAGTTATATTGAAATCGGACCAAAACTGTAGGAGGAGTAGCGTTTTGAAAAATTGTTTACAGACAGACGGACAGACAGACAGACAGACAGACAGACAGACGGACGGACGGACGACGGACACCTTACTATCGCATAAGCTCTTCTGGTCTCTGACCAGTAGAGCTAAAAAATTGAAGTCTGATGCAGAATATAAATTTTGTATCAGACAGAATAATATATGTACCATGTGCAGTTTGGTTTAAATTTCTTTCATGAAAAACTAAAATGCTGTACATGACCAATGTTATCCCTGAATTAAATGCACAACTTTTGTATGTCAGGTACAATGTTGGGTGCAAGCATCAGACAAAGCCCTCACATAGTGTGAAATAAATACCTGGTAATTTTTGTTGATTTCATGGTTTGAAGAGACCTATGAATTAATGTCCCCATGAAATATTAAAATTCTATACTACATTATAAAGTTCCTTCTTCAACCACAAAATCAAATCCCCTCAAATCAACATTTTTTCTTCAAACCACGAAAATTTGACCCCATGAAAATAAGTAATTTTACAGTATGCTTCTTATATTTAATCTTGGTTTGGAAACCATTTGTGGTAAGTTGGAGAATGGCCTAAATGCTGATTTAAGGAGTTACTTATCACAAAATGTAGGTCAGATGCAGCATCCATGTGTAAAACAAAGCATTCATAAATGCACCATCTTGACAAGTTTGGTTTAGATATCCCTTGAGATAAGCTTGGAATGTTATCCACACATCCACTGACATACAGATGGCAAGACAGCTAGTAGACTGATTGAGGGACATGGGGAACTAAAACTGCCCTAAGAGGGATATAATGATTTTGTAAAATTAAATCAACCCCTGAAAATTTTTATTGGAAATGACCAGCTGCAATCCATTACTTACAACAAATTGGTGTACCCCCAAAACTGTATTAAAATTTCCTCATATTATCAGCATACCGGTACCTATAATGGATATTAAACAGTTTGCATATATGTCCGTTTTATTTTTTACCATTTTGTAGTTCCTCTGTGATGTGTCGTCTCCAGTCAAACTTGACCACCTCCAAACCGCCATGTTCTAACTGCTGAACAACTTCACTGTCTGCTGCCTCCTTTTCAATTCTGTCACTCACATCCTGAAGTACAATATATCACAAAACTATAGATTTATATCCAATGATGTTTGTAGACTGGGTCAGTCATATCAAAGATGATATTCAGTATATCAATGTTTGCTAAACAAATGTACCAAGGTACCTCAAATTTTATTTATAAATCAATTTCTCTATAAGTCTCTTCCAAAGACATACCTGGAAGAACATGAGTTGTCTTTCCCTGGTCCAGAAGAATGGGTGCTGGAGGACTGTCTTAGCTGTAGGCCTTTGCGTAGGATCAAAACTGATCATTTTCTCAATGAGATTCCTTCTGACATATCCCTCTGAAATAACCAGGAATAATCATGATCAACATCTCATACTCCTAGAAAATGTAACAAATTTTGTATTTCTATTTAACTTACTTTATATGTACATTTGTTGATGGTTTTACCATACACAAAAATACAAGATTCAAATTAATTTAATATACATGTAAATATGTTAAGCTTAATGTAAAGGTGCTTATATACCTGTCATTGGTAAACTATCCAAATTAAATTCTCCAGATAAAATGTTTGCCTGCCTTCTTAAGGAATCTCCAAACGGATGTTTTCCTTTTGTCAGGACATAATAAAATACACATCCTACTGAAAATATATCTACAGCACAAGTCTGAAAAAAAAGTTATCACAACATTAAGAGACAAATTTATTACCTCACTGAAACATTGTGCCTTTTATACTAAAATTAGATCAATTGGCAGTCTAGATAGTAATACAGAGTAGAAGATAGTAAAGACACTTTGAATTGAGGATATTCATTGTTTGGCATCATAAAAATTCTTTTTCATTGACTATTGCTATTTATTATAGCCAAGTGATCAGAATATTTTTTTTTAAGTTGGAAAGGCTTGAAAGATTTACAAAATACTTACTGTCCTCTGTTCTTCATCTAACATCTCGGGAGCTATCCAGCCCTCGGTGCCAGCTGCCCCAGATCGGCGTGAGAATGATATCCTACCAGCTGCCAGTTTTTTACACAGACCAAAGTCGGATATCATGACCCTGATCTGACCTCTGGAATCTGGCTGAGACAGCAATACATTGTGTGGTTTCACATCTCTGTGAACTACAGAGAAAGAAAAAAAATTAAGCTGTTGTTTCAAACTTCAAATTCAAGGTACAATGTACCTGGTACATACATAAATTAATGTAGTACATGTGTCTCTTTTTATATTCAAAACTTTGCACAAATGTACATGTAAGTAATCAAACAATTGATCAAACAATATACAAAAAGCATTTAATATGCATCCTACTAAAACGAGTACATGTTTGATACAGACATTTTCTTGTAATTATTATCATTTTCTTGAATGAAATGGTTCTAGAATATCTTAACAATGAATGAGATCATATTTTGTAATCCCATGCATTAAGTACCATAAAAAAATCAGCAATATAATTTTCTCTCTTACCAATATCAAGAGAATGTAGATGTGAGATTCCACACAAGGCCTGAAATAAGATATCAATGGCATCCATTTTGTATGTATATTGTGTCTTCCCTGTTATAAGATCCTGTACTGTAGCAACACACAGTTCTAAAGCTATGTATCTGAATTGGCTATCTGCTTCCTGTAGGTAGAAAAAAAAAATTAAACTTAGTCATACTTTGTAGAATATTGAGAGACTTTGTCTAAAATACTGTAGTGATTACATCATGATTAAGTTTTCTGATGTTTGTCAATTAACTTATATCTTGATTATATGCCAACATTATATAAAATGTACAATGCTCGTATATTTGAATTATATACAATGTATTTTTTGACATATGTCATTTTTCCTATTCCTACCTACATTATAAGTTAAACCTTATCTGTTAGTTTATATCTAAATGATCTTAAATGACTTGTATTTCCATGGAACTCAAAAGATCCAGTATTTTTAAGCAAAAAAATGTAATGGATTTATTGGGACACTCTAGACGTTTCTTCCGCTACATCAGAGCAACTCAATATGGAAAAGTGGACCCTATATCTCACCATGCAGAAGTATCTGATGACATTGGAATGTTGGTCTGACTCTCTGAGTAATTCCACTTCTCTGTCAGCAAAGGTAAAGCACTCCGGCAGCAAACGCTTCACTGCCACATCTCGGTTGTCAAATTTACCCCTGAAAATGATCATCATTTAGCAAGGAACTCATAGTTCATCCCTAAAATTTGATCTTTTTTTTTATTGCACGGAAGCTTTAGCAAAATCAAATTCTGGTTAACTAAAGTGTCTACTGTAATTAATGAGCTTTCCTACAAGCATTTTGAAATGTATGTATATACATGTACTGTACACAGGGCTATTTTTGCCCCGTGTTATTTTAGTCTGTTCACACTTTCAAACAATTTTGCCCTGTTCTAAATTCGCCCAGACAGAGATGTGTTAAAGAGATAACGTTGTTTACTTTGAATTCGCCCCATTTTAAATTCATCCACATGCGACAGTGAAAGGGCGAAAATAAAAACGGGGGTGAAAATTTCCCTGTATACAGTAGATCTTTTCTTGAAACATTTCTATGACATAGCAGAAATTATCTGAGTGAACGAACAAAAGGAAATGAATTAACTAAAAGTGCTACCTGTATACAATTGTTCCCTCACAGCCATGTCCTAACACACATTTTGGATTATAGAAGATCTTTCCAACTTGATAATGGCCTTCAGGGACAGCTGAAAACAGAAATCAATGCTTCAGCACAAAATAAAACCTAAATATTTTTAATTAGATCACTGTATTATCATTTTATCAATCATGTTTACAGTTATGGTAATGTCTTCTACATACATGTGCAAGGAACAAGACTGTACCTTCATACAGGTCAGATGATGACTGTGACCCCTGAAGGGAGGTCTGAGCTGATATCTGTTTTTTATCCCTCTCCCGTTGTTCTTCTATCTGTTTCTGCAGCATTATCTTTATAGACTGCTCAGTTCTCTGTATTTAACAAATGTAACAGTTAAACATCTCTGTATACTATATTCTAAACAAGAGGCCCAAGGGCCTTAATGGTCACCTGAGTACAATACAACAATTTAGAGGATCCATAAACTGATAAATGAGAAGCTTTGTTGCCCAAAAGCAAGAAAAATAGCATGCTAAGCATCAACAAAATAATTGGTATAGAATCTATCTGTCCCCCATTTATCACTATTACCATGCAGACTTTTTAACCCCATATTACTACTTCTCACATTGGTCTCTCTTGGCCTAATGGCTTAACTATCAAAGGTGAGTGGCAAAGGGGAATAACTTTGCTCAGCAGAATACAAGATCATAGAGCCCTGGCCAGGACCAGAACACTTGACTAAATAATCCAGGTGGTAAAAATACCCTTGCATATTAAAACTTTTGCTCTGTTTGCCTCGAATATGCCCAGAAGCATAGAAGATTTTCAAAGAAATGCATGTTCACTATATTATTAAATAAATAAAGTACCCCCCTTACACCAGAACATCTTACCCACGGGCCATGAACTCACAATTCGGGAGGAAGCACTTTGCTCATCATAACACTTATTTCTTTGCTTTATTACCAGGAGTAGAAAAAATATTTTGAAAGAAATTATGCATTTTCACTATAAAATCAATAGAGCCCCCCCCCCTTCCCCAGAACCCCTGACCCAGGGGCCATGAATTTCACAATTTTGGAAGAGGCATTCTTCCTTATCATAACCATGCACTTCCTTTGTTTGAATAATACCCAGGAGCAGAGAAGAAGATTTTGAAAGAATTCATGCATTTTCCCTATATAATCAGTAGAGCCCAGCCTTAACACCAGAACCCTTCACCCAGGGGCCACGAAATTCACAATTTCTGAGGAGGCAGCCATGCTCATCATAACTATGTAATTAGTTTATTTAATATCCAGGAGAGAGAAGATTTTCAAAGAAATAATGCATTTTCACTATATATATCAATTGAGCCCCATCCTGAAACCAGAACCCCTGACCCAGGGGCCAAGAAATTCACAATTTTGGAAGATGCAACCATGCTCATCATAACTATGCACTAAGTTAGTTTATTTAATACATAGGAGCAGAGAAGAAGATTTTCAAAGAATTAATGCAAATAATCAACAGAGCCCCACCCTAACACCTGAACCCCTGACCCTGGGGCCATGAAATTCACAATTTCTGAAAAGGCAGCCATGCTCATCAAATCTATGTTCTTAGTATATTTAATATCCTGGAGCAGAGAAGAAGATTTTCAAAGAATTAATGCATTTTCACTAGATAGTCAATAGAGCCCCCCCCCCCACCCCCCCCTTAACCTGAACCTCTGACCCTGGGGCCATGAAATTCACAATTTTGGAAGAGGCACTCTTGCTCATCATAACTATATACTTGGTTAGTTTTTTTAATCCCCAGGTACAGAGAAGAAGATTTTCAAAGAATTAATGCATTTTCACTATATGGTCAATAGAGCCTCCTCCCCCCTTCACCAGAAACCCTGATCCTGGGGCCATGAAATTCACAGTTTTGGAAGAGGCACTCTTGCTCATCATAACTATGTACTTAGTTACTTTATTTAATACCCAGGAGCAGAGAAGATTTTCAAAGAATTAATGCATTTTCACTATATGGTCAATAGAGCCCCCCCCCCCCTTTCACCAGAACCCCTGATCATTGGGCCATGTAATTCACAATTTTGGAAGAGGCACTCTTGCTCATCATAACTATGTACTTAGTTACTTTATTTAATACCCAGTAGCAGAGAAAAAGATTTTCAAAGAATTGATGCATTTTCACTATATGGTCAATAGAGCCCCCCCCCCCCCCCCCTTCACCTGAACCCCTGATCCTGGGGCCATGAAATTCACAATTTTGGAAGAGGCACTCTTGCTCATCATAACTATATACTTGGTTGATTTATTTAATCCCCAGGTACAGAGAAGAAGATTTTCAAAGAATTAATGCATTTTCACTATATAATCAATAGAGCCCTACCCTAACACTAGAATCCCTGACCCTGGGGCCATGAAATTCATAATTCTGGAAGAGGCACTCTTGTTCTTCATAACTATGTACTAAATTAGTTTATTTGATACCCAGGAGCAGAGAAGAAGATTTTCAAAGAAATAATGCACTTTCACTATATGATCTATATAGCCCCGCCCTTGCACCAGAACCCCGACCTTGGGGCCATGAATTTCACAATTTTGGTAGAGGGCTCAATGCTTATTACAATCATGCCAACAGTTTGACTGCTTGATGTCCAGGAGTAAAGAAGAAGATTTTTAAAGATTGCATTAATTTTGGTGGTTTTAGCCCCACCCCTCGGGCCCCAGGGGGGCAGGGACCATGAAATTAACAATTTTTGTTCCCCTTCATCCATAAATGCTATATGCCAAATTTGGTTGAAATTGGTTGAGTGGTTTCAGAGAAGAAGCTAAAAATGTTCAAATGTTAACGCACGTCGCACGATGACAGACGAAAACGGATAGCAATAGGTCACCTGAGTGACTCAGGTGACCTAAAAACACACTCCTTCACTATAAGAAATCTTACTGTATAGATATGATTAAATCAAATCCATGGCTAAACAATCTCAAACAAGGTGTAATACATGGATAAATACAGCAAAAAACCTACCTTTGGAAAATAATACACAACAGCCAGTATTGTAATGAGGGACAGCGCTACTGTGATGCTAAACCTGACATCTGCACTCAGGTATTTTAAGAGCACATTGTCTTCTGTTCTGGAGGTAGTGGCATTAGCAAGAATCTCCTCCTCGCTGGAGACTGGGGGGATCACATTCGACCTGTCCTCAATTTGGAAAGCAGGAGAAAATCTGGACTTAGCTTTATCTGGTACTTCATGATAACCTGAAATGTTAAAAGATCCAAATTCTTCCTAAAGAAATTCAACTAAATCATTCTTCAGTTATCTTAGTTATTTAAACTCTACATGCAATTAAACATTATCATTTACTACCTACCAGCAATGCTATCAAAATTAAGTCTGATAAATTAACAACACATAGCTGATGTCTGGCACACTTACTGAAATATAGCTGCCATCATAAGAACTGAGCTCTTTGAAGTACCCGGTATATAAATTTTGTGAGTGACAAGGAAAATACAAAACCAATATGAAATCTACCTAGTATCATTATTTCTGGTCTTCTGACTGTGTGAGCTGTGATGGCATCTCTGTGTGTACCTGGCTCTGGAATATCTGTTTTGTCATTTTTCCCTCTGGGTAGGTCTGACACACCTGGTCCCTCCAGCAATAAAGGACCCTGATTCTTTGGCTGCATTACATCAAATAACATGGTTTTATTAAAATTATAGAATACTCGGACTAAAAAGACCATGTTGTGGATCAAATGACTTTATCATGATAAACTATAATTTTCATGCTTTGATAAAATATCTAGTATTTTACTTACAGCCACAGTTACTGTTTTTTCATCCACCAGAGAATTTGTGGCAAAATAGCCATGTTCATACTCTCCCACATATAGAGTAGGACTGAAAATACAAACAAACTTAAATTAAAATCTTTTGTAGGTTTTTTGGATAAAGGTTTTATCAATTAGTAAAAGTTGGTATTACCAGTATACAAAGATCACAATGAAATGGAGACAAAAGCAATAATCCTAAAATAATGTATGAAAACAGCAGAATTTTATTGTACATTAGAATTCTGCAAACTGAATACATTAGGAATAAATAAATACATGGACCCAGGCATTCAATGTTACTGAAATTTCTTTAGATTCTACTGTACTGGATAACCCTCCACTAATATGTAGACGTATCTGCCTGCGAATAAAGTACTGTAACATTTCAAACTGCTTTTACTACAAACAATACCAAACAAAGCCCTTTAAAGTATTGGTACTCACTAGAAAACCTTCTGCTGTCCATGTAAGAGGAACTTATTTCTCCAGTGTTCTGATGACAGCTGTCCGGTCAGATGATCCAAAGTCTCGGGGGCAAAGCTTGTGAAGGGTACCTTTTGTAGTCCTTCATGGTCCATCGTGTACATTGCTACCACCGGAGACTGAAAGTCAGTGTACCATAACACCTCCCCTGTAAATAGTTCGTAATGAGATTTAGTTTCTAGCTAATTAAATAAAACATTTCCAATTGCAAGATATACACCAATTTCTTTTTTTGTTGATGTCATCACTATTTAATTCATGCAGGTTTAGTGGCCTTTTCGAAGATTTTGGATCAGAAAAATGAAAACAGATTTGAATAAATATTTTTAACTTCAATTATGAGTAGTTTAACCTGATAATTTACATAAAATGTAATACCTGATTTATTGTCCAGGGTGACAGCCATTCCAGTAGAACTGGCCGTAAAATGTCGCAAGTCTGACAAATAAAAACATAGGTAATCAAAGATTACTAAGCTCACCTCGACGAATGTTATCTATAAGTAAGGTAAATCTCACATCATATTTTTTTCCTAGTTAGTGTACATTCCAAGATTAATATCCATCAATATAAGATTCAGAATCCAAAGTAAGTCTGGAACTGTCCATCTCTAGATACATCATCATTCATGCTAATTTGGTTAAAATATGGCTAAAATTCACTCATGTGGAAAATCTAGGTCAGATCCAGAATCCAAAGCAGGTTAGTTAGTGTACATCCCTAGATGCATCATCCATGCAAGTTTGGTCCAGGTAGGGCTTATATTTACTTGGGAATGGACCTGCTCCAAAAAAACTTTAACCTGATCAATCATCTGGAAAATCTAGGTCAGATCCAGCATCTGAAGCAAATATGGTAGTGTCTATCCCTAGATGTATCATCCATGCAAATTTGGTCCAGGTAGGGCTTTTAGTTACTTGGGAATGGACCTGTTCCAAAAACTTTAACCTGGTCACTCATCTGGAAAATCTAGGTCAGATCCAGCATCCCAAGCAAGTGTGGTAGCGTCCATCCCTAGATGCATTATCCACGAAAGTTTGGTCAAGGTAAGGCTTAAATAATCACTTGGGAATAGACCTGCTTCCAAACCTTTAATCTAGTCACTCATCTGGAAAATGTAGGTCAGATCCAGCATCTGAAGCAAGTATGGTAGAGTCCTTCCTTTGATGCATCATCCATGCAGGTTTGGTCCAGGTAGGGCTTATAATTGGGTACCTGCTCCAAAAACTTTAACCTAGTCACTCATCTGGAAAATCTAGGTCAGATCCAGCATCTGAAGCAAGTGTGGTAGTGTCCATCCCCAGATGCATCATCCATGCAAGTTTGGTCAAGGTAGGGCTAATAGTTTCTTGGGAATGGACCTCCTCCAAAAACTTTAACCTAGTGACCCATCTGGAAAATCTAGGTCAGATCCAGCATCCAAAGCAAGTGTGGTAGTGTCCATCCCTATATGCATCATCCATGCAAGTTTGGTCCAGGTAGGGCTTATAATTACTTGGGAATGGACCTGCTCCAAAAACTTTAACCTGGTCACTCATCTGGAAAATCTAGGTCAGATCCAGCATCCGAAGCAAGTGTGGTAGTGTTCATCCCTAGATGCATCATCCATGCAAGATTGGTCAAGGTAGGGCTAATAGTTACTTGGGAATGGACCTGCTCCAAAAACTTTAACCTAGTGGCCCATCTGGAAAATCTAGGTCATATCCAGCATCCAAAGCAAGTGTGGTAGTGTCCATTCCTAAATGCATCCTCCATGCAAGTTTGATCCAGGTAGGGCTTATAGTTACTTGGGAATGGACCTGCTCCAAAAACTTTAACCTGGTCACTCATCTGGAAAATCTAGGTCAGATCCAGCATCCGAAGCAAGTGTGGTAGTGTCCATCCCTAGATGCATCATCCATGCAAGTTTGGTCCAGGTAGGGCTTATAGTTACTTGGGAATTGACCTGCTCCAAAAACTTTAACCTGGTCACTCATCTGGAAAATCTAGGTCAGATCCAGCATCCGAAGCAAGTGTTGTAGTGTCCATCCCTAGATGCATCAACCATGCAAGTTTGGTCCAGGTAGGGCTTATAATTCCTTGGGAATGGACCTGCTCCAAAAACTTTAACCTGGTCACTCATCTGGAAAATCTAGGTCAGATCCAGCATCCAAAGCAAGTGTGGTAGTGTCCATCCCTAGATGCATCATCCATGCAAGTTTGGTCCAGGTAAGGCTTATAGTTACTTGGGAATGGACCTGCTCCAAAAACTTTAACCTGGTCACTCATCTGGAAAATCTAGGTCATATCCAGCATCCGAAGCAAATATGGTAGTGTCTATCCCTAGATGCATCATCCATGCAAGTTTGGTCCAGGTAGGGCTTATAGTTACTTGGGAATTGACCTGCTCCAAAAACTTTAACCTGGTCACTCATCTGGAAAATCTAGGTCAGATCCAGCATCCGAAGCAAGTGTTGTAGTGTCCATCCCTAGATGCATCAACCATGCAAGTTTGGTCCAGGTAGGGCTTATAATTCCTTGGGAATGGACCTGCTCCAAAAACTTTAACCTAGTCACTCATCTGGAAAATCTAGGTCAGATCCAGCATCCGAAGCAAGTGTTGTAGTGTCCATCCCTAGATGCATCATCCATGCAAGTTTGGTCCAGGTAGGGCTTATAATTCCTTGGGAATGGACCTGCTCCAAAAACTTTAACCTGGTCACTCATCTGGAAAATCTAGGTCATATCCAGCATCCGAAGCAAGTGTTGTAGTGTCCATCCCTAGATGCATCATCCATGCAAGTTTGGTCCAGGTAGGGCTTATAATTCCTTGGGAATGGACCTGCTCCAAAAACTTTAACCTGGTCAATCATCTGGAAAATCTAGGTCATATCCAGCATCCGAAGCAAGTGTGGTAGTGTCCATCCCTAGATGCATCAACCATGCAAGTTTGGTCAAGGTAGGGCTTATAGTTACTTGGGAATGGGACTTGCTCCTAAAACTTTAACCGGGACGCCGACGCTAACGCCGACGCCAACGCCGGGGGTATAGCATAAGCTCATCTCGACTTCGTCGAGGTGAGCTAAAAAAAATGTTTAATCAAATATGAAAATGTAAAATATTGATCCAAGCAACTTAAGTTTACCAATCAAAATAATTTTTCCCCTCCACAAAATTTACTCCTTTGGTTGACTTACCATACTCTTTCACTTCCCCCACATGAGATGAGTAATCCATAAACGTAGCATTCCACCTATAACGATGAGTTATTTGTCTTTATAATAATAAAATACCACTGCATAGGACTTAAAAATAAATGCCACTGCATAGGGCTTACACCAAGAGTCTGCATTTTAACTCCACTCAAAATCGATTAGTATTTGTTATACTCTCCTATTTATGACAGAAACAAAAGTTTTTTATCCTAACTAGATTTTTAATTTTAAATTACCTTTTATTGCCTGTTTTGCTGTCAAACATGTTAATGGTGTATTCTGTGCGACCAATGTAGATGACCTTCTCGGCACTGGATGGACACATTTTCTGAGTTCCATCACTGGACAGAGTCTGCATTTTAACTCCAGTTGTGACATCTATAGCTATCCACGTGTCCTTTTTATGCCCTTAAATATAAATATTTTCTCTTTAAATACCCAGTAGATACTGTAAATGTATTATATTTACCATATACAATATTTGGTGGAAATTGATTTTTGAACAAGTCAGCGTAGATTTGTTTTAGCACATTTCTTAATGCTCTTATTAATGTGTATATGTGAAAGATGTTTAGTGTTGTACTTGAATTAGTGAAGTTGCTTTCTGCCAAAGGCGCTAAAAAGAATACACAGCCAAATGTAATACGTTAACAGTAACTAATTTTGTACATGATAAATAAAAAACATTTAATGAGATTTTCTTGGTTTTTGAAATTATTTGTAACTTAAAAGAATCTAAAAGGCATATAATACAATGTCATGTATTTGACCTTTTCATTTTTCACATAAAATTTTGATAAAATCTTCATTGGATCTTTAGGTACAAAAAAAATTTGCACACCTGTGTACAACATCCCCTCATTGCTCTTACAGGGGGAAGCAGTTACAAGCTGGGGGATTGTAAAGGGCAACTTCTTAATTCCCTCTCTTCCATCACTAAGGGCATACAAACTTCCATCCTTTGGGTCTGGGAGAAAACTCAGTCGACTGTAAGAAGAAAAATTAGAATTAACATCCAAAGTATGTACAAATAATAAATAAATAGATATATGGATGAATGAAGAAATATAAATAAACAAACAAATAAATAAATACGAGGGTTGTTCGGAAAGTTCGTGGACTAGCGCCATAAAATCAAAACCGTTTAAGATTCATCAATGAAATTTTTAACGTTTAATTAGCATCATCTTTTTTATTCATGTCATAAACTATACATCATTAGTTTTATTTTTTAATACATTTTTGATGTTTTTGAAAGCAATGGTATGTCCAGCCGGCGCAACATCGAAGATTACGTTTTTTTCTACCTAAGTGTAACTGAGAACGAACTCTTTTTTTGATATGAGCATTTGTCATTCAAAAATCCCGTTAATTCACTCAACTGGTATGACACAATTGTACCGTAAAATTTGCCGTTTTTACCCCATTCTGTAAGTTCTATGAAATTTTATCGTAAATTTTATATGAAATGTCCAAACATTAATTATGGGGTTGCAATAACGTCAGAAAGGGGGGGGGGGTCTTTTTCAAACATTCCATAAAGTTTCACCCTCTGGAAAAACTAGCATAGAACTAGGAAATATTTAAATGTTCTACTAAGAAATAAAATGCATTCAGAGTACTTGTTTTTAGACGTCGAAAAAGATTAGAGAGACGAGAGATGTAAAAGTTAATGTCGATTTGTAGTAAGGGTGTTCAAAGTTTGTCATGTCGAAAAGTGACATTGATCATGTGTGAAAGATGTTGAACTCCGACAAGCAAATTTGTAGTTATAATCGAGTGAGGATCTTTCAGATCTATTTACAATATTATATGCATTGAAATCAGCTGTTTATGACATTGTAAAATCATATAAACAAGACGGGTTTCAATCTTTACTTAACTCCAAGGAAACTCAATGACATCAAGATAATTGTATGAGATAGAGAATGTGGACATTGAAAAACAATGACGTCCTGAAACTAAATGGCAACAGCGCCGGGTGATCATATAATATCTTTTTCATTTTATGATAATTTGGTAAATATTCAAGGTATCAACCTAAAATTTTCAACATTTCTTTAACTTTTGTTGTTTTATGTTCATTAAAAATTTTGTAAGCATAGACTACATAGTATTAATTTTATCGCATCAGTCCACGAACTTTTCGAACAACCCTCGTATATTGCAGAACATAATGCATTTCTTCTTCCTCTGCTATTATTATAACGTTTTTTTTCTATTGAGCTTTTAGATAAATTCACTTACCCAACAGCTGTGGGAACTTTGAGGACTGGTTCTGAAAACAAATTCATATATGCATATGAATTGCTCATTTTAAAAATTTCAAGTTGCAAACTGGAAGACATCTAATGTGTTTCCCTATGTTAAAAAGTTGGGGTTAAATAAAATAATTATAAGCAAAATAAATTAATAGAAAGTGTGCATTTTAATGTGCAACTTGCCTTCATCTAGAGTCCATAGTATCTTCCCTGTTGACTTGCTCACTGCATGGAAGGTTCCACTCAGCGTCGATACATAGATCAGAGATTCGTGAACAGTCAGAGATCTAGGCTACAAAAAAAAATTAAAGTGTTAATTCACAGTCTAACTACACATTGGAATTAAACATGTCTTGTACCTTCTGCTGTATTATACATGTACTACCTAATAGAAGACATGTTCAATGACATATATTTCATTGGTAATCGTATATATTACATGTAATATGAAATTTATCTAATGAACCATTAGAAATATTTAACCAAGGCGAATTTTCACACCTGTGACCAAGAAAATATCACTGGTTATACAAAATACTCTATCTTTGCCTTCTAGAAAGATCTAGTAACTTCATGACATTGTCGGATTACAAATTCAGATAGACTTACACAAAACAAGTGAACATGTTTCAACATGAGAAAAAGCAGCTGTTGCATACAGTTGCTTACCCACATTTCATGAGCAAAATTTGTAATACTGTAAAAATATTGATTTTAATGTGACATTTGTACTTGATTTTACTCCTGAGTAAATATGCAATATAATGCAGTAGATCAATGACCCTGGGGCAAATCTAAAACAACAGGTGTACAGTCTTTATCTTGTTGAAACAAGTTACCTCAGACCTCAAAAGGGAATAAAATACTGATTATGAACTAAAAAAAAAACAGAGTGGGCCAAAGATAAGGTCTCATAGTATGATTTTTTTTTACTTCAGTGCAACACACTCAGATACAGAGAAAATGGTTTATTAATGGTTTTAAACTTTTATTTTTATACTTATTTTAGAGGATATACTTGGATAATGCATGCACTTATTGAAAATTGATGTATTTACTTATGTTTATTTATTATTCAAATACTGTGAGATCTATTGCTTACACGGTTTAATATTCATTGTTTTTCGTGAAATGAAGAGACCTATGAATTCATATCCCTACAAAATATAAATGTTTTTAAACTACAGTCTAATGTTTCTCCTTTGACCACAAATCAAATCCTGCCAAAACTAGTAAATTTTCCTTAAACCACAAAATTTGATTCCACAAAAATAAATGATTTTACTATTAGTAACTTCTAGAGAAATTTCAGACATAAATATATATTTGGGTTTTTTTTCAGAACCTTTTTTCTGTTTCCTCAAAGTAACTTAAAAAATAAAGAAACAATCTAATGTAATTTAGATCTTTCACTTCATTTTCATTCCTAATTCATTGATATAATACTTGTAAATGACATTTTAATAAACAACTCTAATTAGATTGTAAACAAAGCAGTTAATTGAAATCTTGTTTCAATTTCATATTAGAAATGCCAACTTTTTTCTTTTCTAAATGCAGCAGGTGTTCACTATGACAGTAAGAGATACAGATGTATTTTTTAAAATATTTTTTTTTCTTCATGCATTGTTACTTATTAATAAATTGCATCATGCAGACAGAGCCTACAATGAAGAACATTTTTAAACCAGGTACGTCACATTCAATATGGTTTCTAAATGCACCAGTACCAACAACTATTTGACGTAATGATCAAATACTACAGTATACCATTCCATTCTGTCTCCTTTTCCATATAACATCATTTTAATGACTTGTACATCTCAACAATGATGCATAAGTTATGCTAATATCAAAATTTGTTTGTCTGTAATCTGAATGGAAGCCGTACATGTACTGCCTCAGCCAAAAACTTACATTGTAAATTTTTTCTCAAAACTTTTTCTACAACTAGTCTGACTAGATTTTTTAAGTATTTTGAGAGGAAAAAAGAGTATTTTACAAGATTCTGACCAATCATAGCCCAGAGTTCTTTTCAGTGTAATAAGCTGATACTGATATGACAGGCAGTAGTGTACAAGGTGTTTCATTTAAACCATAAAATTCTTTCTTTGGTTGTTAGTATGGGAATTAATGTTGCAGCTGTTGCAAAAAAAAACAACAACCTAGAAATATGCCCATAGGACATGAATGCCCCGCCGAGGGTATATTAGTAATGCAACATTTTAACACAAATTGAGAAAAGTGAGGTCAAGGTCAAAGGAAAGGTCAAGGTGAAAAAATATTGATGCAGTTGAATAGCTTACATCAGTATGTATCAGCATATGAAGTTTGACACTAATTTAAGAAAAGTGAGGTCAAGGTCAAAGGAAAGGTCAAGGTCAAAAAATGTTGATGCAGTTGAAAAGCTCTCATCAGTATATATCAGCATATGAAGTTTGATAACACTACCTTGAATGATATCTTTAAAACTGAGCTAAACACTAATTTAAGAAAAGTGAATTAAAGGTCAAAGGAAAGGTCAAGGTCAAAAAATGTTGATGCAGTTGCATAGCTCTCATCAATATCTATCAGCATATGAAGTTTGATAAAAATATCTTGGATACAGAGCTAAACGCAAAGTGTGGCGGAAGGACAGATGGAAGGAAGGACGAAGACAGACATGACAAACACTTTATGCCCCAGCCATATTCATGGCGGGGCATAAAAATCCTGCACTAGTGGGTTATATAAATTTTTCTGCAATAGCTCCAATGTTAATTCCCATACTAACAAATGAAGAAAGACACTTTATTGTTTATTATTGTTTATATTTATGTCTGTAACAGGTATAAATAATCATATAAACATGCATCGTCTCAAGCCACGTCCGGAATCTGTATATAGCTCTCTCCTACCCGTGGCAGCTTGATCACAAAAGCCACGTAATCTTGAATTGAAAACGCCTCAATTTTGTGACGTCATGTTCAACCAATGACAACATTTGTTTCCATCACAATTGAAATCAGCAACTGACATCAACAGTATACAAGAAATGTTTCGTATACTGCGATTGGGTATTGAAAAGTCACGTCAAAGACCATCGTCCGACTATGCTTTACTCGCATTGGTCAATATTTTAAAAAGCTGCGAAATATTCTCCTCTCATTCAACCACAGCCAGAATGGGAGAGGATCATATATTTTGGCCATGGTTTGCGACGATGATAAACATGATAAAGTAAGATTAAGTATGGTAAATATTGTATTATTGATATGTGTATCACTACAGGGTTCAACATTAATGTTAGTCCATTAGTCTCAGACTAATACATTTTCATTCAGACTAATAAAATCTGTGGCTAATTAGTCCGAACGGACCAATAAAAATATCTGGGAAAAAAAATCAATAAATTACCGATGTTCGATTCTCGACAACTTTCACTGGAAACCCCTGAATATATTTTAGCTTTCTAGCTTCTTGGCAGGAAGTTAGGTAATTCTGAGTCAATTCGGACTCATAAAATCATGTGTGGACTAGTAAAAGTAAAGAAGCACTAGTCTGGCCGGACGAAAGCCTAAAAAAGTTAGTGCCGAACCCTGCACTGTATGTTTCATTGATGGAAGAGCCATGTATTACTCAAGAAATCTATACAACCACGGTTTTCATAAGAAAAAAAAGGAGATAATATTCAATGGATGTAAATATAAACATATAAAAATTCAGAATACAGTTGAACTTCGGTATCTCGAACATCGATATCTCGAATACCATGGATATGTCGATGTGATTGAGAAGGCCTAACCACGTTTTTCTTAAGTATTTTACCCTAGATATCTCGAATCCTTGGATATCTTGAAGTTTTATCTCCGTCCATCAAGTTTGAGATAATGAGGTTTGACTGTATATTAAATATATTTTCTTAACAAATATATACGAGTATATATGATATATACTTTAATTCCTCTTATGGCAGGGGAAAGAATAAAATACAAGAAATAATATCCGAAGCAAGCGAAAAAAAAAAGCGGTGGCGTAAATCGAAGGTTTTTACAACGCTTGGATCTGTAGCTCTCTGCTTTATCTGTCAGAATTTTCTCAAGCAGAGAGCTACAGTTCTGCAGCTACGCAATTAAACTGCTTTGATTTTTCTAAAAATTCTTGACGTACATAAACTATTTTAGATAATGCAGATAATCAATTGCAGGTATCAGTTATTAAAGGAATCACTGTCTAGTTAGTAGAGTATGCCAGGGCATCAACGCCCACTGAAACACAAAGACAGCAGCATGAGAATTACATGCATATTAGGCCTTCTTGGCGTCAGACACAAAGACAGCCGCACAAGAATTACATGCATATTAGGCCTTCTTAGCTCCTGACCTTTCGCTTGGCGAAATTTGCATTCCAGTAGAATGATCAAGAACTTTCAAAGAGTTATCACAGAGAAAACAAATAGAAATGGAAACATTATTCAATGAACCAATATTGAATTAAAAAAAAGCGAAGTATACATTTTTTGGTTCTATGTATGATGAGATTTAATTTAAAATGATCGAATTATTAGTTTCATATGTATTTTTCTTCCAAACATTTTTATTGTTTATAAATTCTAAATAACTGCAAAAAAAGTTTTGTTCTCTCTTATACGTAGATATATCATGGCATGGCAAATTGTTGAGTTATCGATAAAGAATTACTCTGTAATTAAGCATTGGAAGATTCTAGAATTAACATGTAAATCATGACGAAATCTAGACCACAACCAGCTGATCGCTAAAGTACATGTATGTATTTACCTGCAGTGTTTTGGCCACTGTAATTAAGCCAACCAGGCTTAATAAAAACACACCGGTAAGCTTGAGTAATGTCTTACACATTTCTTATATATTTCTCTCGTATTATCATCTCTAAAGGTGAAACATGACTACATAAACTAAGTAAACAAAAGTATCTAAAAATGTGTTCATGCTTCCTTCCCTTGTCTATTTTACTACCCGCAAAGAATAAAATGCGCATTGTGATTGGTTGAAATCGAAGGATCAATTCGGGTATGAAAAAATATTCAGTCAAAGGTTCGTCGGCGCTGCAGAAATTTTTTTTGCAAACTTAAAATTAATTTTTTTCCTATGAAAAAAGAAAATGGGAATTTTTCTATTTTCTCTAAATTTACGTTTTTGCTCCTCATTGGTCAATATTTTCGCTGCGGAGGAGCTCCTCCTGCAAAACACAAACAGAAAGTTGACATATTTTCCATTTTGCATCCTGTCTGGATTATCATATGGCAAGTGATTGGAAACGTGTAGGGTGTTATGAAATTTAAAGGTATCTTTTTTTTTATCCAATTGATAACTTAAAATATATATTGTATTTACATCAACGATGAAAAAAGGTATAGTTGTGTGACATGTCCAGATGTTTTTAACATGTTTATTACAAGTTAAATATTATATACACATGAAGTGTATCAACAGTGATTAAATACATCTGATGTTACATTGAAAAAAAAATTTTGTTTAACAGAGGCCACCTACTAGCACAGTTTCAGGTGTTGACAGGTATGCTTAGCTTCGGCATTCATATGGTAGAACAACTCAATCTTCATTTTCCGTAAATGTCTTGTGGGTGCTAAATGATCTTATTGACCTTTTAAAAATCAGTACCAGTGTTATAAGAAAAAATTTTTGAAACCATTGAAGGCATTGCTAAGTTTTGGGTTGCTCAAACTTTATGGTCTGTCACAAAAAAAAAAAAATCATCACTCAGAAATGCATTTTGGTTCAGGTGAACAGTGAGGCCTATAGGCCTTGTTCAAGATTTTTTCTATAGATAATGGTTGCAAGTAGAAGTTATATTCTGTTGGATAAATCCAATATTACATTACCGGTAGAATTTACTTTACTAGTCCCCAGATCCGCAAGATCCGCGCACTCATTGCACTATGACGTATGATTTACGTCACTCAACTGAAAAGGGTTAGTCTTGCACACTACACCACTGGTTAGGGTTAGTCTTGCACCCACCTGAGAGATGAGGGTTAGTCCTTGCACAAGTATTCGCATGATTAAGTAAGTTTCATATCCATCCGAGAGATTAGGGTTAGTCCTCGCTCATTATTTGATTGATTAGGATTAGTTTAGCATCTGCCTGGGAGATTTGGGTTAGTCCGCACATATACAATCTGAGAAATTAGGGCTAGTGACTCGTTCATTAAATAGATAAAATAAGAAATTTAGTTGTTTCTGTATTTTTTGCAAAATATGAATTCAGCTTCAATGGCATTTCCTTGGTTTGTTTACATGAAAAAATGGCTAAGGCTAAGTACAAAAGAAACGACACCAGGCATACATCGCACACGCTTTTTTGACAATTATTTTTCAATGAATAAACAATATTTATTAATTTTTTCAGAGAACGAGGTTAAAAACTTCGTTTAAAAGCGAAGTTTTAAACTAAACTTTTAACCCTAGAATACGATTTTGAGGACAAAAAGGCCAAAAATCTCATAACTGTAAACCAACTCTTATTCGCATTCAAGAAATATCCACGATTTTCGCGACCTACTTTAACTCGTGAATATTAATCACCGCGAACCATTTATTTTGCTTTGTTTTAATATAGAATGTTTCGTCAGCCGCGAAAATTAATCGTCGCAGATTGATTTAAAACTGACGAATAGCGAATAAAAGATGGCACGAATAATAGTTGGTTTACAGTATATTGAAGTCGCCTATGGCAACACTTTATTTTAGCACGTTTTCTGAGGACTGGTAAAGTAAAGTCATTCCTACATAACTTAAAATGAAACATAACTTCAAAGATTATAGGAAGAATAACACATTGTAACAATTTTTAGAAAGTAACAAGTGTAGAGAAGAGACTTTTAAGAGTTTTATTTTCATTGGTTTATCTAGTTTTAATGACTATCCATGAAGCTCAGTGGTTTAAAGCATAGAATTAGTAAACTGAAGACCATGAGTTCAATTCCACCAGGCTTTTAATTTTTCCTCCATAATTTTTTGCTAACATGCAATTTTTTGCATAAATTATGTATGTTTGAAAGTTTTTAACAGCAAAAGATTATCTTATATATATCTGATCCTTTTCATCTGTAGTAGTTTCTTCCTGTTGTGTTTAAATTCCCTAAACATATCCTGGACACTTTATCTAGAATTTTTCTCTCCTTTGCATAATAAAATCTTAGATCCAAGATAAGTGTTCACAGCAGATTAAACAAATGTGAAATGATACAGATCCACAAATATGATCTTGAAAATGCATGGTTTTTAAGTTTATGAAATATAGACTCAAACATGGGTTTATGACCAGCACTCATGCAGATACTGTATATGCTCGCCTATAAGTCGATCTGCCTATAAGTTGGTTGTATTTTTTAAGCTTAAATTAGAGTGATTGACTCGTAAAATAGCAATCTTTTTATAACTCGTGTATAAGTCGGATAAAGAGTTTTGAACCAAAGTTTAACTCCCAAAAAACCAATTATAGGCGAGTATATACGGTAGGTTAGTAAGACACTCATATACTACACATGTACTAATTGTACTAATTCTCCAGATGTTAGCTTCCAATACAGAAATTTTACTCCAATTTTACTCCAATTATGAGTTCAAGAAATCCTTGTATTCTTTATGGATTAGTCTGAGTACATATTTTATATGATAAACACCTCTAATTGTTTATAAAATGGTAAAAAATAAAGTAGTGAAGAATTACCTGGAAATGGGACAATGGATGGTGTATTGCTGACAGATTTGTCATGTAACACAGGTATCGGTATATGTGACCCTTGTGACCCTTCACCCCCCACCCCCACCCCTCAGCTCCCCTACCCCCTATTAAGTATTTGAACTGTTGAGGAACTACATCTTTTAGGGGTTTTTCCTTTGAAATAAAGTGTGACTGAAATAAAAACATTAAAAAATTGCTTAAGAACCTTCTATACACTACACACTTGAGAGTTCTGATTTTGTGGTATTTTTATGCAGATAGAGTGATCTGCTCTTTGTTCAAGAATAAAATAAATTGAAATGCACAGTTTATTACTCAATTTGTGATCAAATCAAGCATTCATAACACTTTAATAGGCCAAGATGAATAGATAGAACACTTCATTTGCAGGTATTTTGCCCATTTAAGTAAAAAACAGTGATTTATGTTCATCAGTACTTCATTGTCTTTGAACATTTTTCCTGGGGGTTAATGCAAAGCACCCTATGTTGAAAATGTGATAGATAAGCTCAATATTTAAACCTTTACACACTATAATTTTCTCAATGTCCAAAAAATATTTTCCTCTAGTGTATAGAGGGTCCTTAAATCTAAAAATTATTAGTGTTTAGAGATGAATGTGCTAGCTGTGAACAGTTCAAAGATAATGGACAGATAATGATTGGAGGAAACTAACATTGACTTAATGCATATTATTATTTTATACTAACTGTTTGAAAATTTAAAGGGCAGGGGAGGGGCACCCTATTCTCCCCTCTAAGTGAGCCAGTGAATACAATGTACGGAAAAAAATTACATAATATAGCCAGATATATTCTTTCTATAAACATGATAAATTAAAAGTGATTTGATTTAACAATCAAGTTTTAAACTTGAGTTGAAGTGGTTTTTACACATTGATTTGTGACTTTTATGTGTGAATGTTCAGTTTAGGGTATAGAACAGGACATAAATTATTAATTCACTTGTATGTCAGAACATGTATGTATATGTTGATATATGATAGGTAAATATATAGGGTCAAGACGATGCACTCATTGATAATCTAATTTGCATCTGATAGCCTGGCTTCCTTGTTTACTCAGAGAATCAATATTTACTCAAAATATAGTAGAGGGTAGTGTGTACTATACAAGCAGTAGATAATTTGTGGTACAAAATAGCTAGTGATATTTTTGTTTTTAAAACCAGTATTAGTTTGGTGTATTTGGAAGAAGTTTTTACATTTTAAAGGTGAGCTATAAATATATTCCCATATGTGTGATGTTCACGAAATGATTCTTATTTGAGCAGTTTGATTTGATGAGTATTACCATGTAGTACCGGTACCCTGTAATTGGCTAGTAAATGACAACATACATGTATGCATATGTTAACAGCTGCTTGGTTTTGATTTTTTTTGTTGGTTACTCAGTTTAGAGTGTCTTCACACAGAGATGAAAAAATTGTGAATTCAAAAAATGGAAAATATGTTTGATCCAGATTGAATGTGACCTTTTTATGTACATGGATTTTTTTGTAAGAATTTCTGTATAAAATTGAAACATTTAAGCAAATGATTGATAAAGCCATCATTAAAAAAAATTTTGTTTGATGTACTCCGATCTATATTTTTCATGGTGGTAGGTAGATAGGTTTTTTATTTTTTTTTCAATTTTTGGAAATAACTAACACAATCATGACAATGATAAATATTATGAAAATCACAGATTTACACATTTATTCCTCCAATATTCTTGCACGTACTTCATCGACTTAGTTTAGATGTTTGTAAAATGCAGCAAAACAAAAAAAAGGCATATGGAATCTAAAGTTTAAAAGCATGTTGGACGATATTGTTTTCCCATAAATAAAAAAAAAAATCAAAAATTAAAGTACAAAAAAAAATTATTGGGTAGGGGCAACTTTGATTGGTCGGTCGGAGTACATCAAACAGATCATTTTTTATGTTGGCCTAATTAAGGAAGATTTTTGTTTCATATGCTTGCATGCTTACAAAGACTATTATGGTCTACAATTGGTTAATTAGAAATTCATGTCATTCATGTGAGCTGAATTTTAAAGAAAAATACGGAAACAGACTCAAATAAAATGTTGAACTACTTTAGTCACAGGCCATTTAAAACCCTGTTGCATGTATGTTTAAGAGGTCATTGTCACACTGTGTATTGACCTTTGTTTAATATTTTAAACATTTGTTTTTCCTGCATTTAAAGGTATGAAGTTTTTTTTGCAGAGTTTATTGGCTTTTTTTTAGGTAAAACTTAAAAGGCAGTTTAGGACAAATTACTATATAGTATGTGAAATTATTTATGTTATCATTTGCTAATGATATACATGTGTATTGTTATATTATCCAAAAGTGCTACTGACTTGCAGCATGATCAAGCTCAAAAAGCTTTGAAATTTATTTACAGTCAAACCACATTATCCCAAAGTTGATGGGGCCTAGATAAAACATCAAGATATTTAGGGATTTGAAATGTTGAGGTTAAAAAAACATGAAGAAAAAGTGATTGGGACTTCAAACTCACTTATCCATAGTACCGGTATTCAAGATATAGAAATTTGAGATTCCGAAGTTCAAGTGCATTTAATATAAGAAATTTAATAAGTATCCTTCTAATATCAGCTAGATTTGTTTGACAAGGATATATCTCTTAGCTGTATTATTACATGCATTTGAAATTTGGAGTGTTGAAAGTACATGTATTTTTAAATGTTTACATGCACTTGCAGCTATGGAAAATACTAGTAAGATTAAATTTTTAATTAAGCTGGTGTCCCAAGTTTTATGGTATATAGGGAAACTGGATGTTTCCATCTGAATATACAGGTTCTTGAAAATGTTTTATGGGGGAGGGTAAAGTAAAGTAGTATTATTTATACATGTATTTAAAGAAAACAGAGTTTTGAAGTGAATTATGTGGAGTAATATTCAGAAATATTCAATATTGCTACATCATATTACTTTGCAAATATGATCAAGAGTTTTAGAAAATCTAAAATAGATGGCAGAGAAATAGAACTGTTTTCTTTCTTAGTTTTAATGGTATTGACCGTTCTATGCACTGTCATGAACAAGCCAGACAAAATTATTGCACAGCTTTAGATTATTTCATCCTAGCTGAAAGATTTTTCTTTGATTAACATTGTGCATAGACGATTGAGAACAGGAAGGAATGACAAGGAACATTGTCAAGTAGATTTATTATCTCCATCCGAGAGATGCAACAGGTTGGAAAGTGTATTGATTAAATATAGCCAGACCTTGATGTGCTCATACATTGAAAGTTTTATCCATGTAATCTTAATTTTATACTTGCAGTGTAGCATGAGCAAGCGAGATTCCGTGCCAGGGCGCCCGCCCCCACCCAAAAGTAACTCCATGAAGCTCAGTTTTAAATCTCTTGAGCAGGAAGAAGAAGATGAGGGTGTTTTGACCTCCATGACAGGAGAGCTTGACAAAAAAGTTTCAGAAAATCGTAAAATTAATGAAGGGAATAGAGCCCTTGGACGGACAGCAGATGGACGCACACTGCCAAAGTCACAACCAGGGCAAAAAGTTAAAGAAGAGGATAAAATATCAAGATGGAAACATAACTTGTTAGAGATATCAACTGAAGTTCGTAAAAAAGTTTCTGCAAAGTTAGAGGACTTTTCAAAGGAAATTGCTCCAGAACCAGAGACTGAAACTTTGGCAGGTAAAACCAAACCTGCAAAACAGAGGAGCTTAGACAACTCAGATTTACCATCATTTGTAAAGAAAGAGGAAAATAACAGTGAGAAATTCTTTGATGTTGAAAAAGAGCCAGATCATAAAATTAGAGAAACTGTGGATGACTTTCAGCTTGTGGATGATTATTACCAGGAACCTGTGGAAGATTTCAGTGGAGTTCAGACATTTCCTGACCTCCGTTACCGTAATCGCACTCTTCAACAGAAAATTCGACGCACCAAATCCAATGTCACAACGGGAACTGTGTCACTCTCAAATCTAAAGGCCCAAGAGGAGGTAGTGGCTGAAACAATAGAAAACATTAGTGCTCAGGAAAATTCTGCCTTCATGTATCAGACTACCAACACATTAACAGGACCAGCATCAAATCAGGGTTCTGCTGTCGAGAGAAAAAATGAGAGGAGTCTGGTCCCATGGCGTAATTTGATAATAGGTATTGAACTGGTACATTGCTTCAGATCTGACTGTGTAAAAGCAGACAATAAAATCCCAGATGTGCATGCTACTAAAATGCAGATAATTTGTTAGAATTTAATCTTCCCTGATAGCATTATCATGAAAGAGACAAGTTTCATATTGTGTAATTGAGTAAATATACTAGAGTCATAATTCCATGGAATCGCAATTTCTGTTCAATCCTTGCGTAGAAAATAACACAGATTTGTTTTATTGTCATTATTACTGTATGTCCTTAATGAATTTTAAGCATGTTGTAAGAAATTTTTGCAGAAAAATTGTGACTGCATACGTGGCGTAAATTAATCCCATGCGAAAAAAAAGTATGTCTACAGTAATGAAATTTAATATGTATGGACTGAGTATCATTTATGAGACAGCTGAGCCCAGACCTATTGAAAGCAGAAATGTTCTTATAAGGTTAAAAGTATATGTTTATGCTTGATGAAATATGCACATTCTCATTGACAATTGTTGGAATCAACTTACCAAGAAATGAATAGGTATAAAATTTTCCAGCTGAGGTAGTTTCCTTTTACATTTCGAAAACAGGAAATAACATTTTTTTGTTGGCGTGATTGAATAATGTTGCATTCATTTTTTAAACATAGGAGTTTATTTCCGGCATATAAGAAATATTTTTCAAACAAAAATCATATTGTTTTATATATATTCATATATGTACTGTGTATATTCATAAACTAAAAATGTATATGAATTTTTTCATTTTTTGAAACCATTGCAGGTATCAGTTGTTTGGTTGTATATTGGATTTTACCCCTCCCCACTTATTTTTCTGGAGTAATATTTGGGGTCCTTATTTCCTCCCTATGGTGGAATCTATACATCTGGGTGACACGGCCATCCCCACCCAAGGAAAAACCAGAAATGGTCCCTTTAGAAGAACTGCCACCATTTATTCTACCAAATATGAAAGAGACAAAGTTTATTGATGGAGTTTATAAGGTGAGAAAAAATGGAGACAAAAAGTTTGTTGCTGTAGGTTAATCCTTAAATACTGTATACAGGGAATTTTTGGCCCCCTTTATTTTCACCCTTTGCCTTTGTAACTAGTAGGCAAATTTAAAACAAGGCAAATTCAAAAGACAGGATTATCTTTGTAGCACAACTGTGCCTGGGTGAATTTAAAACAGGTCAAAACTGTTTGCTAGTATAAAAGGGCAAAAATGACATGGGGCAAAAATTACTATATACAGTATAGTAATATATCTGTTATTTGCAAAGACATACCCATTGAAGTGGCAGTAGTTGTAAGGTGCATTTGTGAAACTGGATTCGCCTTGTAGTTATACATTTCATTTTGCCCTTTAACCTGTAAATATATGACCTTGACATACCTTTCAAAGTCTACTGGTACCCGGCACTTTTACTCATCTGAAATCATGATTGTACCACCTAAAATATTTGATGGAGAAAAAAATGATAACATATAATTAAATCACTTCCACAAGGTACCTCCTATTTTTGTAAAAGTAGCATCTATTTCTAATCTTTTTGAAAGCCCTGCCATGATCTTCATGTAACATGAAGCCATGAACTTGTGGACCAGTGGTCCTTTTCACAAAAAATCTTACGACTGAGATGAAAATTTCACTACTCTGTAAGTTTTTGAGTGATAGAGAGAGATATTTATTTTTTTTCTAGAATATTATTGACAATGTTGTCTAATGTAATTGAAAAATAAGAGTTTTTGTGATCTAGTACAATGTAGATACTTGTTGGAGAATGGGAAAATTTTAGTCTTAGGCGTAAGATTTTTTGTGAAAAGAGCCACAGATTTGAAATCTCTTTTTTACAGAATTTATGGTCAAAGGTAAATGATTTAAGGAAAGACGATACGTTCCTCAATAATATATAATTTTTCCAATATTTTGTCATTAAAGTATTGCTACTTTAACATGTTTACTCACAAAAAATTGAGGTACCTTACCAGGCATTTGTGAAAGATACCAGAGGGTAGTTTTCTTATATAATCCTTTGGAAAAAAATTAATTTACCAATATCAATTTTTTTAGTGTTTGAACTTTTTCAAAGCATTTAGAAACTGGTTTAGAAATCAGAAGGCAGTTAAAATTTTCAATATTTTCAAACATTACGAAGATATAAAAAACAGATATTTGTGGAACGTATCGTCTGACCTTAACATAACAGAATAGGATGAAAATTGGTTAAAAAAATTAATTATTTTTTAAATGAATTGGACATGAAATTTATAAAATTATTATGTAATTTTAGGGTTGGATGAATGAAATAGGAGAGTATGATCCTTTTAATCACCATATCAACAACACACACCCAGTACAAGTGTTACTGGAGGGGACCACACTAAGATTACGAAGACCCAAAACCAATGTCCCACGGAGAGCCATGTGGGATGAAGAAAAAATCATAGTCAAGGAGTTCATTCATCAGAGACATTTCGATATCAAAGGCAGCAGTATCTCTTTGGTGCCACAAGAGTTGGTGAGCAAAAGGTTTTGGAGTAAGAAGTATCCAATTCGTATTGGGTTTGCCACAGCTGGAAAGAAAATGAAGCAGCCAGATGCAGACACTCCGGATACTGAGGCTGGATTTGAACTTGTGACAGAGGAAAGGTGTGATGAAAATGTTGTGTATTTATTTGCCAGAACTTGCCGGGATAAAGAGGACTGGTTCAAGAGACTTATTGCAGCAGCTGAAGGAACACCACTCAAGAATCCCATCGGACAAATTCGAAAATTTTATGAGTCACCCAAGAACAAAGTTGAGCAAAGAAACAGCACCAGTTCTCAAGGTGACAACCTATCACAGAAACGTCAAGGTTCAGTGGATAGTTTAACTCATAAACGTCAAGGGTCAACAGATTCTGTATCCTCTGTTAGCTCATCACCAACTAGTGAGAAAGAGGAGATTCTGACTTCAGAACAAGAGATGGAACTTTTTGTGAGATACATGAGTAGACTGATGCCAGGAGAAATGTATGATAGATACGCTTCAGTGTATTCACAGACTCACCCGGTCATTGAGTGTGAAGAACAGCTGTTATGGTTGAATGCTCTCATTAGTCGGTGCTGCTGGGACTTCCTCAGACTTTCTACCTGGTCGGAAAAAGTCAGGGAGAAACTCCAAAGGAAGCTCGATACTATTCATGTTAGTACATTTATTACTTTCATCATATTACATAGAAGATATTCAGTTCTCAGTAATTGAGTATTTTACAGTACATTGATAAATGTTTTATGGAAACTTTCTGTGACCACTTTAAAAGTATTATAGGGATGACTAGTACATTTACATGCTGCCTTCAAGTCAACCAATATTTTTGAAATATTAGCAGGTTAATGATTCATAGGTAAGCCTTTCCATCTTCAAATGAATTGAAGCCAAAATCTCTTCACTCTTAAGAATAGAAATGGTAAACACCACTATCATGACTATAATAATGCTTGGTGTACCGTGCTTCAGATGCTGCAAGTGACGTATTATATTCTGAATGAATGATCAGCTGAATGTTTTTAGAGTAGTCAATTCCAAACTAGTGATAAGCCCTGCAAAGAACATTTTACTAGTCTATGCTTGTAATGGTGTATGAACTGTCTTTCCAATGAATGTTCAGATTAAAGCTTGACCATTACCAAATACATGTATCAACAAGTCAGGTCAAGTAATTACGTTTGTACTTTTGACAAAATTTGAGTCTACAACACAAACATTATCTTTCACAAGTTTCCAGCCAAGTAGTTCCACGGGAATTTTTGAATTCAGCCATAACCTAAATTCATGCAGAAGAGGGCAGATACGCATGGATAAAGCAGTCCTTCTGTAAAGTGTCATCCAGTGAATGTTTTGAGTTTTATTAATGTTAGTATTTTTGTGACTTTTTTGCAGATACCTTATTTCATCGAAGGATTAAATATCACTGAAGTAGTGCTTGGTAACCAAATGCCAGTCATTCGGAAGGCATCTAGGCCGTTCTTTGATGAAAATGGATTTTGGATAGACTTGGCGCTGAATTATGGAGGCGGTTTTCGGATGACAATTGAAACAAAAGCTAATTTAATGAAACTGAAAGATCCAGTAGCTGTTAAAGAGAAAGAAGAAAAAGTCAAAACAAAAAAGTAAGAAAACAGGTGATCACCAAATATTTGTGACATCTTATTTTCGCTAGAAAGTTGTATGGTATTTATAAGCAAGACAAAATTTTCACAAATTCTAGTTAGTGTTGCCTATAATCTTTAATGATAAAATTACCTGCAAGAATGAAATTTTTGTGAGCAGATGGTCTCGCGTAATTATGCGAAAATTAAGTTCTCATGAATGAAAAGTGGTTTACAGTACAGTACTTGTATATTTATTACATGTAAAGTAAAATTTGTAGCTTAACATACAGTTAAAACAAATTATAATGAACTTGTTTCCACAAATTTGAGGTGATGAAAACAGTTGCTAGGAGATTAAAAATAATTTGATTCAATTGTAATTAACTTATTCTTAGAGACTACATGTAATTGCATTTCTGCCTAGAAATAATTGTCAGTAATGAAGAGAGATTTCTTAGTAGCACATAGTAATTTAAGATTTAGGAAAAATCAATATGAACACTGCAGGCAATCTTGTTTGACTGCGATCTTTCATCCCTGTGGGGGGAAATTACAAAATCTGTTCCTATTTTAGATTAGCAATCACTGATGAGGAAGCAGAAGACAGTGCAGAATCATCAACAGATGAGGAAGAAGAAAGTGTTGGAGAGGAAGAAGGGTATGTTATCAAATGATTTTTATCTTCACACTTGAAATACTTGGAGAAAGCAGCATGTATATGAGAATGCTCATCCAAAAATTTCTTTGTGCAGAACGTTTACTGTAAATAAGGTGGCATACTCAGGTATCTCCTTTTTAATAATTAACAGAACATGAGTACTCCCAGTATTACTAAGTATGCTCCCTGAAAAAAGCATGAAAACTATCATTATTGCTGAATATGCTTTCAGAACAGAACATGAGTATTATGGAGTATTCTCCCAGAATAGAACTTGAGTACTCTCAGTTCCCTGAACAGAACATGAATACTCATAGTATTACCGAGTATGCTCCTTGAAAAAAGCAAGAGAACTGTCATTATTGCTGAGTATGCTTCCCAAACGGAACGTGAAAACTCTCGGTATTACTGAGTATGCTCCCTGAACAGAACATGAGTACTCCCAGTATTACTAAGTATGCTCCCTGAACAGAACATGAGTATTACAGTGTATTCTCCTTAAACTGAGTACTCTCAGTGTTACTGAGTATGCTTCCTGAACAGAACATGAGTAATCTCAGCATTACTGAGTATGCTCCCTGAACAGAACATGAGAACTCCCAGTATTACCAAGTATGCTTCAAGAACAGAACGTGAGTGCTCTAAGTATTACAGCGTATGCTTCCTGAACAGAATGTCAGTACTCTAAGTATTACTGCATATGCTCCCTTTACAGAACATGAGTACTGTCGGTATTACTCTCAGGTCTCATCCAATTACTGGGCATGCTATGCTAATATTTCATGCAAAATCAAATCAGGGACTTATTGACACTGTCTGAAATTACAGTAAACTGATTAGTAACCTACGGTACATTGATTTTTTGGAAGAGAGTTGAAAGTGATTTGTAAGGGTAAATGACACTTGAATGGCAAATTACAAGAATGTTGATGGATACTAAAAGAGTTTTTACCAGTACACATACGGAATCTTTCAATTGTTGAATTCTTTTGTTTAATATAAATAGGCTTGAATCAAACTACTGATTTTTTTTTAACAACAAACTTATTTCAATCATTTCAAGCGAATTCTTCAAACAATGATCTTTATTTTTCAGTGGCAGTGGGAAAGCTGGTCAAAAGTTCATGCGATACTTGAATAAGTTGACTCAATCAAAATATGTCCAGTCAGCCATGGACTGGAAATATGTCAAAAAAGCAATGGAGGAGGTGTCAAACACTCCCATAATCCTCACTGTGGAGGCCCACTTCCTGTCTGGAGAACTGGCCCTGAACATTCCTTTCCCACCTACAGACAGACTCTGGTATATTTATGAAATTGTGTTATTTTAAGCTAACCTGAGCTAAAGCTAAATTGAGCTTTTTTTATGAAAAGAAGAAGGTACGTTTTCAATACAAATCTGGCCCTGTATTTTTTTTTTTCTGAAATATAAAATTGTTGAGAAATTAAAACTCATGGTTTCTGTTAAGGAATGTTTTTAAGTTTTGTCAGAGTTATTGGTGTGTAAATCACACAGACTTGTCACGTAGGCATATTTCATGAAGCACGCTAGCGCTTCATGAAAAATATGCCTACGTGCAAGTCTGTGTGATTTACATGAACTTGTGCATTTTCCCATATTTTCTTGAAAAGTTGCATAAGACACCAATTTTCAATGGAATTTTCTCTCAGAAAATATAGACCACATGCATTGCCCATAAAGATTTTAAGAAATTTGATTTCTTAAAGACGTCATATCTCCAGAACGGTCCTCCCTTATTTCAGAATTTTTCATGATTTATCGCTTTCATAATGTCAAAATTTTAGGGCATAATGCCCAAACTGTACCTTCTTCTTTGTTGACTCTGGTTTTTGAACCTTCCTCTAAAGACAGCTTGGCTGTAATAAGTTGTGTGAATTTGCAAGAAGCATCAAGTAGTGCAGGTTTAATTTTTATACGCCCGTCTTAAGACGGGACGTATTATGTTATAGCGTTCATGTCCGTCCGTCCGTCCGTCTGTTAGCTTTTCGTGTCCGGCTCATAACTTTAATACTATTAGGCCTAGAGTTATCAAACTTTGTCAGCTGATGCATCTTGGGTAGAAGGTGTGTCGCGCATTAAAAGTAGGTCGCTATGACCTTTAATCAAGATGTTATGGCCAAATATGGAAAAATCCTGTCCGGCTCATAACTAGAAAACTATGAGACTTAGAATCATCAAACTTGGCCAATTTATGCATCTTAGGTAGAAGGTGTGTCGCGACCTATTTCAAGGTCACTGTGACCTTTAATTTAAGTGCAATTTAAAAAAAAAATGTCTTTGTACTATTAAATTACACAATCCCAAAAAATGTAAGAGTGTTGCAGTATACATATTAAAAAAATGTTAAATCAAGAAAATACTTATTTTTTCCATTATATACTTTACAGCAATCTATAACAAATGTAATGTTATAAGAGAAATTCCACCTCTCCCATGGGTTTAATTATCAAGCACTGGTCAAGTAGAATTTTGATAACAGAAAATTGCATGTCAAATTAAAGAGAAATTAATGAGTTTAGTGTGAGGAGCTAACTGGTAGAGCATCTCTGATCAAGCAGGTGTTATCTGTATCTCTTGGGAACTGTGCAAATGTTGGATTAAATACATGTAGTTCTTGTGCACAGGCTAGCCTAACTTTTAAAATGAATTTGGTGAAAAGTAATTAAAACTAATTTGATACTGCATGATAATTAAATAAAATTTGTTGATATTTTATAATAAACTAATTATTTAAAACTAATTATAATGGGAGGGGGGGTTAATGTTGAAATCAGCATGCCAATTGTCCATATGTTTGCAGCTTAAAACCAGCTAGTGTGACATTAAATCTAAAAAAAATCAAGTATTTAAAAAAAATGTTTTAATTATGGTAGATAGCCACTACAAATCTAAGAGTCATGCAGGAACCTTATTAATAATGTTGCTTCAAGATGACAAAAGTTTTTTTTTTTTTCTTTTTAGAAATCTTTGTAACAAATTTTTAAAAAAATCTTTGTTTTCAAATTTAACTTCAGGATGACATAAATATGCATTTTTATTGCACTACAAAGCAAATAGTGCAGATCCATTCATCCCTTGGGAGTAATGAGTGGACATGCATCCAGTTAAAGATTAATTAATATGTTCAATGTAGAAAGGCTAGCTGTCTCAGTCATTTCTGCTAGAGCATCTCTGATCAAGCAGCTCTTATCTGTATCCTTTGGGAATTAGACAGAAGAACTGCTGGTCAGTTTATAGCATATGTCATTTGATGGCCAGCCTTTTTATTTTCAAAATTAATTTGGTATAGATTAAGTTGTTAAGACTAAATTGATATTACTTAATATGATATTTTTATATTTGTTGAAGATATCAACTAGAGCATCATGTCTCACAAATATGAAAGATGGGGGGGGGGGGGGGGGCTGCAGATGGGCATTTGTCAAGCTCTAACACAACCAGTTGAGGATCTATAATGTAATATTTGTTAAAATTAATGCCTACACCACAGGAGATGTATAAACAAATATTATAAGGAATGGAAAAATCATGGAAATCCTCCTACCGGTATCAAGGTTGACATGATTTTCTTGCACTCTAAACTGTTTTTGATAATTGAACAATATTTGACGGGCGTATCATGCTGTGGCGGGGCACTTTATTCTTTCATATGGCACCTGAGAGTAGGATTGGACAAAAGTTTTTACATGGATATGTATAGAAATCATATAAACAAACAATGATGTAGACTTCAACACTTTAGTAAATAATTATAAGTGAGAAACATGCTATGATGGTATTTTTTTTTCTAATTAGGTATGGATTTAGAGGAAATCCTAAATTAACCTTAGTAGCAAAACCCAAAGTTGGTGCTAGACAAGTCACTGTAACCCATATCACAGACTGGATTGAGAAAAAACTTTCAGCAGAATTCCAGGTAAGGCCATCAATATGGTATTTTTTACTCATTTTGCAAATAACATGTACATGTATCATCAATTAATTATGTATCATTTTGATTTTTGCAGAGAACCTTTGTGCTACCTAACATGGATGACCTTATTGTTCCTCTGTTTAAAGTCTACAATCCCAAGTCAGAAGATAAAAATAATGTTTGACCAGTCTAAACTCTGGCAAAGTGTACTTAGTATTCATCATTGCTGCATTGAACTTCAGCTTGTCTTCAGGCTTTAGAATTGGGCTACTGTATGTAAAGTAAAAAAGGGGGGAGGTATCAATGAGGATAAACATATACCTGAGTATTTTAACCCATTTTTCTGACCTTGCAACTTAAGATACAAAAAAATATTTTTTTAAAGTCATTTCAAAGCAAAAGATACATTTCAAAATGGATTTTCAGAGCGAGCACCTCAAAAACATTGATACTGTTGAATATGAAGAACTTGCACATATGGCTTTTCATCAGGAAGTACATGTATATACAGTACATTCATAATAATTTTGAAACCCTGTGATGTGAGACATGTAAGATTCCTGTCTGCTGACATTTGCTTCCCCACTGCTGTTGCCTACCTCCAGTTCTGCTTGAGTGATCTTCCCCACTGCTGTTGCCTACCTCTTGTTCTGCTTGGGTGATCTTCCATAAATTTTAAGACTGCAATAATACTTTTATACTGGGCATATTGAAAGAAATAATTGGCAAGTTAGTTGATAGGAAGAAAAACCTATTACATGGTTATAAAATAAAGAGAAATGTATTGTTTTTCAGGTTTTTATGGTACATATTTTTTGTTGGTAGACTAAATACAGAAATATCCAATATTAGATAATGAGAAATTTTTGCCAGTAGTTTGTCTTTTTTTTTTTTTTTCTCTATTTTAACTACGCAATTAATACACCTGCACAGTTGAACCTCTGTATCTCAGTCACTGATGGAATAGGTTAAGTAGTGAGTTGGTGATTCCTTTAGTATTTTACTGGTAATTTATTGTTATTTCTAGCTCTCAATATCAACCCAATCAAGATATTGACTGTACATGAATGATGCTAAGGTAGGCATATGTTTACTGTATTAAAAATTATTAGGAAAGTTCTTGTAACACTTTTTATAGACTTGGTATGCTTGCATCCCCACCCCAAAATATTTTTGATATTGTTATATACATTTGCTTTGAAATTAGTGAAGACCAATCATAACTGTGATACTTTAAGCACTTCAAATAAATGAAAACTGCTGAGTACAAATACTTTTAATGAAATAGATACTAAGTTTTTGAAAGATGCAATTTTAGTTTATATTTTTCCCATTATATGGCTACCATATTGGAGGCCAATGTTCATTATTTAACCAACTTTAATTAACTTGTTATACTGTCCATTGTGGTGTAGGAAAAGTTGTGTCCCCTTAAATTTAGAATTTTGTTTTATAATGATTTTTCCAAAATACATCTGCTACACATGTTTAAATTTGGTAAGACAAAGGAGAAAAATCACCAGGTTGATCTCCAAGATGGCAGCCATAGGAAATAACTCAGAGAAATATGTCATATGAAAACTATCTTTGTATGGCAGAAATTTGAAATCTTTTGTAAACAGAGGTAAAAAGATAGCACAGAAGCATATACATATGATCCTCTTTGACTCCTCCCCCACTTTATGGGGTCAGAGAGTTCTGTATTTAGAAAACATGGTATTTAATGGTGCTTTTGGTACTTCATTTGATATGACTGGGTTCTTTTTTAGTATTACATGGACTGTTTTCAGACTTTGCTCAGTGGATCTTTGAAGTGGCAGATAGTACTATGAACTCTATAATGTCTTGAAATTCTCTGGCTTTTGTCTGTAGTTTTTAGCAGTTTCCTCCTACAGTATTGCTGAATAAAACCACATATGAATACTTCATTCAAAATAGGTAAATAAGTAGTTGAATCTTTAAAATAATAATTTTATGCAAAGATGTGTCAAGTTAGCAGACTTCCAATCATAGACGATACTGAGGTCATGAAGTACACTCAAAATCCCCTCCCTAGATTTTTTTACTACATGTATTTATCAACAAATTTGTGTGTGTAGGAGGGGGAGGGGGGAAGACTTGTATTCTTATTACATACTCTGTACTTATAAAGAAAAATGGGATGCACATCAACTATTTGTAACCAGTATTTGCGCAATAAGCTTGACTGTGTGCTGCTAACACCTGGTGCATAAATATCATTGTACAATGTATATGTCAAACAATTCAAGACATTTTGGTGTTATTGATGTTGGTAGCAGTACAGAAGCAAAACTTGCCAAAATTTGACTTGGGTTTATGTCCGTTATCGACAACAATATGCTTGGAGCAAATGATTTCTTAAATAGCATTTACTTAACTTTTTTTCTCAGTAAGTTGCTTTTGCATATCTGACATATGTTTCATTATTCATTATTTCAAAGAGTTCTTGAATAAAGGTGTTTATCTAGTTTTTTTAATTTCTAATGTACACATATTATGGGTGTATTTATTTCATTTTTCAACAAATGTCTCATTTCTTGCAATAGAATAGATTCCTCTGTATACCTGTAGTAACATGGTTTGCTGTTTTTTCTTTGTTTTGAAATTGTTAATTTATCTTTTATGTAATGAATGCTCTAGTGTGAGATGGAAGCCAATGGTGCCATATGTTTATGTATACTCTTGTTGCTAATAAAATAATTAAGACATTAACTTGGTCATTTTGCTTTCCACATGAAATAATGTGCTTGTAAGCTGACAGATTATTAGATGACTCCAGTATCCTACTGTCATAGAAGATGTATTCATTTCATACTGCAGAGAATAAATGGAAAATAGATGCAAAATTAAAATTCGGTCATGTCTTCTGAATACAGATAGGACAAGAATGAAGGAGCAAAGGGCAACTGATGCAAAGGATGACAGATCAATCATGCAATATGGCTTAGTCCCTAGATTCATCATACTGCGTGGCACATGGGTAGATTTTCTGTAAATCTGAATCATGATGAAATTTGGAATCCTAACTTTATCAGGAATGGAGGCTTATAATTCACACAGGCACCTGACGAATGGTTTGTGTAACACCCCCCCCCCCTTTCCTCTGAGATTTTTTTTAAGACGGTCAACTTAATTAGCAAATATATATGTATTCCTAGTCTATCATACCAATACTTAGATATTTGATATCATTTTCCGTTTTTGTCAAGTTACAGAGATTGTTCCTTTACGGTATATTAAAATACTTAAGTTATCCTGTCTAAAAAGAATTCTCAGAAAGGGGGGGGGGGGGGTTACACCAACCATTCGTCAGGTGCCTGTTATAATTCATTTACTCCTGAGACCTGTGTGAGAACATTGATATATTATGTACAACCTCTAAAGGTCCTAAATCAAATTGTATTCATTTCAAATTGCTAAGAAATGAATATAGAAGCAACATTTATTAAACAGTAATCACCACGGTCCATTATGCATTTTTTCATGAGGAATGTTTATGTTTTATATGTATTAACACATCTTGTTAAAATGGCTAAGATCTTAATAAAGGATTTTAAAAGAACCTAAATCTGCAAGTGACGTAGATCTGTCCTTTAGATATAAAATAAACTAGATAGTAGTTAATGACACAATAGTAATAGATTAAAGCATTCTTAACATACAATTATATATAAGACCAAAATAGAGTAATTAATTTATAAGTAATTGAATTCATTATTGACATGTATTCGACTTTGATGGAAGATTATGTCCACTAATACTTCATTGTCTTGAAAATCTTCCCTGAGTATGTTGAAATTCTTTATACAATAGATTCATCAAGTTCAATAATCATTGAATTTGTTTTTAGCGCAATATAGATCACTTTTCGAAGTTAAAATTCCACCCCCACTAAAGCGAGGATGTGCCAGAAATATGGGCCCCTGTAGATGTGCAAAGAGGGGCCCAATAGATGTGCATAAAGTTAATTTTGAGTATTATTGGGGCCTTCAAAATTTTTCTCAATACTTATGTAAGTATTTATAATATTGCATCAATTACTTCTAACCATTTTGAATTTGATGCATTATTTTGACTCAATATAAAAATACATTTAACAATTAAAATTTCTAGTTAAAACTTTTGTTCTCATCTGTCAACGTAAAAATAAATAATTTATTTAAATTTTGATTTTTTTTGTAAAGACAAGGGAGGTAAGACGTACACGACAATAAGATTTGAGAATCTTGAATTCAGATCCAATGGATTAACTGCATCTCAGCAGTACTGCTATTTATAGTAGTACATAAAAGAAGTTGGATACATACTGAGTAATATTTTCTAAATCATAATGCACTTCTATTTTTACAAACTTACAAAAGGGTGATATACATGTATAATAGTCCGAAATATCTGACGTTTTCCAGGCTTTTTTCACGATTTTGGTATTTAACGTGCCAGGAAAACGTCAGAACCGGCGCCATTACAAAAACTGGAAATTCGCCGCCTCCAACTGGAGGCGGCATTCTCGGGTTGATTTTCGATACTTGCTAACCGAATTAAATGCTGAATTCACAACTTATCAGTAGTACAATATGCCTTTAGTACTCACCAACATCGTTTATATGGGTTTGTTTATGAAATATACAATCTGGTGAAAACATTTTATCAGAGGGTCGAGTTTTCTTTTCATTTCGTGCATTTTAAATTCTTGCAAGACCAAATCGAAATGTGGAGTGATATTTTCTTTTCATCGATATTGGTGAGTACTAGAAGCATTGTGGTACTGATAAATAGTAATTAAGTTCGGCATTTAATTCAGTTCGCAAATATCGAAAATCAGCTCCGGTTGGAGACGGTGAAATTTCCAGTTTTCGTAATGGCGCCGGTTCTGACGTTTTCCTGGCATGTAAAATATCAAAATCGTGAAAAAAGCCTGGAAAACGTCAGATATTTCGGACTACATGTATAAATGTGTATAAATTGGAGTTTATTCCCGATTGCGAATTTTCGGAATATAGAACAACTTTCAAAGAAACGCAAACCAATAAAAATTCAATATATAAATTCAAATCGTGACATACATATAGGGCAAAGTGTCAAATTAAAGCTTTCCAAAGCAGTGGTTCAAATTAAGTATATTTCAAAGCCTTGGTTTTGCTGTAAATGGTATATATGATTATATCAAAATGCACGTGACAATGTGTAGGATTAGAATTAAAACAGGCTTGTTAAAGACAAGATTGAAGTTAGTTAATCATGACGCAATTAAGAGATTTGAATGGGTTTTCCTCTGATATAAGTAACAATTTTTTGTTTGTTTGTTTTGTTTTATTTTTGTTTGTTTGTTTGTTTTTTTTTTTTTTGACAAGCAAAGATTAAGGAAATTTGTCCAGACACAAAAATAAAATACTATTTTGTGGGGGAAAGGGTGATTTTTTTCTCTCGAACATCAGCCCTGACAGTACGTGCTTAAACATTACCAGTGAATAAAATGAGATTATATACACGTTTAACAAACAAAATATACAAATGAAAAGAAAAAAAGGGGCGCACGCCATCGTGCTTAATCCGTCTTTTAGTTTGAAACGATAGGACGGAACTAATGAGAAATTTCTCCGTAAATAATCATTGATTCAATATCTCCGGGGGGAGGGGGGGGGGGGCTCTTACCACATCCTTCTTCACTGCAGCCTCACCAAAATCTAACACTTCTCCGTAATCTATTCTTAATGTCATTCTGAAATCTATGTTTTCTTATAAACTATAAATATGATATAGAACCTTGATACACAGATTTTCGAAAACCTAGCTTCTTTTTTCCTTATAATGCCAAACTGTCTCTCTTACGTTATTTAAAGCATACTAATTTTTCTAAGCAATTGTATTACAGTAGTTTAGAATTATTAATTTGCTGTGAACTAAATTTGTTATTTATTTGATAAGTTCATATTTTTAGCACATTATTATCATATTCATTGAGAAACAAACAGCGATATTAATGAACCGTAATAATACGACTTCGTTAAATTGCTGTCAACTTCACACTTATAATAATACTCACTTTGTACGCCTTTCTTTTGTTTTGGTTGCAAAGCAAATGATACTGTGATGTCATTAGGTCATAGTCAAAGACCTCTGAGACGTCACAATATTATGACGTTACGAAGAATGTAATTGCCTATGAGCTCATAAATTCATGTTGTTTTATCTAAAACATTTTCAAACTTTCATAATAAAGCATTCGATTACTTCAAATCGCCAGTATTTGTTCGTTTTTAAAATGCAGTTTTTGAGAATAAATTAACAGTCGACATACGTACAGAAACTGACTCAGCTTATGAACACTCAGAGGAGTAGTCACAAACTTAAAAGTGGGGTGGGGTGGGGGGCTCAAATCCAAGAAAGATCTAAAACGTGTAATATAAAGAAATTAACAGGCCTGTAGGAAGCAATATCACTTTGCCATATATTTTCAGTTGGGGGGGGGGGGGGGCACTATCAATTACCAAAATTCCTTGACAAGCAAAAAAAAAAAAGGTCATCAGACGTATATATATATATATATATATATATATATATATATATATATATATATATATATATATATATATATATATATATATATATATATATATATATATATATAAAATTATATAATTATTGGAGGGCACGTATAAAGTATATTACATTACTATTACTTCAAGAGAAATGCTTACTCAGTTGTTGCTAAAAATAAAATAAATTTGCCATAAAATGAGGTTTACTATAATTTCAACATATCTGTGATTTTGTTCAACATTAAGTGGGGGGGGGGGGGGGGGAAGGGCACAGACATACTCTTGCCCCCCATATCTGAATGTGAAGGGGGGGGGCTAGTGCCCCCCGCTGCCCCCCTGTGACTACGCCTATGACACTTACCTTCTACGCCTCTCCTTTTGTTGCAAAGCAAATTATTATGACGTCATTGCGTCATCGTCTAAAACTTTTTGAGCGTCACAATGCTATGACGTTGCAATTATAATACATGTACCTTTATTGAAATATTTGATGGGATTTGAGGTTGGGTGGGGGATGGTGACTTACTTTAGATTTTTATGCCTAAACAGGACATAATATTGATTTCCAAGTTGACCAGAGAGAATTCATTTATTTCCTTTCCTTGAAAATTTTAACAAACCAAAAACTTGACCAAACTTGAAATCTCTTTTCTTGTACAGGTGGGGGTAGGGTGGGGGAAGTTAGGTACCACGAGTCAGGGTCAGATTATCTATTTTCTTCCCTGGAGGACAGATTATTCATTCCAGATTATTATTTCCAATCCCCCCCCCCCCCATCAAGAAATGGTCGTCCTCTATCAAAATGTACCATGAACTAATTAGGTCCATAGGAAGCAATTTCAATCTGTGGGCACCAATCATAAAAATCATATGTTATTACTGAGAAGAAATATGAAGATATAAAAATAGTAATCATGCTTAAACACCCCTACCAATGCATTCGGAACATTTTATTTTTCGGTGTTCTGCAAATTATAAAATCCGAGGAGTTCCCAGTAGCTCTCACGGTAGCTCTGGCGAGATCTAGCGAGACTACAACAAGATAAGGTAAATTATTCACGGAAATGTGGCTAGGAAGTGACTAGCACGTGAAAATATGGTAAACAGAAAAGTTATCGCGTTTCATTTTTCACCACTGAATAATATATGTAAAAATGTATTTCAATCTCTCTT